ATGTCGTCGCCTTTATTCTTCTCGAAGGGACCCTCAGTTCAAATCCCAAAGGACCATTATAAGAAGATACAGGTAGTCCTTGATGTATGACCATAATTGACGGTCGTAAGTCGTGTGCCGGTCATTGTGGGTCATCGTGCAATGGTGCCCAATTCCACAGCCTTTTTTGTGGCAGCAGTCAAGCGAATCCAGTGTACCCAATGGGTGTTTTTTTCTGGAAACTGGGGGTAAACACCCGTTCCCAGCAGAGACCTGTTTCCAGCCAACCCCCCCCCCCATAAAACGCAATTACGTGACTGGGCCGCAAAGTGCTAAGCCCCCCCCCAATGCAGACCTCTGACCAAGGGCGGGCAGTTGTCAAAACTTTAAAACCGGGTCATAAGTAGCTCTGGGGCCTTGTGGGTCTCTCGTGTGGTAAGGATATTAGAGATGAACGACTGACCTTTTTTAAATCTTGAAGCAGTTTTTTTTAAAGGCGGGGCAAGCTATTAGAAGATAAATGAGCCTGTCAAGATGATATCTCTAAATTGATAATGACTGCTATCTTCCTGAGGCAAAGTCACACCTGAGATCTTCTATCAGATCTGAGATGATGATGAAGACTCCAATTGTGACACCTCTTAAAATTATGGAACCACCCGAAGATAGAATATGGAATAAGAGTTGGAAGGGACATTTGAGGTCTTCTAGTCCAACCCCCTGCTCGCACAGGAGACCCTAGACCATTCCTGATAAAATAGTTGTCTAATCTCTTTTTGAAAGTCTCCAGTGATGGAGCACCCACAACGTCTGAAGGCAAGTGGTTCCACGGATTAATTGTTCTCATTGTCAGGAAATTCCTCCTTAATTCTAGGTTGGATCTGTCTTTAATACGCTTCCATCCCTTGGGGCTCACTTTATCCTGAAAAAAATTAGCAACTAGATCTGGAGGAGACCCATAAAAAGCCGCCTATAGTAGCTGCACAGCAAGATAGGAGGTAAATAAGTTTAACAAATAAGTAAAGTAAGATTAAAGGACTAACTTTATTGCCAAATGGCATCTTCTTATTATGAATTGATGGAAAAGAATGATAAAATCTTTGCACAGTCATTTCATCTGAAAAGTTGGAAGCATACCAAGCTTTCAATTAAGAGACAATTAAGAAAAGAAGAATTAAATCAAGTTTGATAGGATCATGAAGTTTTGCGCTGTCAGAATATATCATAGGTTCCTAAAAGAACTACTGTATAAAATGAAAACATGATAAGAAGCAGAGGCTTAAGTGAAAAGGTTTGGTCGACAAGATAATTTTATCTTGCCATTTAATATTATGGAAATGGTGTCAAATTTATTCGATATATCCCCCTCCTACATTTTGTTGTTGCTGATATACAGGTAAATCTTGTTATTCTGGCATAAAACTGTATATAATGAAATCCCCGATCAAGCGAGTTTAAGCTGATGAGGGTTGGAAAGTTTGACTTGGGAGCGTTGGAAAATGTCCAAAAGCTCACCTGAAAAATAGAAGGCTGGAGGAGTGAACTCATCCCCTGGAGTGAGCTGGCACTAATTTTTCCTCCTGGGGATCCACAGATTTAAAGGTACCTGGGAGGAGAGTTAAAACAGCCCCACCTTCTCCTTCATTGGAGAGTTTGTTCTATAAAAAAGAAAAAGAACTGAAAGCCACCATCTTGGTGGGTGAGTCAAGAAGGAAGTTAAGCCAGGAGGAAGACAGAAAAATCATAGGCTGGCAGGGACCTACAGAGTAATAGAGTCGGAAGGGACCTTGGAGGTCATCTAGTCCAACCCCCTGCTCAAGCAGGAGACCCTATGAAGATAGTAGAGTAAGATAGGAGCTTAATTTTATTGTACAATAACACATTTTTGTGTGTGGGGGAAAAAAACCTGTCATGTCTGCATTCTGTGCCAAATGAAGAAAATCCCCAATAGCAAAAAACCCCAAAAAAAGACGGATTTGGCCATTTCGAAGGAACCCCAAGCCATGCATGAAAAATCCCGATTCTTCCACGTGTCCATGAATTCCAGATATCAGGCCTTGGGAAGATCTGAGTCAGCGCATCGTGTCTTCTATCACATGAACAGAGCTCGTGAATATGACTTCAGTAATTGCTGGAGCACAGTTGACTGACAGCCAGATGTGGAGGGCGCACTGGTTATTTTGCACAGCCATTTCATGGTGTGTTCCTGCCCTCTGGTGGACACCGATTGAATGAGCAGATGTTTGGGTGGGTTATTTTTCTGATTCCTGTGAAGAGCTGCCCACTGAAATTTGAATTTGCTCCTTCAATTAAGACTTTCTTTTTTCCTCCATCTTTTGCCTCCCTTCTATCATTATTGCAAGTAAATCCACTTATGGGCTTTATTGGGAAACAGAGTATAAGCTTTCAGTCTGGTGGCACAGGCTGACTTATGGGTCCTGGGTGGGGTGGGATGTGTGGGAAGTTAGCCCAGAGAAGGAAATATTAAAAAGGCAGAAAGAAAGATATTGTTCACCAAAAGGATTTTTAAAAGCATTTTTTGAAAAGCAGAAACCAAACCTGGCCTCATCTCTTTGCCCAAAGCAGCAGCTGGTCTTATACAAATGCAGATGTGGAACCATCAGGAAGTTTGGAGCCAGGGATCTCAAGACAAAAGAGGCTCTTAAGAGTCATTAGCCCCATCACCTGGGAAGCAGGATATGATAATGGGATTAAACCACAGATATCAAGGCCTAGAAAAACACTCAGAAATATCCTCAAAGTTCATGCCACAGGAACAGGAAACTATTCCAAGCAGGGCTGGAGGGGGTATAAAAGCCCTTCTACCCATGTGCTTTTGCTCTTTCTTCTCCTCTGCTCCTTCTTGCAAGGACCATCTTTCTTCTGCAATAAACTGTAACCTTCTTCCCAAAGCAGTCGCCATGTTTGCTTATTTATTCCCGGCTTGGATGAACCAGGATGAAGACTTACTTCTAACAGATGGAAATGGGAGGTAATCTTCAAATGGATCTTGAGATATCAGTGGATCTGGTTGGAGCCACTTTTGATTTATAACACCAGTTCTGCAAGTGCCCCATGGGTTCTGACAGGGCTGAGCGCCTCATTCAAACTTTGGTTTTAATCCAAGCAACTTATGGTTTTGATCTGAATTACCTCCAGAACCATCCTATTTAGGCAGAACCTACTTGCCCAGTCCACCTGTCTCAAGTGGAGATGATTACTGGAGGGCTGAAGGGGCTAGAAGACATCATCCTTCTAGAACATTCTTCTCCATCCTTGGAGATTCACACAGCCCCCTCTGAGCTGTTATTCAGGAAGTTGGTTAAGCTGGTCTAGGAGCTTTTAATCTATTAAGACCCCAGCCCATGTTGGTTTTATTTTATCATTATTATTCAACAGCATTATACATTGCTTTTGATAAATACTAAACTTTGATTTTAATTCTGTAAACTGCTGGGAGTCTTTTCAGATTGGAGTACAATCTCTCTCTCTCTCTCTCCCCCCCCCCCCCCAGAAGGCAGCATGGCAGGCTGAGTCTGCCCGCAGTTTGGCAGTTCGATCCCCACTGGCTCCAGGTTGACTCAGCCTTCTGTCCTTCCGAGGTCGGTAAAATGAGGACCCAGATTCAAGAGGCTGACTGTAAACCGCTTAGAGGGGGCTGTAAAGCACTGTGAAGCAGTAGATAAATCTAAGTGCTATCGCTATTGTTATCTGATCTCTCGTATCAATTAATTTATGAAAGAATTTGGTGGCTTAAAAGATCACTATTTCTGTCTACTGGTCTCCACCGTCCTAAAACATTTGAAGTTTACAATGGTGCTGAAAAAAGTGACTTAGGACCAGTCCTCACACTTTCGACCTTCGCAGCGTTCCCCCCCCTAGTCACGTGATCACAATTCAGATGCTTGGCAACCTGGCCACTCAATTGTGGTCGTAAGGCGAGGACTACTTGCAACGTTACAACAATCAGGAGGCTTTCTTGCTTGCTGGGGGGGAGGGGAGGGAGGGAAATGCGGCCTCTCACTAGAGATAAAGTTTGATGAAGGAACAAGAAATAAAGCCTTCTTTTTTAAAAAATAAAATAAAAAATGGAAGTCTTATTTGGAATTTTTGTTGAAAGAAGAAAATATTATTTGTAGACTTGGAGATTAGAAAAGGTCAAAGTGGAAGGGGAAGAAATAACATGGCAATCACCCCAGAGAAAGGAAGGCAAAAGTCATCATTCTAACCTTTCTTTCCTTTTCTTTCTTTCTTTCTTTCTTTCTTTCTTTCTTTCTTTCTTTCTTTCTTTCCTTCCTTTTCTTTCTTTTTCTCTTTCTTTCTTTCTTTCTCTTTCTTCTGTCTTTCTTTTTCTTTCTTTCTTTCTCTCTTTCTGTTTCTTTTTCTTTCTTTTTCTTTTCTTTCTTTTCTGTTTCTTTTTTTCTTTCTTTCTTTTCTTTCTTTCTTCTGTCTTTTTCTTTTTCTTTTTTTTCTCTCTTTCTGTTTCTTTTTCTTTCTTTTTCTTTTCTTTCTTTCTTTCTTTTTTTTCTCTTTCTTTCTTTCTTTCTTTCTTTCTCTCTTTCTTTCTTTTTTTCTCTCTTTCTTTTTCCTGTCTTTTTCTTTCTTTTCTTTCTCTCTTTGTTTCTTTTTCTTTTCTTTCTTTCTTTCTTTTCTTTCTTTCTTTTTCTTTGTTTGTTTCTTCCTCCCTCCCTCCCTCCCTCCCTCCCCTCCCGTCCCCTCCCCTTCCTCCCTTAATGCACAGCGGAGGTCCCGCTGCCTGGGAGGCGGGCGAGGGGCGAGGGGTCGTGGGGGGGGGCGAGCGGGCGGCGTCCCCGGGTCCCGAACCAGGCGTGGCCGGCTGCAGCCCCCCCTCCCTCCCCCCCACCCAACGGGAGGGGCGCGCAAAGGAGCGGACGCGCCCCCTCCCCTCTTGGCCCCGCCCCCCTCCACAGGCGCCCCGCCCCCTCGGGCCGCGCTTCGCTTTCGATTCCGGCTGGCCGGGCGGCGGCGGCGGCGGCGGCTCCGAGGCGGCGGCGTCGGGCATGGCGGACCCGGCGGTGAGCAGCTACCTGGCGAAGGTGCTGTGCTTGCGGGGCGGCCGCCTGGCGCTGTCGGAGCTGCCGGGGGAGGCGGGGCTGTCGGCGGGGCAGCTGCAGCAGGTGCTGCGCGACGCGGGGCCGGAGCGCTTCCTGGTGCGGCCGAGGGGCTCCGGAGACCACGACGTGCTGGCCGTCTCCGCCGTCCGCCTCTGCGTCCGCCAGGCCTGCCCGGGCTGCCCGCAGCTCCACCTCTGCAAGCTCAACCTCCGACGGAGATGCTGGGTCGGGTGAGCCGGGGGAAGAGGGGCGCCGGGGGGGGGGGTCCGGCTGGCTTGGGGCNGGTCGCCGTGGACTGTTTGGGGTCAGCGGGGCTCCGGGATGCGGGAATTGGGGGGAGGGGAGAAGAATTGGGGGCGGAGCACAGAGAAAAAAGAGGGGGGGGCAGCTGCGCTTAAGCCAAACTCCTGCCCAGCCCCTAAGTCTCTTCCTTTTAACCCCAAAACCCCTTTTAAAAACTGCCCTGGAAGTAACCAGGATGCCAGGTCTCCACTCTGCAAGAGCTTTTGTGGCTGTGTTTCATGCGTGGCCTCCCTCCCCCCCCAGGACCCTCCCCAGTGGGGCCCCCTCAGAGGCCAGACGGGACCCCCGGGGGAAGGAGCCTCCGGGGACCCCCGTGAAACGGGCATCCATTCCTTAGTATCGAACCGTTTCGAATCCGGAGCCGAATCCCCCAGCCGGCTCCCAACCTTTTGGAGGCCAGAAATGGCTTTCTGGGGATTAAAATGGTGGTGGGTAAAAATGGTGCTGCTCCACCAGGGGTAGGCAACCTCGGCTCTTTTAGGACTCGTGGACTTCAACTCCCAGAATTCCTGAGTCAGCTATGCTGACTCAGGAATTCTGGGAGTTGAAGTCCACGAGTCCTAAAAGAGCCGAGGTTGTCTACCCCTGTGCTACACGAAAACAATTTGACCTCGTTTTCCAAGGGGCAAGAATTGGCGTAGAGATCCAATGTCAGCAGGTCTAAAAGTTGGGGTAAGAGTGAATGTAGTTTTTATTTTATTTTAAATGTAGCTTATTTATTGATTTATTTATGTGGCTGCCCGTCTCATATGCGTGGCTGGGCAGCTAGCAAAATTCGGCGAAACCCAGCAAAAAATTAGCTGAATGCCGCTTATATATAAGAATGGCCGACTCGATCTTCAGGTGGAGAAATGGGATGGTCTGATTATTCACCAGATCAAAATGTTGTGAAATGGTTCAGGGAAGTGGCTTATGGTTTATTTTGAAGATCTCCCAAGTCAGTTTCCTGGAGATCTGGTGGCTTTATTGATGCATGAAACTCTATAGAAATCTATTGTTCTTAATTGGCGTTGGACTCGATGACCTACAAGGTCCCTTCCAACATCATCATCATCATCATTATTATTATTATTATTATTATTATTATTATTATTATTATTATTATTATTATTATTATTATTATTATTATTATTATTGAGTAATGTAGCTTTTTCCGTGAGGCTTAGAATTATATTCTAGAAGAGTCTTTCTCAATCTTGGCAACTTTAAGATGGGTGGACTTCAACTCCTAGTCTCCCCCCTCTTTATTTCTACAAATAACTCAAAGTTAACAAACTTCAACACAATTTCCTCCTATTTTCCCCACAACAACAATCCTGTGAGGTGGGGTGGGCTGAGAGAGAGGGACTGGCCCAAAATCGTCCAGCTGGCTTTCATCCCTAAGATAGGACTTGAACTCAGGGTCTCCTGCTTCCTATCCTGGTGCCTTTAACCACTAGACCGAACTGACTCTGTTTACACCATAGTTTGTATTAATCTGATTTTATATCAGTTGTGACTTTCTCAAGGTCCTGATATGGCCAGACTGTAACTCATTGCCCAGTAGATAAAATACTGGAATACTGCTATCATGTTGCCCCTGTTCTAAAGAAAAGAAGAAATGGGGGAGACGATAGCAGTATTCCAGTATTTGAGGGGCTGCCACAAAGAAGAGGGGGTCAAAATATTCTCCAAGGCACTAGAAAGCGGGACAAGAAACAATGGTTGGAAACTGACCAAAGAGAGAAGCAACTTGGAATTAAGGAGAAAGTTCCTAACAGGACAATTAACCAGTGGAACAGCTTGCCACCAGAAATCATGGGCCTCCATCACTGGAGGTTTTTAAGAAGAGACTGGACAGTCACTTGTCTGAAAGGGTATAGGTTCTCTTGCTTGAGCAGGGGACTGGACTAGAAGACCTCCAAGGTCCCTTCCAGCTTCTACTCTACTCTACTCTATTCTAGATTTGCACTCTGGGATTTTTCACTAATGGTGGATAATATATTTGCTTAATTCAGTTTGATTACCCTCTGCATATTACAACATTTTCTTATTAGAAGAATTTTTTTTTTCAAAAAGGACAGAGTACAGGATCAAGATACTGAAGTAGCTTCTGGGGGACTAGTCAAAAACCAAACAAATTCTACTCGTTTTACTTGGGGCGTTTCAAAATAGAAAGTGAAAATTAAAATGCAAATTAAAGGAAGCTTCCCAACAGGTGTGTGAATGGTTGATTTGAAGGTTGTTTAGTCTCTTGAGGTTTTCATTATTTCTGTCTGCAAAGGAGAAGGAATATTTTTCTGGAAAAACAGAGTCTAAACAAAAACATTTGAGGGGAGAAGGGCACAATAATCCCAGGAATCGAGAAAGGAGACCCTCTTAGCTGCTCTTGGGCAGTGCCCACACAAGCCCCAAATAATAATATAACAGTTTGAAAAGAGGAAAGTCTGGTTTGTTGATATTGCTGTATCAATATCAAGTGATGCTAGGATTGAGGAAAAACAATTATAAAAAAATAACAAAATGCCAGGACTTGTTGAGCACCTCTGGAAAAAAGAAATCTGTTCTTATATCAATCATCATTGGAGACCTCGGAATAATAACTAAATAAAAATCCTTCAATATTTGGACATTTTTAATTTATAGGACGTGAACATTCTTAATTTTACCCCCCAAAAAATACACACCCTGTTAGGAGCTGCCTATATCCTTAGCCATTACCTTAATAATTCCCAGATCCTTAATTAGGACTTGAATGATTAGGCTCCTACCAGTTTTAGACTCTGAATTTAATTGAAGATTGCTCGTAACAATTCATTAAACTTTTATGCCGCCTGACTCTCACACTTAAACCCCCGGAATCCTCTCTGCCTTGGTAAGAGCTCCGTTTGTGTTATAACAATTGAGAAACACAATTTTCATCACTTACCCTAAAAAGCATATCCCTTTTTTTCTGGAAAACTAACCAGGGTTTCTACAAGACTTTGGGATACTTCTAGATTTCTCTAAGGAAGAGGGAGATTTGACAAATTCTATGGGTTGGGAGGAATTTTGGAGTTTAGTCTTCTGCCCCAGTGTGGGAAAACTCCCCTGCAGCACCCTTGCAGGATAGAAAGACCAGGAGGGGTCTCTTGAGACCATCTAGTCTGGGGGTCTCGAGTTGAAGTCCACAAGTCTTAAAAGTTGCCAAGGCTGGGGACCTCTGATCTAGTCCACCTTTCTTTCTAGAGTCAACTTCCTCTCCAGCCCTTTGAGGCTCTTCTCCAAAATACCGACGTCTGTTTTGCTAGGAAAATGGCACAGCCTGTGCATGAATGTTGTGGGGGGGGGGGGCAGACTGCCAAGCTGCTGGCCTTGGAGATTGTAAATACAGAGCTAGCAGCAATATAGAGGCCAGACGGGAGCTGGCCAAATAAGTTTTCTCCAGCCATTACTGCTGCACAATTTCAAGCCCTGGAAAGCAGGGCTGATTTCTGAAGACCCCCACCCGTGAATGTGCAGGGCAGGGTCTTCAGAGGGGGGGGGGAATTGTATAGAATTGAAGCAAATGCAGGAAGGGCTAATAATCAAAGAGCAGTTGATTTTAGTCAGTGTTTTTCAAGCTGGGCCATCTTAAGATGGCTGGACTTCAACTCCCAGAATTCCCCAGCCAGAATTCTGGGTATTGAAATGCACCCATCTTAAAGCGGCCAAGCGTAAAAAAAGCACTGAGATATAAAGGCTGGCTGATTTCTTGGAGCAGAGACTGACGTTCTTTGGCCAGTTTGAGGATTATTGAGGGAATGGAAAGAAAAAAGCAGCAGATAAGATGGAAGGAATGGCTGAAAACTCTGGGAAAGCTAACAATTGTGAGGCCAGTGGGTGGGTGAGCTTCTAGCTTACGAAGATTAGTTAGACTTTGCTGCTCAGACTCAGTTGTGCCTGTTTTAGCTTCACAATTGGGCTCCCACAATTCCCCCTTGTGGTGGGCTGAAGGGACCACCCTAGCCCCTTTAATCGCTTAAAAACAATTACTGCCGTTCTGTGCAAGTGGGTTTGATGGCCTGGGCACCAGTGAGCCTTTTATTATTATTATTATTTTTGCTGTGTAGTCTTGACATCAAAGACTGTATTAGTCACCAATCTCTCCTCCTGCGTGCCAGCTACAGACCTGCACTTAGGTTTCGATTCCTTGTGAGCTGCAGGAGGAACGGTGCAGCGTAACCTGATCTGATTTGGCACCGGATAAATGCAGGCTGATGGGGCCAATGGTGGCCGGCCTCTCCCCAGAGATTCCTGCAGGGGCTTATGGGTTACAGCATCCCACCACCAAGGCCTGGGGCCGGCAGACCCTCAGTTAAAGTAGGATGCAGAGACGGAAAGCTGTCTGCCCGTGCCTTGCCTGAGTGTGAGCCCAGTGCAAGCGTCAGTCGCCCTGTGAGTGGGAAACACCCAAGAGACTTACTCGGGGGTTGCAACCAGTAGGAGGGAGTGAAAGCAGCATGAGTGGGTTAGTGGAGACTTGCAAAGTTTCACATTGAGCCATAAACTGCTTCACAGAGCTTTGGTTTAAGAGGGTGACTGTAAATCCTGTCCCGGGGATTTCTAGGTTACGGATGATGGCTTACTGCGTTGCGTCTGAGCTGCATCAAACCATCAGTCAGTTGAGCAGGAGCCCCCAAAGGCCTTCAGAACCGGAAGGAGGCGAAATTTAAAGGTGTTTTTCCCCCCAGTGCTAAAAATGTGACTTCTGTATTTAAATGTTGTTATAATGCAGGCAATCCTCAACTTACAACAGTTCATTTAGTGACAATTTGAAGTAACAACAGCACTGAAAAAAAGTGACTTACGACCGATTTTCACACTCAGTGAGGGTTGCAGCATCTCCATGGTCACAGGATCAAAATTTAGTCGCTTGGCAACAACGGACTCATATTTATGATATTTGTAGTGTCACAGGGCAGTGTGATTCCCTTTTGCGACCATTCGTCAAGCAAAGTCAATGGGGAAGCCAGATTCACTTAACAACCTAACAATGGAGAAAGGTCATAAAATGGGGCAACATTCACTTAACAACTCTCTTAGCAACAAAAATGTTGTGCTCAATTGTGGTCATAAGTTGACTGCCTGTATGTATGTGGAAATGAAGCACTTTTTCTCATTCTCCAATGAATCAATTCATATTAAGCTAGTAGCCCTTATTCTATAGAGCTTGCAAAATAAGGGTGATACTTGCCTGGATTTTTTTTTTTTTAAAAAAAAAAACCTCTCCCTGTTCTCTTCTCAACTATGTCTGAATTACAGTTTAATGAGACAACTTTAGCATAGTAATGGTGATTTCAATCATGTGATTCAATGAAGTAAGTGAAAAAAGCTACAGGGAAGATAAAGTTCTGAAAATGTTTGTTTTTTGGTAATGACTCTGTGTGCCTAGGGTATGAGGCAGAGTTTTCCCACACATTGATCTATTTCTCTGCCACAGTTAACTTACAGAGTTGCTTCTAAATAAATGATTAATCATCACTATGTTTGAAAGCCCAAAATGTTTTGGTGTTGTGTTGTGTTGTTGTTTTGTTTTTTGTTTTGTTTTTTTTAGGTGTGACTGTCACTGCTCCTTATACTTCCCAAGTTTTCTTAAGACTCGGTCCTGGGTGTTTTTTCCAGGGTGGGGTAGCATTTCAGAGTTGAAAGGAAAAAAATAGGCTTATGGGATATATAGAGTTTCCGTAAATGCAAGTATAATTTTAAGAACTTTGAGTAGTTTACTTACCTCTATTTCTTTTATTCTCTTCTAGTGCTTGCAAGTATTCGCATGACATTTTCTCAGAAACTAACCAGAAAGTTTTGAAAAAGCATGAACTCTCTGGCCTTAATGAAGACGAACTGTGTGTCTTACTTTTACAAAACGACCCTTTTCTTTTACCTGATGTAAGTTGTGCCAACTTATAGTCTGGTTATTTGTCAACAGAGCCACTGATCTCACAGACCTGGGTTTTAGAATTGGTTTAGCAAGAATAGATCTTGTTGACATAGGTCAGACTTGGGATAATCTACGCTGCTTCTGACATGAAAGATAAAATCCTTGCTCAATGTAAGGCAGTGTTTCTCAACCTTGACAATTTTAAGGCATGTGGACTTCAACTCCCAGAATTCTGGGAGCTGAGGTCCACATGCCTTAAAATTGTCAAGGTTGAGAAACACTGATATAAGGAGTTAGGGATGTTAGACAAACACATGTTATATAGACACAACATGTTTGAAGATTATGTCTTATTTGTGGGATCTGTTTATTCAGTTTCTATAGCTGCCGGTCCCAAGAGTCACCTAGAGATGGCTAACAAGTGTTAATACACAAACTTACCTTTCAAGTCCTTATTTTTGAATGGCCAATGAATATACAGTGTCAAAGTGTGTGTCAAACACTTCATAAGCACACATTACAGTTGGCGTCGACTAAGAGGCAGTTCCTTCGAGTTCAAAAGAGTTCGTGTCCTGGAAAATAAAATAAAAAGACAGTTTAAAATTCTTGCGCAGTGCTGGTAGCTTGTCCTGGAATGATACTGATAAAAGCATGACTAGGCAGCTTTCTTGCAAACAGACTCGGGGTTTAGGATTAAGGCCTCTACTTCGAAAGAAGACATCTTTGGGAGGCATCTATATAAAGCAGGGGTCTTCAAACTGGACAGCCATTTGTCCGAAATGGTATAGGGTTTCCTGCCTGACTAGATGACCTCCAAGGTCCCTTCCAACTTTATCATCATCATTATTATTATTTTTATATATATATATATATATAAAATTTTAAAAATACGAATCCCAGGCATATTTACACTAGTGATATAGAATCCTCAAACTCTGCGATAAATAAAAATAGCTGTTTAGTGTTAAAAACAATTAAAAACAATAAAACATCAGCTATTTTTATTTATCCCAGAGTTTGAGGATTCTATATCACTAGTGTATATATATATATATAAGTATGCATGTGTGTGTGTGTGTGTGTGTATGTGTGTAGGTCTTTGGTTATTCGGGTTTTCTCCCGCGTAAAATTGGAAGTGTCTTGGCTTCAAATTTTACGCGTGAGAAAACCCAAATAACCAAAGACCTACATACAAACACCCGCGAAAACCTCAGAAAACATATGTATGTATATATATATATATATATATATATATATATATATATATATATATATATATTTAAAACCAATAAATAAACGTGAGCACCAGGGAGTGCAATGAAATAATTTAATGTTAAAAATACCTAATAAAAACGCCTAGCTTTCGTCGGCGTCTGCCGACATCATCAGGGCTTACAATGCCGGCCAGTGGGAGAGTCCCTCTTATAGATTGGTCAGGGTATGCGCGCGACTCTTTGATCTCGTCATCGGGCCAGATGTAGCTAAGTATGTTCCAGGCGCATTTATATATATATATATATTTAAAACCAGTGAGCAAACACGAGCACCAGGGAATATAATAAAATAATTTAATATTAAAATTGCCTAATATGGATTTACCTAGGGATCACATTTTTAAAGACATTTTTAATATATATATATAAATAAATGAATGAAGTGCAGGGCCCTTAGTTCCTAAAGAGGTCAGAATAGCAAATTGTATTATTGAAGCATTTCTGGGGGTGTTTAAATAGATAAGGCTAAGTGAGCCTCTCAGAACAGGTGCCCAGAAAGTGAATGCCCAGGATGTTTTCCTGCTTCCTGTGCAGTCCCAAATGTTGGCGTCTTTGTGCTTCTCTCTCTCTCTCTCTCTCTCTCTCCAGGTGTGCGGTGCCTACAACAAAGGGGAAGGGTCCTGCACGCAGGGGGATAATTGCTCCCGGCTTCACATTTGCCGCTATTTTCTCAAAGGAGAATGCCGTTTCCCCCGTTGTAAGAGGTCTCACAACCTCCTGGACGACCATGCGACGCGTCTGCTGCTTTCCGAAGGCCTGGATCAAGACACAATTTGGAACTGCCAAACCATTTGCAGAGCCAGGAGTGCTGCCTTCATGAAGGAGCTCGGTTGCCGTGACAGTGAGCTTTTCACACACTCCTTGTTTCAGAACCTCTCTTTTCTCATTCCCTTGTTGAAACTCCCCTTCCTTCCTTCCTTCCTTCCTCCTTCCTTCCTTCCTTCCTTCCTTCCTTCCTTCCTTCCTTCCTTGATAATTTTTGTGAAAGATTTTTTTAAAGGAAAATAAAAATAATACAAAAATAAAGTGTAAGAAAAATCGAAGAGAAAGCTAAAAGTGCAAAAAAAGAAAAATAGGAGAAAAAAAAATGCTATCCAATCTCCACCGCAGTTTTATGTACAATTATAAATTTGCTCCCTACCTAATGGTTACAGCACACTTCTTTTTATAATCCATCCTGTCTAATCAGCAAAGCCGTAGAAACCATCTCCTCTCCATTCTTGTAGGACCCCTAAATTGTGCACCTGCAGCAGATAAGGAACGCTTAAATACGCGTCCCAAAAATGAGAGGCCTCCACCAATTAACCCAAATCATTTTGTGAAAGTCGGCCAGCCTGAACAAGGTAAACCAAGTCTGTTTTTAGCATCTCGGGCTGTTGTGGGCCAGCCCTGGGCCTCAGCTGGGCCTGTCTATAACAAAGCACACACTTCTGTATTTGTGTGGGTCTTGGGTCACGTAACGTGGGAACCCACCGCCCTGCAGGCTCAGTTCACTTGCATCTGGATGGGAAAGTACACCGTTCTGTGGTGGTTTTTACTGAAACGGGACATTGTGCCCCTTAATTTCTCCCCTTTTTTGATTTATAGGTGTACAAGGAGCTGCTGCTCCGAAATCTCCAAGCGCAGAGAAGGGAAAAAGTGAAGAAATCTGTCTGTATTATGTCTGGCAGTTCTGCAAAAATAAAAGTAAGTCACAGCGAAGAAAATGACGGTTAATTTGTCCTTGCGAGTTGTAATATCTTTGCGGGTTCCATCCGTGTCATCCCTCGTGTTTTTGCCTCTTTTTTTTTTTTTTTAATGCTCCGGCTTGCTTTAGAAGCAGCAAGTGGGTTGACAAGATCCCTGGGACGTTAAGCGAGGGATCCGCTGAGGTGATGGACTGGGGGCGTGACCTTCCTTTCAGGAAAGGGGTGTAAAGGCTCTTTTAACCTATAAAGCAGCAAAAGGCTAAGATGGACATGCAGATCCCAGGTTGAGGCTGAAGGCCACCCTGGACTGTTTCCAGAGAGCAGCAGTTGAGTCATTCATCCATCAGTCATGTCTGGTTCAGTATTTTGAGTTCAATAAATGTCGCCACTCAACTCCCAGAATCCCCCAGCCACAAAGTCCACACGTCTTAAAAGGGCCAAGGTGGAGAAACACCATTCTAGAGTAAGAGAAAGAGGGAACAGAGAAAGGCGAGGAAATGTAGGGGATTTCCTGGATCCAGAATGACTCCTGGGGGATCCCAAGATGCCTCGTGGTAGCTTCCTTGGCAGTCCCGTAGGTACAGATTTTCATGGCTTTCTCCTGGAGATCTAACCCAGTTTATATAACGAACACCGTTTGATAAACCAAGGATTGACTGCTTTATTATGGGAACCTGACAACGGGACAGTTTTTAAACATAACAAAAGAGGATACGAAGCTCAACCTTATTGTTGCCTTTAAATTTACATCATGCAGAGCGGTCAGTACTTCTTATCGTCCAGAAAATTACGAATTAGATTTTTGCTTTTATCCATCAGCTTGGAAATGTGACCCAAAATATATTCCTCTTCCCAGAGACGGTCAGTCGGTCACTGTACTTTTGTAGTAAGCCTATCTGTAAGCTTGCTTTATAAGGATGATTTAGATGATTTACTTTACTCATTCTCTTTGTAGATAATTGCAGTATGATCCATTATGATCTTCCTTACCGGTGGCAGATCTCCACCAGCAATGGCTGGAAGGATCTTCCCAGAAGAGAGGAAATTGAAAAGGCTTACTGCGACCCAAATATTACCAGGTAGAAGATAAAATTGCACACTTTGTGTAAAAAAAATCAAAAAAAAAAATCTCAGCGGATGTTTGCTTTTCCCTAGTGGGATTGAAGCCCGGGTGCCTTCCTCTTGAAATGAGGAGGTGGGCTAATGCCAGGGGCCTCTGCCAGGAGGAGATACCAGACTCTGCAAGGTGGCAGCTGCAGGATTGTGGTTGAAGCCCCCCTCTTTTGAACTTGCATGCAAAGGGGGCGGGGCTTCAGTGATAAAGCCACACCTCTCCCCCTGGCAGATTTTTACAGGTACCCCAAGAGCACCTGGGGTTCAGTGGCTCTGCGTTTCAACTCACAAAAATAGCTGTCTATTACAAGAAAGATGGGTTGCCTAAGGTTAGAGATATTATTTACGGAAGCAAGCGGATCTCTAGCTGAGTGTGTTAGCCAGGAGGGTTTAAGAAGGCCGCCTAAGAAAATGGTGTATATCTTTGAATGTTACTTATTGCAGGGCTGGCCATTCAAGTAGAAATCTCCTCATGTTGTTCCAGGATTCAGTGGGAGGAAAGCTAAGCTGGTAGGAGAAACCTTGGTCTAAAAGAAGTCTCAGCCTATAGACCGGGGGTGTCTGAGCATGTAAGGCGGGGGTCCTCAACCTTGGCAACTTTAAGACTTGTTGAAGTCCACAAGTCTTAAAGTTGCCACGGTTGAGGAGCCCTGATGTAAGGGATGGGTCTGGGGAAAATCTTCTCCACAGAGGACTGCAGGATTTAGATCTGGAGTTGGAAAAGGACCCCAGGTCTGAACCCAAAGCACTCTGGTGAGGGGATCTAAAAATGGAAGAGTAAGATTTCCCTCGTAGCCTGGGATTCACTAAAACCAAGCACAGAATTCATGGAGAACCAGCAGAGAGGTGGACCTGCCAGTACTGTGTAAACCCAGTAGTGCAGTTTGCCAGACACGGATCAAGATTTAGCCTCCTGGTGAACCCAGCCAACTATGGCTTGTTCAGGGCGGGAAAGGGGAGAGAAAACCAGGCTGATTTAGCAGAGCGCGTGTGACTCAGCCAGACTCCTCCTCCTCCACAGTTTTCCAGATCTACATCTAGATTTCATAACCATGACTTCTGTCGCTGATCCCATTCGGCGCCTGTCCACTGTGTCATCGGTCACCAAAGAGGCTAAGTTCGTCATGACAACCAAGTGGCTGTGGTACTGGAGGAATGACCTGGGCCAATGGATCGAATATGGGAAACAGGTCAGTAGAGGACTGGGGTACCGCTAGTCCAGGGATAGGCCACCTTGGCTCTTTTATGACTGGTGGACTTCAACTCCCAGAATTCCTGAGCCAGCATGGCTCAGCTTGGAAACCTCTCCCTTCCCCCTCAGCGTGCCTGGCTGAGGAATTCTGGGAGTTAAAGTCCACGAGTCGTAAAAGAGCCAAGGTTCCCCACCCCTGCCCTATATCAGGGGTCCTCAACCTTGGCAACTTTAAGACTTGTGGACTTCAACTCCCAGAATTCCTGGGCCAGCCTGGCTCAACTTGGAAACCTCTCCCTTTCCCCTCAGCATGGCTGGCTCAGGAATTCTGGGAGTTGAAGTCCACCAGTCATAAAAGAACCAAGGTTCCCCGCCCCTGGTCTAAACTAATATTGTGGCAATGAAGGTGAAATGAAAATGGCTTCAGTTCAGATGTCGCAACGTTGACATCAGGCGTTATTACCATGTCAGTGGATTTCTCTGGTGGTAATACCCGTTCTAAATACCCGTAGTCCTTGACTTATGATTGTAACCAGAATTTTGGTCGATAAGCAGGTCTTCATGTGACTGGACTTGATTTTACGACCATTTTTACTGTGCTCATTAAGCGAACCATCTGGTCATTAAATAAATGCAGCTTTCCCAGTTGGGAAGATCACAAATTGCGATCACATAAGCACAAGACGCAGCAGCCTGTGTGAATGTGAGCTGCTTGCCGTGCGTCGGAATCGCAATCGCCTGATTTGTGGGGTGGTACGAGGGTCATAACTTCCCAGACAGATTATAAGTTACTTTTTCCAAGGCTGTAACTTCAAACCATTATTAAAAGAACAGTCGCAAGTCGAGGATTACCTTATGTTGTGAATCCAGGATATATTCTTGTGTAAAGTGTTTCATTCAAGAAAATGTGTGGAGAAGGGAGGTCCTTATCCTCTAACACAGTGATTCTCAACCTGTGGGTCGGGACCCCATTTGGGGTCGATCGACCATTTCACGGGGGTCGCCAAGCAAGGCTGTCCGCCATTTTTTTTGTCCGCCATTTTTTCCCCCTTTTCCGGCGGGTGCCTTACCTCCCTTGGGCTGGGCCAGCTGGTGATCGGCCTGCTCCGTCTCTGCCGCTTGCCAGCTACGCCTCGGCCGGCACAGGGGGCGGAACCATGCATGCGTGGCGCTCCCGGGCAGGGAAAGTCCTCGACTTACGACCCGTTGGGTAGTCCTTGACTTACGACCGGTTTAGTCCTCGACTTACGACCGGTTTAGTCCTCGACTTACGACCGGTTGGGGTCATGGCATTAAAAAGGTTGAGAACCACTGCTCTAACAAGAAATAAGGTATAATGTTTGATTCCTGTAGGACAGGCAACCCCACCCTGCCAGTCTAACTTCGGATGATCTGGAGAACCTTTTCCTAGCCGAGCCAGATGGAAGCATCCAGTTTGAAGCTGGCTCTCAGAAATACGTGCTGAACTTTAAAAGTAAGGAATCCCACTTCCACAGGTCTGTTCAAAACACCCCTCAGTCTGGTTCCCCCAACACAATCGTGACACTAAGTGGAAATTGTTTTTGTAAGCTGGCCGTGCACAGAAGATTTTTTACGGTTGCTGCTCCGCTCTCAAATTCCCGTTGAATAAGATGAGCAATTGAGTTTTGACCTGGCAGGTGTAATTTGCTTAGTGCCTCCTGGGGCACCCCTGTTTTCCGATGGTTTTGTTGGCCAAGTGGGAAGAGCCAGAATTACTGGCCATTTTCTCCCCCATAGGGAAGGGGGAGATGAAATGGGGACCTCTGTAACATTTAGGGTACCCATTTCTCCCCCGTCATCTGCCCCTCTAAAAAGAAGAAAGTTCTGCAGGCCAAAAATGGGACTTTGGCGTTTGCAATCTCTTGTGCAAGGATCAAGGTGCTACTCCGGCTTTTGAGAAGAAGAGCACGGAATTCAGATCTGATTGGGATGAGCCTCACCCCTTTCTTTCTGCATCTTTTCTCTAGGCACAGTCAGTGTGACTTCGGGGTGGTGTGTTTTTTTTTTTAATCTAAAACCTTTCTACCTTCTTTCTCAAGATATGACCCAGATAAATTTGAACTATCCTACCCAATGGGAGGTCCGAAGGCGTCCCAAGTTTGTTTCCTCCGAAGATGTCAAGACAAAGAAAGGGTAAAGTAGGGGTGTATGGAGGGAGGGGGTCATAATGTCATTAAGACCCCATGCTTCAGTTTGCTTTGTTCCTTCTTTTCCTAATTTCTTGAAAAGGGGCTATGTTTGAGGACAAGTGGAATCCTGCTACAGACTTTTTTTTTTTTACCATCTTGGAGAGATCGAGGGCAATTGAGTCTCCTCTGCTCTCCTTGACCCACTGCCCAGGAGAGTGGCTTGGCTTGACTGCACTGAGGTTGACCAGCCTGGACCCAACAGATCTCCTCCAGTGCAGTGGGTGTGGCATGAATCATTCCAGACTCCAGTATTGGACAGTGGCTTGCTTAAGTCCTCAAATTGTTGGACAACATAACTTCAGACAAACAGAACTTTATTTCATTGACTAATAAAAATATAATCAATAAAATGAACAACATAAAACTATCCCAAACAACAAAAATTATAAGCAACCATTAGTGGGCAAAGCTTATACATAATGTAGGAAAATTTTGCTACCTTTAGAGAAATACATTTATCTTCATTACTTAACAGATAAGTAATTTCCTGAATTATTTAAATAAAACTGCCCCAGAAATTGAGGTATAAAAGAGGGGTAATCAATTGAGGGCGAACGCCCCTGTAGAACTGGCCATGTAGAAGGTGGGCCCATATCACAAGGGCAATATCGGGTCTCATATGAGGGTTTTGCTATATTCCCTTCCAGGCAGCTGTGGGGAGAAGATTAAAATTGTGCTAAACATACGGCTGTATTTCACGATTGCAATACGATACAAATATGAGACTGGTTCACGCAGTCCCATATTTGGTTATTTGCTATTATGAGAGAAAGCAGCCATTTCTCTTCAACCTTCTGTATCTAACGTTATTTGCTTTAATATTTATCTAGCTCGGTCTCGCTCTCAGATGGCATCCACTGTTCCCTTCTCAAAGAAATAGCTAAGGAAGTCCCTTACCATATCAGTGGATTGTCCCGAAATTAAAGAATATCTGTTCTAAATAGAGGGGGTCCTTCACTTAAGGCCACAACTGGGCCAGAATTTTGGTCGCTAAGCGATGTAGCCGAGGGTGACCTTCCTGCTGGGACCTTCAGGATGAGAAATTGCCCGGTTCCATTTTGATGGCTAATTATCATAAAAACTCTTGAGCTGCTATTGTCTTGAGAAACCACAATATAATCAGATTTACTTAACGATTGAAGAGCTGTAGTGGCGCAGTGGTTAGAGTGCAGTATTATTGCAGGCTGACTCTGCCCACCGCCAGGAGTTCGATCCTGACAGGGCTCCAGGTTGACTCAGCCTTCCATCATTCCGGGGCCGGTAAAATGTGGACCCAGCTTGTGGGGGGGCAACAGGCTGACTCTGTAAGCTGCTTAGAGGGGGCTGTGAAGTACTATGAAGCGGTATATAAATCTAAGTGCTATTGCTATCTAAGCCGTGATGGCTCAGTGGTGAGAATGCGGTATTGCAGGCTGACTCTGCCCACTGCTAGGAGTTCGATCCTGACAGGGCTCAAGGTTGACTCAGCCTTCCATCATTCCGGGGTGGGTAAAAGGAGGACCCAGCTTGTTGGGGGGCCATAGGCTGACTCTATAAACCGCTTAGAGGGGGCTGTGAAGTACTATGAAGCGGTATATAAGTGCTATCTGATAAGATGGTTGTCTTTGTTTACTGAAATTGGATTCCCCCCATCCCAAATTTCCTTCTTCCGGTTGGGAGAGAACTCTCTGAAGCTCTTTTCAAAGCTGGAGAACTGAGAGAGACACAGAAGGCGGCCCGCAGGGAAGAGTCTGTCTAGAGACAGCCCGGAAGGGGAAGAAGCTGAACGGGCAGGAAGGAGCCTCTTCTTAGATGGACCCGGAGGGACCCGGGACCCTTCTAGGTCTTTGGGCAGGACGCTCCTCGACCAGGGGAGGAAGTGAAAAGGCCTTGAACCGTCTCCGACCAACTACGGGCGCAGGCAGTCCTTGACCTACGGCCATAACTGAGCCCAAAGTTTCTGTTTCTGCGTGAGACGTTTTGTTAGGCTGAGTTCTGCCCCATTTTGCGACCTTCCTTGCCACAGTCTTTAAGCGAATCACTGCAGTTGTCAAGTTAGCAACACAGTCCTTCAGTAAATCTGTCTTCTCCATTGACTTTGTGTCATGTGTCTGAGTAACGAAACACTTAAAAGGACTTTCAGGCATGTTTTCTCCTAAAAGCATTTATTAATGTTAAAGTACATCAGCACGGCATGGAGGAATGCTTAGAACTGCTTCTCTTCCGTTACGCCTAGCATTCCAGACATTTTCCACTCCCTTATTGTAGGGTCATGGTTCACATCTTCCAATCAACTTGGAAGATGTGATTTACTTCCGGTTTCTTTCTCCCGGGCTATCCTTATGCTCCTCCCTCTTTCCTAGTTGCTGGTTTAACTATATATATACCAGACAGTTCTGCACATTGTCAAAGCAAGAATATACAGTATTTGTAGCGTTGACACTTTGCTTGTCCGAAGGTGGCAAAACGGGGATCCCGTGACCCCCCCGGGGCCCTGCAACCGTCCTAAATACGAGCCTGTTGCCCAGCGTCTGAATGTTGATCGCGCGACCACGGGGATGCTGCAACGGTCGTAAGTGTGAAAAATGGTCATAAGTCGCTTCTTTCCAGTGCTGCTGTAACTTTGCAGAGAATTGGCAGAATTACCCTTCTCAGCTACTGCTCCGTGTTGTGTCCCGCTTTGCTCTTCAGAGATTCCCCAGGAAAAAGGGCCAAAGTCTCCCTTTATCAGCCCTCTGGCCTCGCTTCTAATGAGGACTAGCCAGCCTGAAGCCTGACTTTTTTTTTTCTTTCTTTAATCGTCCCATTTGCTTTTTCCAGAGTGGTTCTTCTGGTTGGAACTAGATGGAGCAGATTAACCATTGTCCCTCACAATTTTTCTCTTGCTTGTACCCAGACACACGGCAACGACAGCTCCTGCACCCACACCGTCTCCCGTAGCAGCTCCAGTTTATCCTCCAAACTGGGATCTTACAGCCTTACCTGCTATCGGATACGAGGTAATGGATTTCTCGATGTTGTTTTTCTCTTTTCCATGTATGTTTCTCACTGCCGCGTCCCCTATTTTATAGAAACTCTATATTGCAGCGTGATACAGTGCTGCAGAAAAGTTTTTACCGGAATAAAATCTAACATTCTAAGTGAGGTGTTGAAAAATAGTACATATGTGCCTGAAAAGCGTATGTCCTCTTTAGGCTTGCATTAAAATATCCAGAAGTACGCTAGAATGTGTAAGTTTGAATTGTAAAATAAGTTTATTTCCCTCAAGGCCCGCTACGCGGCTGTTTGGGGGAAGTTCTGGGGAGGGAGAGGTGCTTATTTTTAGCTTCATTACTTCTGTGGTCTCTTGTGGTTTCCATTAAAAAGCCAAAACACAAGAAGGAGAAGAGAGTAGCAATCTGAGGAGCAAATATGATATATTGCCATCGCTCACCATGGGGTGCGGATGCTCTGTAGTCTTTCAAACTCCGATGTGAACCCAAATTTATAGGATTCCAAGTCTTCCAGTTTGGGACTTTAAATGGAAGAAATCGTTCCCTTTCTTTCTGGAGTCATGACCAACAATGTCTTCAACACCTTGTAATATCCTTGGTTTTAGGCCATTAACCTCAACAAAGGGTCTCCAGAGTTCGTGAAAATTGAGAATCTCTTTCAGATGACGATGAAAAACAGTAACATTCGCAAAATAGAACGAATTCAGAACCCGTCTCTTTGGCAAGTCTACCAATGGTTTGTATATTTTATTTTATTACATCCTTGCTGTCGATCTCTCAAGAAGTCAGGCGTCGTGACTTCTTCAAGCAGTCACTTTATTACCTCCATTGACTTACCCAGGGCATATCAGTCGACTTTCAGAATTAATCAGATGCGTATCTTTCATTTTTATGCCTCTATAGCAGTGTTTCTGAAGCTTGGCCACTTTCAAATGGGTGAACGTCAACTCCCAGAATTCCCTAGCTCAGGGGTAGGCAACGTTGGCTTTTTTATGACTCATGGACTTCAAGCTCCCAGAATTCCTGAGCCAGCCACGCTGAGGGGAAAGGGAGAGGTTTCCAAGCTGACCCATGCTGGCTCAGGAATTCTGGGAGTTGAAGTCCACAAGTCTTAAAGTTGCCAAGGTTGAGGACCCTTGATATAGGGCAGGGATGGGCAACCTTGGCTCTTTTATGACTCGTGGACTCCAACTCCCAGAATTCCTGAGCCAGCCATGCTGAGGGGAAAGGGAGAGGTTTCCAATCTGAGCCATGCTGGCTCAGGAATTCTGGGAGTTGAAGTCCACCAGTCATAAAAGAGCCAAGGTTGCCTACCCCTGGTCTAGGGCACATTCAACCAAGGAAAAGAGGAACTGTGAAGAAAGGGGCAGCTGTTGTTGTCTCTTGCTTGTGTAGCTCATTCTCTGATGGAAAGTGATCCTCATCAGAAATGGGGTCTTGCTTCATCATCCTTTCTCTTGCCCCAGAAAACCTGCCCTCTTAAGTGCCCTCTTTTCTCCACGGCGCTGAGCCGAGAGGCCGTCCCCTGTGGAGGAACATAGTTGCCTTCAGCCTCAGCGGCGGTAGAGCAACGTACATCTTTCCTTCCTTCTAGGCAAAAGGAGCAGATGAAGAAGAAGAAAGGAGGGCAGAAAATTGACGAACGGCTCCTCTTCCATGGGACGAGCCCTTCCAGGCTGAAGGCCATCTGCGTGGACAACTTCGACTGGAGAATCTGTGGCACAAATGGGACCGTTTATGGGAAAGGTGAGTCCTGAAGCCGCTTGGAGCCAAAGCAGGAAGCAGCGCGGTTCCCCCGGAGAAGGAAGGTGATGCTGGGGTGCATTTTCTCTCCCCCCCACTAGGGGGCAGCGTTTTGCTGACTTTGCTGGGCTCCTTGGAGCTTAGGAAGAAGATCTGGTTGGCACTTGAACTATGAGAAACGTCAGGGCAGTGGCCGAGATTGGAGAGAAAGGGATAAAAAGATGAAGACAAGTTGCCAAGGGAACTACATAGAGATGTTTCTAAAGCAGGGGTCTTCAAACTTGGCCCTTTTATGACGTGTGGACTTCAACTCCCAGAATTCCTCAGCCAGGCACACGTGCCTGGCTGAGGAATTCTGGGAGTTGAAGTCCACAAGTCATAAAAGGGCCAAGTTTGAAGACCCCTGCCCTAAAGTCAATAGGAACCACTCAAGACTTTTTTCCACTACTTTTGTCTATGCTGTGATTTGTGACCGAGATATTTTCCATCTAAGAAAGGATTAGGTGTTCTCTGAGCTTGGCAGATGAGGGCTGTCCAGGAAGGGTGGTGTGTTGCCGTTGTCTTCTTCCCTTGTGACTTTTGTTCCTCTGGGAATGAAGGGAAGAGGAGGGGCAAGAGAAGAAGAAAACAACACACTATAGCCTTCCTGGTTTATTTTTATCAGCAGAGGAAATGATGGGGAATTAAAAACACAGGTCTGTCAGAAAAACAACACACACTAATCAGGTGCTCAGTTATCAGAGTAACAACCCAGCTGCCGTAAGAGGAGCTGTGTGACAACAACATTCAGAGAAGCACAAACACACACTGCATCAACCCAGAATAATCAGAAAAAGGGAACAGACTTATCTGCACCACTTCTTCTAGCAAAGCGGATGGCAAGCAGCTTTAACAAAAAGTGCATGACTTCTCAGCCCACCACAGCACAATCAACCCAGGTTATGTGAAACACAACACTCCTGCATGTCAAATAATGTGTCAGAAATAACAAACAGGCTGTTACAATCACACAGCACACAAAGCAGCCAAAGCCCTCCAAAACATAAGTAAATAAAAAAGATCCAGGAGCCCAAGAAGAAAAAAAAACAGAAGAAATCTGCAACACAACAGTGTAAGGGACTATAATAGCCACGGTGTAGTACAGAACTCTCCTGTCTTTGGGATGCATTTTGAATGTCTTTTTTGCCCTGTGCTGCTTTCCAGGAAGCTATTTTGCCAGAGATGCCAACTATTCTGACAACTACTGCAAGGCGAAGGACGATGAGAAGGTGATGTTCGTGGCGCAAGTCCTAGTGGGTGAATATGCCGTGGGGAATCCGATATACACTCGCCCGCCGGCGAAACTGACCGGCGTGCTCGACACTTACGACAGCTGTGTGGATCGTACAGTAAACCCGTCTGTCTTCGTCATTTTTGAGAAGCATCAGGCTTATCCTGCCTATCTTATCTTTTACAGAGAGGAAAAGAAATGCATTTTATCTTAAAAAATGCCTTTACATTATCATAATAATCTTAGCAGTTTAAATGCGTGTGGCCCTTCTTTTCAAATCAGTCCGATTTTATGGAAGCGATATCTGTTTTCAGAGGAGTATGAAAGGTTGAATCACTATTGTTGATGGATAGAAACCCTACTTTATTTTTATCACAAAGATGTTTTAAGAATACCGAAAATTTGTAAAAAAAAAAATTAGGGGTTTTAAATCCAATTTTACTAATCTCGTTTCTTAGTAAACAAGTTTTTGTTCCTCTTCAGCTTTTAGCTTTTAATATATCATGTTTATTATGGATGGGTGTTTAATCCATCAATAAGGTTGGACAAACTATATTTATACTTTTGTCCACCTAGACGGATGCAAATTGTTACTACTGAAGACATACAGTGAGTGATTATCAAAAGAAACTCCTGTTTGCTCTGCGTATAAGTGAAAGTTTCGCATCAGCTGTAAGATCCAGTGGTTTGAAAATAATACCTGTGGTTCTGAATCCGTGATTAAAGTTCTTCGTTTTCTATTTCAGCTTACACAATCATGCTTCTGCGCATACCCCCCCTCCTCCTCCTCCTGTTGTCGCTTAATGATTTGATGTAACGCTTTCTAGCATCCGGCTTCAGCAGCTTCATATTTTCAGTTTAGCAAGTGTGTGATCCTCGCTTTTTCATTTTACACAAGATTAGTATTACATTTCCTTGCTTTGCATATTTGCGTGTTAATTATACAGTTGGGAAAATGCGATGCTGATTTTTCTGCAGATTGGCTTGAAAAGCATCATTGTGGTAATAGTAGTGAGGGACCAGGGTTGGCATTAAACCCGGGAATAAAAGTTGCCCTCGATATCAAGAAACATCTAGTTGTGCCTCGTAAAGAAAATCTCTGTTGCTCTATAAAGATCATCCTTGACTTATGACGCCTTTGTTCGGTGGCTGTTCAAACTTACAACGTTCCTGAGCAAAGGGACTTAAGAGCCAGCCATGAAGTTAAGGCTGTTGCAGGAGTGCCACTCACCTGATTGGAATTTGGGGATTGGCAGCCCACGCACAATTACGACTATAGGGGCACTTTAACTCCCCATCACCACACACACACACACACACCGGCCTCTCTCCCCCCCATTTATGTGCCCTTTGGCCCCCTGCTACCCGGCACTCCACCACCCTAGCTGGCCCTCGCCATCCTGCACCCACCGCTGATGAGGGGAGCTGGGCCCGGCTGCGGCGCTGGACTTTGGCTGCGGAAAGAAAAAAGCCGAAAGTCAGCCTAAACCAGAGCACACCAAACCAGGCGCTGCGCTTGGGATTTTTTCTTTCCCACGCCTGGTAGCTGGGCACCCCTCCCAGCAGCTGGAGCAAGAGGGCGGCGGAGTGCAGGTGCCCGCAGGGCCTTGGGGGGAAAGGGGCGAGGGGGCCTGGGCTGAGAGGGACGCGGCTTCTGGGGGTGTTGCCAGCAGTCCCCAAATGGTGCTGTGCTGGAGCTGCTGGCCACTGAAGGAGGCAGTAGCCAAAGGGCACCAGGTGGGAGGGAGAGGGAGAGAGAGGCGGAGTGGGGGAGTTGGAGACCGACCAACCCTTCCCGAGGCTAAGGGCTGGGAGGGAGCAAGCACCAAAGTGGCTTGGCTTGGGTGGGTAGTCGCTTAACGACGACAACCGGGAGGAGCCAGGATTGCTGTCATAGGTCGGTGTGGTCACATTACTTGACAACAGAAATTCCTGTTCCTGTTGTCGTAAGTTGAGGATTGCTGTAGTGATTTTTGTACTTTTATATTTTTACCTCCCTGCTAAAACGCTTCATGAATAAAACGTCAATTTTAGCACGTGGTCGTCTTTTTTATGCTCCTCCTCTGTAAACTCTGTCCATCTGGGCAATTTGCAGACGATACAGCGGCCATTGGCCCCGTTAGAGGCGGGGAGGAGTCTGCACAATAGACGGGAGGCTGGACAGCCGGCCCTGCGGTGCAGCTGGGACCATCTGGAGATCAGCAGGCTTAAAACTATGGAGATGAGTGGACGTTAGGAGGAACCCTAAAATCACCTCTTACCATATTCAACAGTGCAGTATCAGCAGTAGAGTCCTTCAGACTTTGGGGTTCCATAATCTCCAGAGACTTGAAATGGACACCTAACATTAGAACTATCCTTAAGAAGGCACAACGAAGAAGGTTCTTCCTGCATCAACTCAGGAAGTTCAGACTGGACCGGAAGCTGCTGATACGGTTCTACAGAGGAATTGTTGAGCCCGTCCTTTGTACGTCTACAACTCTCTGTTTCGGCACAGGAACCAAACAGGGCAGGTACAGACTCCCAACGGATAGTTAGGACTGCAGAAAGAATCACGGCAGCCAGCCTGCCTGCCACTGAGGACCTGTATATTGCCCAAGTCACAAGGAGGGCTGAGAAAATGTCTGCAGACCCCTCACCTCCTGGACATAAATTCTTTCAACTCCTCTCCCAGGGATGGAGTTGCAAGGCATTGCAGGCCAAAACAACTAGACAGGGAGACAGTTTTTCCCCTCGTGGCATCACTCTGCCGGACACCTAAATCTCGCCGTGCTGTCTAATGTCTATGCATGTATACGTTTGAGACCCAGAATTTAACCTTTTTTTTAAAAAAAAAAAAGGGCAATAAATTTGTACTTTCTGAATAATCAAATGTTTATTTGATAGCCCTGCAGCCCAAATTGTACCCCATTAATTTTTTTAAAATAGAATTTGTAAATCAGCATTGCCAACAGATCAAGCAAGATGCCTCCTTTATCGGGCTGCCTTTTTGTTTTCTGTAGAGCTGCACAGAAGCAACTAACATTCAGTAAACTAAGCAGGATAGGATCGAGATGGGGCAAAATTAAGCAAGGGTAAATCTTCCAGATGCTGTTTTCTAAAGAACACCATAAATTCCTTGGATTTAAGCAAGGTTGGGCCACGATTTCCTTAACCTGAAAGTTGGGTTTATCCCGGGGTCTGAAGAGCTACTGCTTTTCGCATCAGCCGCCCAGTCAGTGGCGAGTTTGGTCTGAGTTCATCCCGTTCCAGAAGGAGGCATCTGAAGAACCAAAGGACAAAACTCTTGAAACATTTTATCTTGAACAGAAGAGCTTTTTGAAACCCGAAGCGTCATTAGACTTCCCCCCCCACGTAAGACCCGGAATGGCCGTGTGAAAAGTGCAACTTCCTTGGCAGACCTCAAAGGTAGCTATAAAACCACACCTGGAAGGAGTTTCGTGGAACGTCTAGCTAGCCCAGGGTTTCTCAACCTCAATAATTTTAAATGGGTGGACTTCAAATCCCAGAATTCCACAGCTGGGAATCCACAGAGGTATGCTCCAGTTGCAACCATTTGTTTAGTGGCCATTCAAAATTACAAGGTCTTCAAGAAGAGGCTACGTAGCCATTTGTCCACTGGGCAACTGTGGCCCCTTTACAACCCGTTGCCTTCATGGTGGCTCAGGAATTCTGGGGGTTGAAGTTCACCGTCTGTAGGGGAGCCACAGTTGCCCATCCCTGCTGTAGTGGATCCTGGCTGAACGTGGGGCTGGATTAAAGGATATCCTAAACATGCATTACAACTCTGATTCCATGAAGAAACTAATTGTTGCCAATTCAGCTAATCAACATCAACAGAATTCAACACAAGTATCCCATCACTGGAGAGTTTTTCAAAACTCATTTTAATTTTTCAGCCAATTCACCTTCTCACGCCTTCAAAAATAATTTAATAAATGACCGCGCCTACTAATCCTGGTTAATCAAATCAAGTTCCTCATTACAGGTCAGTGACCCGGACTAAATAAAACCTACAGAGTAAACTACAAAATAGTTTATCTTAAAAAAAAAAGCTAAGCAGGACTGTTTGGCCCCAGCAGAAAATCCCACATCTGTGGATTACACTGAGAAATCAGAAAAAACATCTTGAAATAGGGACAAGATGATGGAAGAAAACAAGGCAGTTGCAAGCCTCCAGCTGGAATTGAGGAAAGCTGTTAAACTTTTTTGGTAATACCAAAATGGTTTAGATTGCATTTCTGGGCAGATACAATTTAACTGCAAGTTTGTTACTAGCAGGGGACGGGTTAATAATCACTCTCTAATGGGAGTCTGTAATGAACTGTGGGCATTCAAAATAAAAGCAAAAAGTTCTTGCCTCCTTTCAAATAATAACAGATGTTCATGTCTCCTCCGAAAAAAACTGTCTTCCTTGCTATCTGGTGGTGACTGCAGAACTTTCCACCATGTCAACCACTCAAAAAATTGAATCCCTGCTCCTCTTACGGATTGCAACCAGGATTCACCTCTGCGTTCATTGCTGTCTTTCAACTACGTAAAACCCAGAATCCAGTACATGTTGTACTTACCTAGCAAGTCTTTGGTTGGCTTTAGATTTACATTTTAAAGCAGCATGAATCAGGAACTGGGCAAAAACATCTCTCTGGAAGAGAAGGAAATGTAGAAGAGACGTTATTTATTCCTAGCAAGACGACTGCAGGGCGAGCGTCTGGAACCGATGAGGCGTAAGTGCAAAGGAAGTTTGCAGCCCACTTCCGCTGAGCAGTTACCCAACATGGAATTAGAAATTTTGCTTTTCCAGAATTAAACGTAAGCATGTTCCCTTTTTTATTTTTAAATCAACGGCCTCTGCTAGAGGCTCTAAGGTGGAACGTGATGCTCAGGATGAATTATATTTGCTGCTCAGGCTGGTTAAACCCTCAGACTGACTGGAGCATCTGCAGAGATATTGCAGAGATATCTGCAGAGATATCAGGATATTGGCCAAGATGAAGTTCCACCTCTGTATCGACACCCGTTGTATACACAAAAAAGAGGTGGGCTTTTGATTACATGGTCTCGGCCACCATCTTGACCTTTTTGACACCCCCCCCCCCCATGAATACCCCTACTTCGGCTAATAATGAACTGACCAACTAAAAGGAAGTACCCCCCCTCTTTACTTCCGTGACTCTGCTTTGCATACTGAATGAGCAATTCTCTTTCTCTCCTTTAAAAACCAAGGTAGCTAGTAACGCAGTGGTCATTCTGGGCAGGATCCTTCCCAAAACCAACAGTTTGAGGAAAGAGAAAGAAGGAAGACCAAGGCTGAGTGCTCTTCCCACGCAGGAGAAATGGGCAAACCCAATCCCTGTGTGAAAAAAAGACGAAATCAGGACAGAAACACGATTCCCAGGAAAGCTGAAGCTGAACATTTAGAATTAGCAATCCAGAGCGGAAGCAAGCTGACAAATCCCAGACAAATGTTACGAAGATCGCAAAACGGGTGTTCCAGTCCCACCAGCCAGCTGAAGGTCTTCCATCCTGCTCGTGGCTCACACCTGGAGGTGGGGGGCCCTGGAACCGGGGTCCAGGAGCCCAGCTGACACTTTATTCAAATGACAATCCTGGGTCTTCACTAACTGAGTTTCCAAACCTAAGTTATGGATTTGTGGTGCTTCTCAGTCCCTCTTGATTTGTGTATGTGTGTAGGACACGACTTCCTGAGGTCCCCCACCCCTAACAGGATAAACCAGTAAATTTCTCAACCGGGGCCACTTTAGGGTGTGTGGGAATTCAGCTCCCAGAATTCTCCAGCCAGCATAATTAAAGTGGCCCAGGTTGGGAAACCTTTGGATAAAGGAATAAAACACTCATGAAAAAGCCAGCAAAACCCGTAACTCCCTCCTCACCTGGGCATCGCTCCCTCCGATTTTAACCACCTGGTATCGGACGGGGTACAGCAGCTCCACCGCCTTGTCGTAATGTCCTTGGTCAAACTCCACAAACGCCTGTAGGAGAGGCAGCCCCAGACTGGGAACCAGGCTCAGCTGATCGTCTTCCGTGGGAGTCCTAGGAAGGAGAGCCAGACTGGAAATGACCCGCGTAAAATCAGGCAGTTCATAGCCCCAAATGAAAACGTTCCTCACTGGCACCGCAAGGGCAGGGAGCCCGGAGGAAGCCCAAAGCGAAGAATGGCTCAAATCTGTCCCTGTAGGCCAGGGGTCCTCAACCTTGGCAACTTTAAGACTTGTGGACTTCAACTCCCAGAATTCCTCAGCCAGCAAAGCTGGCTGAGGAATTCTGGGAGTTGAAGTCCACAAGTCTTAAAGTTGCTAAGGTTGAGGACCCCTGCTGTAGGCAATCCTTGACTTACAACCATCCATTTAGCGACCGTTTGAAGTTGCCACACTGAAAAAAGAGGCAATCGGTCCTTGCACTTAGGACCACTGCAGCATCCCAAAAGTCAAACGATAAAAATGTGGACAACCAACATGTATCTAAGATGGTTCAGGGCCACCATGATTGACACTTGTCACCTTCCCAGCCAACGTCCGACACACAAAATCAATGGGAGAAGCTGGCTTCACTTAATGACACGATTCACTTAACAATTGCAGTGATTCGCTTAACAAGCATGGCAAAAACTCAGTCAGTGACTCACTGAACGACTGCCTCGTTTAGCAACAGAAATCCCAGTAGTCGTCGTAAGTCAAGGACTGTGTTGCTGGAAGTGCATTGGAGGTCCCCCTGGGTTCTTTTGCCTGATTGTTGGGCAACATTCCTTAGATTTGCTTGGCAGGTTAAGACAGAACTTACATTTTTACGGGCAACCATGCTTGATGTCAACAGCACTTCAAGCTCATTAAGAAGCTGAACACAGTGAAAAGCTGCAGGCTTCTTTCTTGTCAACGGTGACAAAAAAGGTCGTAAAGTGGGGCAAAACTCACTGAACAAACATCTCACTTAACGACAGAAAAATTGGGCTCAATTGTGGTTGTAAGTCGAGGACTACCTGTACTTCGATCAAGAAGTTTGTAAAATTGGGTCCGACTCATTTAACGACCGCCTTGGTTAGCCACAATATGCTACTCCCCATTGTGACCTGAAGTCAAGGACGTCCCGTAGTTCTTGGACAAGAACGAGCGACCCCCATTTGCAGGCTAGTCCAGGAAACCAAAACAGCCCCCCCCCTCCCACTGGGCTTTACGAAGATGCTCCTCTTAAACAGGCCACATTGGAGGCCACGTTGGAGGCCACGGAGGCTTCTTGCCAGGAGGGTGGGTCACTTACTGGACCAGGTCCTGTAAAGTGGTGAGAAGCTCAGAGGACGTTTTTTGATCCTGAGCACCCAGGGAGGCCATCAGAAAGTGGGCATCGTTGAAGATCAAGGTGTGGTCCCGCGTGTGTTTCTTCGTCACCTGGTTTACTGCTTCCCACCTGTCGCCCACCTGCACCCCTAGGAAGAGAGGCGTGTTTTAGGTCTGAGAACTGGCCAGCGTCCCCGTGAGCGAGTTGGGGGGCAACGCAAACGTCTGAGAGAAGCCACCGCTTTGTACACTTTGGAGCCTCCTTCTGCTGGGGGCCGATTCTAAGCTCAGCCGTCTCGGGACGGAAACCGGTTCCCTCCCCCCAAGACAGACTCTGCTCTGCCCCCTCCCCACCTGGGCGCGAGGTGTTTCCCCTGCTCCGTTCTGGCAAGCAAGAACTGCCAGCCTTTGCCCCCCAGAAGAGAACCCCGCTCACTCGCCTGCCCCAGCCCCCCCCCCAGCTGCATGTCTGAAGCTCAAGGCAGGATTCATGTTTGCTTTGTTGTCAGACTGCCACCTTGTGATTATTTTGTGGTTATTTTTCCATTGTTTTGATTAATTTCATTAAAACAGAATAGAATAAGAGCAGAATTTTAGAATAAAATAACAGAACAGAATAAAACTAGAGTAGGAGTAGAGTAGAGTAGAGTAGAGTAGAGTAGAGTAGAGTAGAGTAGAGTAGAGTAGAGTAGAGTAGAGTAACAGAACCGAACTGAACAGGATAGTATAGAACAGGACTAGAATTGAACAGAACAAAACAGAACAGGAATAGAACAGAACAGGAACAGAACGGAAAGACATAGAATGGGATGGGATAGACTAGACTGGATTGGGATGGGATAGGATGAGATGGGATGGGATAAAACAGAATGGAATAGAATAGAATAGAAGTGGAAGGGACCTTGGAGGTCTTCTAGTCCAGCCCCATGCACAAGCAGGAGAACCTATATCATCTCAGACAAGTGACTGTCCAGTCTCTTCTTGGAAGCCTCCAGTGATGGAGCACCCACAGTTTCTGGGGGCAGGTTGTTCCACTGGTTAATTGTCCTCACTGTCAGGAAGTTTCTCCTTAATTCCAGGTTGCTTTTCCCTTTGTTCAATTTCCAACAGAACAGAACAATAACTCAGCCTCCCTCAGCTGCTCACTCTTGTCAAATTAAACACAACTCACCAATGGGACACCCAGTTGACAGTTTTCAACACACCGAGCTGAACAAATCTTTTTGTTTGACAGGGAATATAAATATGAACTTAAACTGTAAAGAAGGAGGCGAAACAAAACGAAGGACATCTCTTCTGCAAGACATTTAGAAAATGTAAGTAGGAAAACTCTTTTTTTTTGTACCTTCTAATTCAAGCCTATATAGCATGGAGCTGTTGTCAACCGCATCCAGCATGGTCCCACTCAGCTGCAAGCTGGGAGCAATCTGCAAATCCCAAATTAATAAGAGTTTAGACCAGGGGTGGGGAACCTTGGCTCTTTTATGATTCATGGACTTCAACTCCCAGAATTCCTCAGCCAGCCCTGCTGAGGAGAAAGGGAGAGGTTTCCAAGCTGAGCCATGCTGGCTCAGGAATTCTGGGAGTTGAAGTTCACGAGTCAGAAAGCGGCCTAGGCCTAGGCCAGAGGTAGGCAACCTTGGCCCTTTTATGACTCGTGGACTTCAACTCCCAGAATTCCTGAGCCAGCCATGCTGAGGGGAAAGGGAGAGGTTTCCAAGCTGAGCCATATTGACTCAGGGATTCTGGGAGTTGAAGTCCACCAGTCATAAAAGAGCCAAGGTTTCCTACCCCTGGTTTAGACTATTGGGGGGGGGGGAGGGGAGGAAGGAGAGCATTGTTTTGAACTGTTCAATTTCCTCAACAGCTATCAGAATAAAGTTAGTTTTTTTCCTTTTCCTGTCTCCTTATTCCTACTTTGCGTTTCCTCTTCCTATTTAAAAGAAAGGATTTCACAGAAGAGAGAAAACCCTTTAAGTTAAGAGTCAGGCAGTGCACACATTTTATAATTTTCTTCAGGGTCTCCACCCAGGTACTGCAACCCTAAATGACAAATAAAGTGCACACATGCTAGTACTCTCAAGGATGAAGAACCCTCAAGCACATTGTCTACCCACAAGAAAACGGGCCTCAATATATTAAGTGCACCGGAGAGCCACAAAAACCACAATTTGCTACAGCACAGGTTTTTCTTCTCTCGCACATTTCTCAGACTAAACAAGCACTGACTCCTACACAGCCGACTGGAGGGTAATGTAGGACTGTCAGAGCTTAACTGCTGAATCTGGACTGTCTCTAACTGGCAGCAGAGATACGGAGACCTCTAACTCCATAGAGAATTCGAACACCCCAGATTTTAACAACTCAACAAAAGACTACCCCCCCCAGTAGTCACCTCTAACAGAGATTGTGTAACCTGGTGTACACAGAAGTGTGTCTTTACTCTGAAAAACTCTCTTGTTACCTACTCAGGAACATGTATTATTATTTTTTTTTTTAAAAGCAGCACATATTATGTAAATCATATGGGCATGCTCAATTTGCAAATCCAGTTTTATTTTGTACAAAAATGTAATTATTTTACAGTATTGAGTGCAACTGATAAGAATAAGGTTAAAGCAAGGAATCTAGTACTTACGTGGGTGTCATAAATTGTCAAAGCAGCCTCATAATCACCCTGCACACACGGGAAGGAAAACGAGTCATCAGAATTGTCATTTCTCAGATTCTAATCCCAGTAACCCCTTGTCCTATTTGCAATTACTGAGCACCAGGATCCAAAAGAAAATGGAGAATATAAAAAGCCCAACAAACAATGATTTGTAAACACCACATTTCTGGCCAAGGGAAGGTGGTTTCCTTGGTTCAGCCCCGGGTGCGAGTCTTAACTCACACTGTGGCTGCTGAAATCACTGCCACCGTCCGCTTCAGGAATTAGCCACGCATGTGCAACAGGTCCCATCATCCCACTAGAAATACTAAACCAGCGCACTCAGCGCAAAACACACACACACACACCAGATGCCACATCTGCCCCAAGGTCAGCCAAAGCGAACCCCATGGTTGACCCTCACGGTTGGGGAACCCCTGTGACTTTTCTGAACTGCTGGCGAATGCCCTGATTCCATCCCAGTTGCGCATCGAAAGCAAGATTTACTGTCACAAAAGGGGATGATTAACATCTTGTTCTATTTCTACTACTTGGAGATGATACCAGCTCTCCGCTTCCCACATGCATGTGACCCCTTCTGAAAGGACAGATAGCGGTGGAAGAGTCCACTTACCGTTTCAATATAATATAACGCCCAGTGCCAATAATTATGGCAAGCAAGCATGTCAGAGTCCTGGAATGGAGAAAGCACGATCAACGTAAGCTAGAAACGTATTCTGGTGCAAGCAGAAGAAAAACACCCTCCAGAAGTACATTATCGGAAACTATTGTTAGAGAAATGCCAGGATGATCAACCCAAGGCCAAAGAGTTTGGTCTTTTATGCTGATGTTCCAGATGTGATACATTCCCCCATCCCTCTCCTGATGTTGACAGTCCCTGTTGCAATATTCATTCTTAGAATAGTCTGCTAAGGTAGATCAGGATCTAAACTTCCATATTCCTGAAGGATGGATTTAAGCAAATGGTGTCTTGATCACACACAAGACCCCAATAATAAGCCAAGCATCCAAAGTGCAACAAAAATCTAGGATGTTGATAAAATCACTTAAAATCTGCTAGCGGTCTGTAACTACCACGAACCTGCTCTCCAAAAAGGCACTGCAGAAGATACGCATAAAACAGGGGTGACGCTTCAGTTACCATCCTGACTCTTTCAACCCACCTGCAGGCACCCTATAAGGAACCACTATTGCCACATAATGCGACACGTGGCAAAAAGTGCCACAAACCCTTCAGGGTGAGAGGAAGCTGGTGGCCATTTTAGAAAAACCGAATAAGTAGACGGTTACCTTCCAGTTGTTTTCAGTTTGCTTCATGAACGCCAGCCCGCCATTAAAATCCGCTTTCATTTCATTCACGTGAGCCAAAGCGTGGACAGACCAAGCATCCCTCGAGTTGATGGCTAAAGCCTAATTGAGGAATGCAGGGAATAGAAAATGATGCATTCTAAGGAAGCTGTCATTGCATAATGTGGAGAGCTTCACATAAGACTTGGCTAGATAATAATAATAATAATAATAATGATGATGATGATGATGATGATGATGATGATGATGATGATGATAAAGTTGGAAGGGACCTTGGAGGTCATCTAGTCCAAACCCCTGCTCAGGCAGGAAACCCTATACCATTTCGGACAAGTGGCCATCCAGTCTCTTCTTAAAAACTTCTGCATCCGAGGATGGAATTCCTGGAAACTTCAGTCCTTGAATAAACCGTGGGGCTGAGAGAGATATTACTGGTCCCTTCTGATTCCCCCCCCCTCACTCAGCTTCTCTGTCAAAAAATGAAGGGCAGGATTCTCCATATAATAATAATAATAATAATAATAATAATAATAATAATAATAATAATAATAATAATAATAATAATAATAATAATAATAATAATAATAATAATAATAATAATAATAATAATAATAATAAAAGTTGGAAGGGACCTTGGAGGTCATCGAGTCCAACCCCCTGCTCAGGCAGGAACCATACACCATTTCAGACAAATGGCTGTCCGGTCTCTTCTTAAAAACTTCCAGTGTTGGAGCATTCACCGCTTCTGGAGGCAGGTTGTTCCACTGGCTAATTGTTCTCACTGTCAGGAAGTTTCTCCTTAGTTCTAGGTTGCTTCTCTCCTTGATCAGTTTCCATCCGTTGCTTCTTGTCCTGCCTTCAGGCGCCTTGGAGAATAGCTTGACTCCCTCTTCTTTGGGGCAGCCCCTGAGATATTGGAAGACGGCTATCCTGTCCCCCCTCGTCCTTCTCTTCGTTAAACTAGACATACCCAATTCCAGCAGCCTTTCCTTATATGCTTTAGCCTCCAGTCCCCTAATCATCTTTGTTGCTCTTCTCTGTACTCTTTCCAGAGTCTCAACATCTTTTTTACATCGTGGTGACCAAAACTGGATGCAGTATTCCAAGTGTGGCCTTACCAAGGCATTGTAAAGTGGTATGAATACTTCACGTCTTCTTTCCCTTACCTCAAAGGCCATCTTCTCAGCACGGTCATAGAAGTTGGTCTCGACCAAGCCGAAGGCATACATGCCTTTGATGTAGCTAAAGGGAAAAGGGAAAACTTTCACACAGAGGTTGGTCAGCAAAGAGTTAACCCTCTTTAAAGCAACATTTCTGACTTTTAGGTTAGGGGTCCCTGAATTCCCAAACCAGATCCAGTTAAGCAGCTGCACAATATCTGAACTTTGGGGTTTATCTTGAGGGGCCACGGCATGTCTCCCCTCTCCCTGCCCCCCTCTGGGGGATGAATCTGCAGCCTGCTGAAGGGTGAGCAGGTGGCTCCTTCAGAAAGCCCCCGGGGTTGGGGATGGCAGGAAGGCAGAAGGACAAGTCTCTGCCTGGGTTGGACTACAAGACCCCCGAGGGCCCTTCCAACTCTGCTATTCTGTATTCTACTCTTTGTCCTTTAGCAAGATGTGTGAACCTGGGCCACTGTCCGTTTAGGGCCCGTGTTCTGTCCGAACATGGGTTAATTTAACACGGTCAATATATTCATCAAGGATGAATGCTGAGTAGATGGACTTTTGTTGTGTGTTTCGCCACAAGCTTCGCCACAGGTTCCCTGATGGAATCCTGGTTCATTCCATTCTTTCTCCGATCTTCTCCCCAATTCTTTCGTCTTCCATTGTGTCTGTTAACACACACACACACACACAAACCCTGTTAATGAGGGGAAGCTAGAGTACTTTGGGCTAAGGGGCATTTTTGGGAAGGCAAACCGAGTCACACAATGCAGACAGGGATGTTGTGATGTCGCAATGCATGCAACATCACTGGGGCTCGTAACAATGTGGGGAGGGAAACACGAAAAAAAGCAGGGAGGAAAGAAAGTGGAAGAGTGGAGGGAAGCAGGCAGGCAGGCAGGCTTAAACTGTGCACAGAAACCCTTCACACCGGATCCATTTGTGTTGCACCAGTGGAAAAATAAGAGCGTGGGGAACACATGGAGCCAGAATAGCTTTTTGGTGCTAAAACGGAATCCCACCGATTCACTTTTGCACGCTTCAACTGAGAAGTGGGAGACCTCTCAGCCTTAATTATTTTTTTAAGCCAAGGAACATCTTAGAATCCGTTCAGAAGCAAAACTGCCTCACCTGCTAAGAGGAATATCTGGAGTCCAATGACGATACACCCGGGCAATGGAGTCTCTCATTTGATACTGGGACCCCAAGTAGAAATAGCCATCGTGGGCAAATTTTAGGGCCAGCACGTCGGTTGGGTTGATCATCAGGATTTGTTCCCACGTATCACAGGCTCGGTAGATCTGCCTACAGAGGAGAAAAGTTTACAAATTAGTGTTCACGCAAGGCCGTTAAGGGTAGGTAGTCCTCAATCTACGACGACAATGGAGTCCAAAATTGATGTTGCTAAGTGAGAAATTTGTTAAGTGAGCTTTGCCCCATTGTACAACTTTCCTTGCCACATTTGTGAAGAGAATCACTGCAGTTGTTAAATTAATAACACGGTTGTTAAGTGAATCTGGCTTCCCCATTGACTTTGCTTGTCCGAAGGTCGTAAAAGGGGGGTCGCCTGACCCTGGGACACGGCAACCGTCATTAAATGTGAGTCAGGCAAGACACCAGAATATGAACCGACGGCAAACTCCACTCCTCACTAGCACTGATGATGTTAGCTAGTTAGGGCAATGAGATGTCTGCAAGGAAACAGGCAAGCTCAGAGGGCACCCAGGAGCCCTTTGGGAAGGAGAGAGATGGCGTTAACTCTGAATACTCTAAACAGGCTTTGCTGGAGACAGGGTTGAGCTTCAAAACGTTCCCGTTTGTCCAGTTTAGCACAGCCCGTACAGCATCTGGAGAAACTGCCTGGCATCTGTGCTTGCTTGGAAGGCAGAAGTTTCAGCTCAAAACCACGGAGCTTAGCGCACAGGTCAATAGATACGGTCAAGCTGTTATCGGTCCAGGGCAAAAATCAACGGAGCACAAAACCCCAAACCAGAAACCTACCCCAAGGAGGGAAGAGACTTCACAGTGTCGCCACTTGCAACAGAGACCTCAGGGAGAAGCTACTCCTTCTATGGATGTCTACGGGCCTAGATTTGGCCGCAAATGCAAAACGCAACCCGTCAAAAGAAGAACTTACCCACGAGCGAAGAGCTCCAGGGCAGACACGTGCAATTTCTCCCGCTCGGTCAGTGGCTGGGATTGTGAAAGGGACACCATGTTCTTGATGGCATCATCCAGTTTCTTGTCCAGCCGCACCGAACTCCCGGTACCAATCAGAACCAGGCCGTTGGCGATCACGTTGCCCATGACTGCAAATAGAGGTCAGAAGGGCTTTTTCACGTCTACAGGCAGGTGAGCAGGCAATCAGCCAGCCAGTTAATCAGCCCAGTAACAATATTTTTACAAAATTAAAAGCTTTATGCTAAGCTTAAAAAAACGGCTGTATTTTAGGTTATATTTGTCTATTATATTGTAAATGTTTAAAAGATAAAAAGGAAGGAAGGAAGGAAGGAATATGAGGGAGGAAGGAAGAAAGGAAGGAAGGAAGGAAGGAAGGAAGGAAGGAAGGAAGGAAGGAAGGAAGGAAGGAAGGAAGGAAGGAAAGAAAGGAAGGAACGAAGGAACGAAGGAACGAAGGAACGAAGGAACGAAGGAACGAAGGAACTGAAGACAGTATGCATAGCACTCCATGTTGAATTTTCTTCCATAACAAATACCCTATGAAGCAACATTGAACAGAGAGAGAAAGGGGGGGGGAGGCTGACCCAAAGTCCTCCAGGGATGTTCCTTGTATGAGGATGGAGAACAACCTGGGTATCCCTCCTCCCCGTCCAGCCCCCTCTTCATCCCCAGTACGACTAGTCAACAGTCAGGAAGAAGCTGAAAACTCAAGGCAGAACCAGGTTGAAGGAACCCGTGCTAAAACCGGGCAGAGTGCAATTCTAGGAGTGTCAACCAGAACCTACTCCCTCCCAAATAAATGTGTAAAAAAAAATGGAAAGCTAATGGGCAACTTTTCCCACGTTAAGAAGTTACCTCTGCTGCTCCAATAGAAAAACTATTCCAGACCTTCCTGTTCCCATGTTCCCAAGTCTCTTCTGGTGGTCCTGACTCTTGCTCCACTTTACACTGAAGTTCTGAAATTCAGGAGAAGACATCCCGCCTTCCTTTTCTCCAGAATTCTAGGCAGTTCCATATCCTGAACCCTTCTCAGATTTGGTTAGCTGAAGACCCTCTTACCAAAGTTAGGATCCGCAACCTGCAGTTTTGAAAGGGTTCCTTCCAGGCCCCCGAGACTGTGGTCGTTTGTCCAAGTCACATACTGGAATAAAGAAAAGAATAAAGAAAAATAAAGAAAGAAAGAAAAGAATAAAGAAAAGAACCGTGTTGGTTAAGAACCCAAAGAGAGCCTTCTGTGAAAGAGGTCCAGAATGACAACTTTCACCAAAAAGCCTCTTCTTCCAAATATGGAAACCCAACAAAATATTCTTAAAGTCGCATCTTTATTTCTATTCTTATTAAAAAAAAATTACTAGTGGATTTTGCTTGGCTTCTGTTTTGTCAGCCGTCAACCTGAACACTAGTCTTTGAATTGCTTTCACAAAGCCTTCCAACCATGTCACAAGTGTTATGTGGAATTACATTAGATTAAATTGAATTAAATTAATTTCAAGAATTTGCAAGGATTTCCATGCAAAACGCACAAATTCAGCGTGCATTTATTCAGTCTGATTTTGCTCAACGCGTATAGGAATTTGCACCTGAACAAATTAAATGGCCTGTTTTCAAAGGGAACTCTGATCTGCCCAAACTGACAGCACGGAAGATTTGTCTTAGAGATGTCACAAGCTCTTCGGGTTTGCCCAAAAAAGGTAGCTATGAAGTTAGTATTTTGTGATTTCTTGCAAATTAACAAGTGCATTATGGTACCAGTTTTTCTGCATGGTGTTTTATGATGCTTAAGAAATCTAAGCATGAAAGAAGGATCTGTGAAACAGGAGGGTCAAGGGATATACAACAGATCAAACACAGTCAGTAACCAATAGCATTAAAGAGTCATTCAGGAAATAGCTATTGGCAAAAAACGTGCTCTTTTTTCTGAATGGTTAATGAACACAGCCCTTGTTTAGGAGTTAAACCTTTCTCTCCCTTCAGGCACTTTTGAATGAATTGTATTTTAGCCGTCTCAGATGGCAACCCAAACTCATTACGATAAATCTGTTTGTTCAAGAATGGCTGCCATCTGGCCAGCAATAGCAAGTCCTTGGGAAAAAAAAGTTCCCCAGCTATTGCCTGGATCTGTCTGGCTTGTCTTCCTTGTGTGTGTGCAGCCACTGATAAATAGACTTTTAGGGGGGAATTCACATTTGCTACCCATTCACCCCTTCCCAAAAATGTCACACGTGCATATTTCTAAGGTAGATAAAATTGTACCCAAGACACCAGTTTGTGCTGGTGAGGGGGAGGGGGAGAGAAGAAGTAGGCATCCTGACACATGCACAACCTCCCCCCCCCCCATATCTTTCTCTACCTTTATGAAGTGCTAGGAAGTCTGCAAACACCATAACCGGAATCAGAATAACAGAGTTGGGAGGGACCTTAGAGGTCTTCTAGTCTCAAGCGAGAGACCCTGTACTGTTCCCGACAAGGGGCTGTCCAGTTTCCTCTGGAAGGTCTCCAGTGATGGGGCGCCCGTCAACTTGCTGGTCTTTGCGGTATAAAGCGCTTGCCATTTCCCCTCTTTTCCCTCCCCTTGTCACAATTTCTGCAACTGAGCACGAGGGATAAGGACGCTTATGCGCCCACCAGCCCCTTCCACAGCCCCTTCCTCGTTCCCACCTGAGTCAACGCAGCATCGAACAGTTTACAAGCCTCATTATTGGTGGTTGAAAGGAAAAGTCCTGCATCCTTCCAGGCCTGGAAAAAATGCAGAATGAAAAACTGAAGCAGAAGCACAAAATTCAGAAGACACACAAAGACACTTTTAAATTCTCGCTTATGCTGCTTTTTTTTTTTTTTTAACAACAAAGAGGCTTAAAATCTATGCAACAACTCTGGTAAATGTTGTATTTTTTCATTACCTTCAATGGATTAAAATGTAGTATCGGTAGCCCCCAACTCACAACCACATCTGAGCCCAAAATTTCCATTGCTAAGGAAGACAGTGGTTAAGTGAGATTTGCCCTGTTTTACAACTCTTCTTGTTGTAAGTGAATCACTGCAGTTGTTAAGTTAGTAACACGACTGTTAAGTGACTTTGTCAGACGGTCGCAAAAGGGGATCTCAAGACCCCCCGTAAACACACGCCAGTCGCCAAGCATCCGAATTTTGATCACGTGACCCTGGGGATGCTGCAGTGGCCATTAACTGTGAAAAACGGTCATAAGTCACTTTTTTTAGTGCCTTTGTACGTTGAGGACTACCTGTACCAGCTTTTGGATACTTACCTCTGTGCTCATTATTTACTAATTATGGAAAGTTGCTCTACAGGTTGAGCAGAACTGCAGTCAAAGTTTCTGACATAGCCACAAAAATGATGGATGTTCTAGGACAATGGTCTCCAACCTTCCCAGCTTGGTGGCCCAGGCCAGGTGGGGGAGGCGCACAGCTTAGCAGTGGCAGGCGCACAGCTCCATTTGTGTGAGCGGCCAGAGGGCAGCCCCCCCTCACTGCTCGTGCAAGTGGAGCTTCGCATGCTCGCTTGTCTGCCACTCACATGAGTGGAGCTTCACGCATGTGTGCTTGCCCATCTCTCCCACGGCCTGGTTTCAAACAGGCCGTGGCCCGGTAGATGTTGGGGACCCCTACCCTAATCATCTTTGTTGTCTTTTCTGCACTCTTTGCAGCGTCTCTATATCCTTTTTATACTATGGTGGCCAAAACTGGATACAATATTCTAAATGTGGTCTTTGTAAAGCAGTACTAATATTTCACATTATTTTGATTCTATCCCTTTGTTAATGCAACCTATGATTGTGTTGGCTTTTTTGGCTGCTGTCACGCACTGCTGGCTTATATTTAAGTGATGGTCCACTAGGACTCCGAGATCCCTCTCACAGATCCTGCTATTGAGCCAGGTTTCACCTAATCTGTACCTGTACATTTGTTTTTTTCTTGTCCAAGTGTAAAACCTGACTTTTCTCTACACTGAATTTCATTTTGTTAGACAGAGCTCAGGGTTCCAGTCTGCTAAGGTCCACCTGGGTCCTGAGTCTGTCTTCTGGGATGCTGGCTATCCCTGTCAGTTTAGTGTCATCTGCAAATTTGATGGCTTCTCCTTCTATCCCCTTCCTGAATCGTTGATGAAGATATTGAAGAGTACTGGGCCTAAAACAGAACCGTTGAGGTTCCCCACTGCTTCCTTTCTTCCATGTGGATGTAGTTCCATTGAGTGCAATTTATGATGCTGTCTATCCCACATTTTGTTACCTTACCAAGAAGCAGGTTGTGGTCTACTTTGTCGAATGCCTTTCTGAAAGAGCTTTAATTCATAGCCACCCCTGCAAATGCCGCTGGCTTTTAGCACTGTGAGAATACGTCCTAAGACAAAATTCATCATTATTACACAACTCGGGTTTTGAAATTCTTCCCTCGGGAGCCAAGACAGACATAATTGCTTTTCATAACAGCACTGCTATTTCTCACCAGGGATGCCAGGCCTGTCAAAAGACACGGCAAGCAGAAGAGAGATCAATCTTTTTTTGATCTGAGCGCAACGTCTTCTCACTTCATGTTGCTTTCTTGGCCTCTTTTGATTCTCCAATTAGCGCAGGTCTGGGATCTCCTGGTAGTCTCCTGTCCAAGTACTTAAAGACCCCCAATCTTGCATAGCTTTACATGTTCAGAAAGTCATGCTATCTTCCCCTCCATCCCGTGATCTACTGTTGCTACAATCAATAGTAGCAACAGTACTTTCCATAACTAGCAAGTAGTGATTGGCTTCTCCCCTCAAAGTTGTAGTGGTTTTATTTATTCTGGGAGTTGAAGTCCACAACTTTATTATTGTCGATAAATAACTCAAGGCAGCGAACATACTTAATGCTCCTTCCTCTTCCTATTTTCCCCACAACAACAACCTTGTGGGTTGGGCTGAGGGAAGGTGGACTGGGCGAAGGTCACCCAGCCAGTTTTCACCTAGAAATCCAGAAATTGTGAGTTCTAGTCCAGCCAGAGTGTGAAAATCATCTGGGAAATGGTTTCCAAACTTCAAAACATTGCCAAGGAATTTCCAGAGTCTCCAGGGGTCAAGACTAACTTGAAGGCGCACACACACACGCACGCACTTGTGCGTGCAGGGGCGCATGTGCACACACAATCACCCCCTCAAAGTATTTTCTTCAAACTCTTTCCCCCCCCCACCCAAAATCTGGCACATGGATAGGTATGGCTGCATGTTGATGGCTTGCCTTCGGACCAAAGTCCACCTCCGCACACCCCAGTGTGCCTGGATCCTAACAAAGAGCCTCGTTGACCTTGGCAGGGTATTATTTTTAATGTTTATTATGCAAATATAGCGTTGCACGTCGATGGGCTTTTTTCCTTCCCATCACGTACAATTCTTAGAGGTTGCCTGGGCAAGACCCCGCAGTGTTTTCACAAGGTTTTTCGGAAGTGCTCTGCCATTGCCTCCTTCCTGGGACTGAGAGAAAGTGACTGGCTGAAGGTCACCCAGCTGGTTTTGTGCCCAAGGTGGCTCTGGAACTCCCAGGCTCCTGGGGCCTAGTCTTTAGGCTTCACCACTACCCCAAATGGGCTTTCGTGGTCATTTATCCAGGCCCCTTGGGTTGGGATGCCCTCATGTATCCTGGTCTCCTTCACACAAGTCTTGTGCGCCACATATTGTGACCTCATTCAAGCAGTGATGCTCTAGAGCAGGGGTCCTCAACCTGTGGGTCGGGACCCCATTTGGGGTCGATCGACCATTTCATGGGGGTCGCCAAGCAAGGCTGTCCACCATTTTTTTTGTCCGCCATTTTTTTTGTCCGCCATTTTTTTCCCCCTTTTCCGGCGGGTGCCTTACCTCCCTTGGGCTGGGCCAGCTGGTGGTCGGCCTGCTCCGTCTCTGCCGCTTGCCAGCTATGCCTCGGCCGGCGCAGGGGGCGGAACCACGCATGCGTGGCGCTCCCGGGCAGGGAAAGTCCTTGACTTACGACCGGTTGGGTAGTCCTTTATTTACGACCGGTTTAGTCCTTGACTTACGACCAGTTTAGTCCTCGACTTACGACCGGTTTAGTCCTCGACTTACGACCGGTTAGGGTCACGGCATTAAAAAGGTTGAGAACCACTGTCTAGACTGTGCCGTGCCATTTACCAGCCTTTCCCCAACAAACATCTCTTTAGGCCGCCCAATCCAAGCAAGAACCCAGCCAGAAACTCTTAAAATCCTTAGTCCAACTTGTTTAAAGCCGGTTCTGGCAATCTTTGCAAAACTTCTTCATCAAGCTTCAACGGCAGAATCCTGCCCAGGAGTCCCAAATATCATCTCCTGAACTTTGTCCACGATTCGGCTGCCCAGGTAATGAGTAACCTGCTTTCTAACCTCTTCCCTCCTTCACTTCCCACTTCCCATTCCGGTATTAGACTCCGGAACGGCTCCCAGCCAGATCAGCACAATTCTGCCTCCGGGGGTTGCAACTCCTGACCAAGGGGACCCCCCTCCTTGCCCAGAAAGCAAGCCGGCACGGCTCTCCCCACTTGGTATCCCCCACCTTGCCCCAGCGTCTCTTCTGCTGCAGCCCGGGGAAAATGACTGGGGTACTTGACCTACCAGTTTCTCTTGTCCACAAGGGACCAAGCAGCCGGGTCTTTAGGAGAGCCCTTGCACAGGATGGATGGGGCACCACCAGGAAAAGAGCATCCAAGAGGTGCAGAGCTGCAATGGCAAACTATTATAAAATAGAATAGAAATAGAAATAGAAATAGAAATAGAAATGGAATAGAATAAAAATAGAAATTAGAATAGAATAGAATAGAATAGAAAATAGAATAGAATAGAATAGAAAATAGAATGGAATAGAATAGAATAGAATAGAATAGAATAGAATAGAATATAGAGTGGAATAGAACATAGAATAGAGTAGAGTAGAGTAGAGTAGGGTGAAATATGGAGTGGAATAGAAAATAGAATAGAATAGAATAGAATAGAATAGAGCTGGAAGGGACTTTGGAGGTCTTCTAGTCCAGCCCCCCCCCCCCAAGCAGGAATTTTCATACTACTGGGGTGAAGGAAAGATCATTTCCTCTTGGTTCAGCAGGTGCAGATGGCCCACAAGTTGCCCTCCCCTCTCAGCTGACCCCGCAGCGGGCGGAAGCCACCCCGGAAAGCTCCGGGCTAAAAGGCTGAATCCGAACTCTGCTCCCACTCTCTCGCGCGCAGCGTCCCTCTCGCCTCTGCTCGGCCCCGAGCCGATCCGGGCAAAGAAGCCGGGCGGGGCCGGAGAGGCCCCGAAACGCCCCCCGGGCCGCGTCCGGCAGCCGCGAGGAGGCGGCGGCGGCAGCGGGAGCGGGACCCCCTCCGGCCCCGGCGAGTTCCAGGCGGCCCCTTCGCAAGCGCCGCCCAGCCCTGGAGCCGTCCGGAAGGGTCCGGGGCCCCGCAGGGGCGGCCAGTCCGGCCGAGAGCTCCGCCGGCCGCCCCGGGACCCCGCCGGAGCCCCCGCCTCACCTTGCAGTCCCGCAGCGCCGCCATGCCGCCCCGTCCGCCGCCTCCCGTCTGCGGAGCGCAGCCCGGCGGCTCCGTCCCTGAGCCAGGAAGGGGCGGCGGCAGGCGGGGAGGAAGGCGCCGGGCGCCGCCTTCGAGAGCCACAACCCGCCCGCCCCGGCCCGCCGGGCTCCCTGGTGGCGGTGCTCCCCCCGGGTCTCCTCTGCCCCGGCCCCGCCAGGCTCCCCCGAGCCCCGTTAGGGTCCCTTCGGAGGTGCCCGAAGCCGCAGCCCTCGTGGGCGCTCCGTCTCCTGCTTGCGCAGGGGGTTGGACTAGACGACCTCCAAGGTCCCTTCCAACTCTGTTATGCTCTAGTTTCTTGCCGGGCAGAAGATTGACTATTTCAAGATTTCACTCTTGACGGGCTGGGAGCTACCAGCGAGCTGAAGAAGGGAAAGGGTGCCTTGGAATAATAATAATAATAATAATAATAATAATAATAATAATAATAATAATAATAATAATAATAATAATAATAATAATAATAATAATAATAATAATAATAATAATAATAATAATAATAATAATAATAATAATAATGTAGTAGTAGTAATGGCATTGACAAATTCGCTATTAGTCAATTGCAAAAGGCGGCCTTACTAGGAACCACTTCCATCCTGCGACGAGATCTGTAATACCATCAAACATCCACATCTGCCTATCCCAGGTCCTTGGGAAGGACTCGATAGGCAGACAAAAATGCCAAATCCGGTCTGAACATCTGGCTGACTGTGCGATGATCCATAATAATAGTAATAGTAATAATAGTAATAAGGAGGAGGAGGAGGAGGAGGAGGAGGAGGAGNAAGAAGAAGAAGAAGAAGAAGAAGAAGAAGAAGAAGAAGAAGAAGAAGAAGAAAGAGGAGGAGAAGAAAGAGGAGGAGAAGAAGGAGAAAGAGGAGAAGGAGGAGGAGGAGAAGAAGAAGAAGAAGAAGAAGAAGAAGAAGAAGAAGAAAGAAAGAAAGAAAGAAAGAAAGAAAGAAAGAAAGAAAGAAAGAAAGAGAAAGAAAGAAAGAAAGAGGAGGAGGAGGAAAGAAGAAGAAACTCAAATTGGCAGTTGCAATTGTACAAAGCACTACAACAAAGGCATCAACAGAAGGTGGCAAAACTCAGCCAGCAAGGCCCATCAGCACTGTATTTTTCTTTCTACTTCAGTAGCATTAGCCTTGTGCATGAAACAGAGTAGCCTCTGTAGGCAACCAGGCATGCATGTGCACAAACACACACACACAACAACCCTTTGCACTACCAACCTGCTAGCAAAATGAAGCAAATGCTACACCAGTGTGCAACCCAAACAAAAAAAAAAATAAATACACAAACTGAGAGCAAACTTTGTGAGGCTTTACCATATCCTTAATTCAATGTTTCTCAACTATGGCCGCTTTAACATGTGTGGACTTCAACTCCCAGAATTCCCCCAGCTGGCTGGGGGAATTCTGGGAGTTGAAGTCCACACATGTTAAAGCGGCCATAGTTGAAAAACACTGTCTTAATTGTTCTTTCCTCTTTGCTTTCCAGGCTCAAACATTCCGGAATTGACAAGGTCTTCCACAATGGCCCGGAACTCCAGTTGCTCAGGGCAACCGCCCCACTGTGGGGGTTCTAGGATCCAAACAATCCGTGGGTCTGGCTTGGGCAGGATGGTGGCAAGCTGCTCTTCCTGAGTGCTCACACACACCCCCTCCAAATGCACTGTGCAGAGCTCCTGCTTGTTCTGTTGGGGTACGTTGGTCAGTGTACAAAATCCGCACCCCCTCGTATTTGGCCTCCCCCCTTGCAGGTGACCTGCTCAAACCCCCAGCGACGTGTCTACCAGAAGCACGACAGTGAACGGAGCCTCTCCTGCGTTTGGGATGGACAAGTTGACCTGAGGTATTCCAGGATGCCGGAAGGGACACCAGAGATCGAGAGAGGAGAACCAGATCCCCAACTTTCTCCTCCCCCTCCCTCCCCTCCTCCTCATTGTCAGTGGTACCAAGGCACCTCCTTGGTCATGCAAACCAATGAGTGGTCAGGTCAGCTTGTGTTGAGCAAAGGCCCGGATGGAGAAAAGTCCTACTCACCCCGGGCCCTGACTCGAATTGTGATGCAGTGTGTGTCAGCCCTGTGCGGTCAGCCTCCCTGCGCTCACCACAACTTCAGCATTGAAATTTCCAGGCAGGATGTCCACCTCTTCCTCCTGTCGCCACAGAGCCTTCCTGTTTGGGAATGGCAGCCCGTGACCTTCGGCTGGTGTGCACGCCTTAAAAGTTCCCTCTGGAGCTACCGCTTGAAGAGTGAAGGGGGGAGTCCTGCAGAGCGCCTCATTCCCAGCAATCAACACAGTGAACCCTTTGCCTCCACTCAAGGCCTCCGCGCACCGTTGCTCCATGTCTGTGAAGACTACTATCACTACCACGTCACCGTGCGTTACCCCCAGCGTGGATTCTATACAGTTTTGCTGCACCTAGAGGACGGGCCTCCGCTCAGCCTCAGCCTGAGCATCCACGTGCAGCCTGCTCTCCTCCATGTCTTCAGTGCTGCTTCTGGCCTGCTTAGCCGAACCCAGAGGCCTCTCGCCCTCTCGTGGAGCCTCCAGCCTCTGAGCTCCAGTATAGCAGCCTACACACTGGAGGACCTGCAGGGACTGGAGGAATGGTCTCTCTCCCACAGATACAATCCTTTTGCTCTACAAAGCAATTTCTGTGCTCCGTCCACCTCTCAAGCTTCTGGGAAGAAGGTGATCTCCAGAATCTACTTCCGCACCAATAAAACATTCTCTGAGAAGCTGAGAGGACACTTCAATTTCTCCAATGACACTCTAATTTTCCAAGGAAGCGGTGCCGCCCCGATTTCCATCAGGCTGAACCCACAGAAAATCAAAGTAGGGACGTACATTTTTAGCCAGGAGCATGGGCTCTCGTATTCCACCCAAGAAGGCAGTGGGCCCTCCAGTCTCCACCACCTCTTTTTCCAACAAGTGACCCTTTCTACCCTGATTGCTATTGAATTTGTGAAGACACAAGGGTTCCAGTTCAGCGTGCACTTGTACCTGAACCGAAAGGAGAGTCTCTTCAAATCCTTAGGTGAGAAAGAAATTGAAGTTCACGTTTTTAACGGACATTCTCCCGATAAAAACTTTGCCTATGTTGTGTGGTTCATTCCTGTGCCACACCCCCACTTGCAGTGTGACTGGGCTTTCCACCTGCAGCTTTTTCATTCCAGAAGGGAACACCTTCTTTGGAATAAAACGTACACATACAGGGACCGTGTTAAAGATGTCGCTCGTTTTCTTCCTCATTCTGTCTTCTCTTTCAGACCCACGCAGTACGCAGGCTTCGTAGCAGAAGTGAATTGCAGGCAAAATGGACTTGTACGGGCTGTTTTAAAAGCCACTCTGGGGACTTATGCTTTGAGGGTGTTGGAGCCAGCTGTGCCCTGCCAAAAAAGCTACTGCCGTAAACTGACCATTGTAATCCATAAACCCAGCCCTTTGGATCCTGTGTTGCGTTACAGGAGAGAGAAAGCCATCACTTTGCAAGCAACAGCCGAAGTGAAATGTAGGACCCGTCCAGATCCAGATTTCCTTTGGAAAATATACAAGCTCAGCACTGCATGGTCCACTCCAGATTGGCCAAACCCTCTCGCACTCCCTGAAGGGATTAATACAAGCGGTGTGGTGTTGCACATACCCGGAAATGCCCTGTTGTATGGCTTCTATCGTGTCAATTTGACCATGAGCGTGTATCTACCTGAAGAAAATATAACATTCATTCAGTCTGATTCGGTTTTCCTCCAGATTCTAGAAAGTGGGTTAAGGGCAGTCATAGCTGGAGGCCTGTCCCGGATCGTTGGCATTTCTGATCAGTGGTCCTTGGATGGGTCCATATCCTCAGATCCTGATTCGACTGAGCCTCTGGAAGGAATTCTGTTTCACTGGTTCTGCAGCAAACGGGAATTAGACTATTCTGCTATGAAGTTAAGTCCAGGTCAGAAATGCCACTCTAGGCAACGTGATCTGTCCTGGACCCGCTCAAAAGAGCCGGTGCAGGTCGTGGAAGTGAAGACCCTCCAGGAAAACACAACATATTATTTTAAGCTGGTCACCACCAAGCAAAACCAATCTGCACACGCGTTTCAAGCAGTTCACGTCCTCGCTGGTTCTGGGCCTGTCCTGCGCATCGCCTGTCTGGAAAACTGCGAGAAAGCCATCAAAGCCACGGAAAGATTGATTCTGTATGGAAAGTGTCTGAACTGTGAAAAGGCCCGCTTGGTTTACTTTTGGAGCCTCCTTTCAGCAGATTCCAAGGAAATATATTTTGACTGGGCTTCTAAAACAACCACTGGGAGAACAAGTCCATATTTGCATATAAATTCTTTGGCCTTTGGATCCATGGCTGGCCAGTTGTACATCCTTAAACTGAAAGTGGGTGTGCAAGGAGTCCAGCTGGCTGTGTGTGGCTATTCCTTCTATGTCCACGTCCCCCCTCAGATTGGAAAATGTTTTATCGAACCAAGGGAAGGCATTGCGCTGATGACCAAATTCAGTCTCCAGTGCTCTGGATTTGATGACAAGAAGGGACCTCTCCTTTACAGAGTCATCGCCCGTCCTGATCTAACCCAAATAGCTAACGTATCATCTTTGCAAAACAATACATTTGGAACCATAGTTTATCTTGGGCATCAGCAGAACACCCCGCCCTCGTTTCTTCCCAGCGGTATACCGTCTGAAAAATATGCTCTGGATATACTTGTTCAAGTTTACGACACCAATGATGCCTTTTCTCAGGTCAGCTTGCAGGCAACGGTATACGAAGCAAGGACCAGTCAGCCAACGGATGTGGTTCTCAATGAACTGTATCGCCTCATCAGACAGCCCAATAGCTCTCTCTCTGCCTTCCTTGACACCGAAGATTACTTTCACACGGGCTTCCTTATCTATATGGTGGCTTCTGAATTAAATAGCATTGAGCCGTTGCCTGGTTTTTACCATTCTAAAACTGAACTACGAGAAATGCTACTAAACGAATCTTCGCGGATTCCCATGACCGAGACAGGGATACTAAACCAAATAATCTCCAGCATTTGTCAAATAACGCAGAATGCAAATGAAGTCCATAGGAAATCCCAGCGGTCCGCGGTCCGAATCCTCCAAAAGACCATCGAAGCTCTGAAAAGGCACAGGGACACCGATCTCGGCTCTAAAGAAGCCGAGGTCCTTGCCGGTGGCATTTTTACCGGGCTGTCCAATGTGTTAAGAGCTTCCCTCTTAAACCCCGGGAATGGGTCTGTGAACACCATCAAGGAAATAATCTCCGTGTCAGAATTATTGGCAGATATAGTTTTACAAGGCAAAGTCCCTGGAGAAGATCACGTTAATATGGAAGCCAAAGGCTGGTCCATCCATTTGTGGAAAGATGAAAAGTGGGACGTTTCTGGGACTCTCACTGGGAGAAGATCTTGTAAGAATTGTTCTTATCCTAAAGTGAAGTTGGAAAGCCAGGCGGAGTTACCAGAAGATACTCCGATTTCCATGGTTCATTATGTATTTGAGGAGAATCCTTTCCCTTGGCTGATGAAGGCAGTAGACAACCGCACAGTCGTGATGGGGTTCAAAGTGGCTGGTGCCAAAGCAAACGGGGACATCGTTGGGGTCATCCCTAAAGTGGCCGAAGTGATCATGGATAGAATGGATAAGGATCCTGTCGCATTTAATCTGACGATAGGGCTGGATAAAAAGCGTGTTGTAACAGCTGGTGGGTTTAGCATAGAAGTGCATAGAAACTCTCCAGACATTTATGTCCAGATTTTGTGCCATAGGAACATTACTTTCAATGTCTCCATTTACTTGGGACTCAATTTTAGCTACCCCCCGGTTGTGTCTTACACTGCTTTCTCTGACAAGCCTCCTACCCCGCAGAAAAGGGGGACTAATAGCGAATGTGCAATTAAGGCTCCATATGTCATTTGCCTTCCACGAGCCTTGCTGTGGTCTCAGGTCCTAGCCAGAGCTGCAAGTAAGTGGAACGTTTCCGTGGTCCTAAGAGCTCCACCCTTGGTGAGAAGGCAGACCACCAAGGTAGTTCGCCTTGTGGTTTTTACTGCAAGCTGCCGAGATCTGGGTCACCTTCCAAACTTTGAACCCTCCGGAGAGACCTGCCAGCTTGGCCCTCGGACCAGATTGTCCAAACTCCACTGTGTCTGTGGAGCAAACCCCAAGAAGGCTCAGCGCCAGTTATCAAAGCCGCCTAAACCTGAAGTCAGATTTGTGGGTGGCACCTTTGTTATTTATCCCAATCCTTTGGACATCAAGAAAGTACTCTTAGCAGATTTTGACACAAATCCAGTGACGGTTTTGACTGTTTTTTTCATTTTTGCCGGCTACATCTTCTGTTCATCCTGGGCCATAATTAGAGATAAAGATGACATGAGGAGAAAGAACAAAATCTTTGTCTTGCCAGATAATGACCCTTATCACAGGATGCACTATCTGGTCACCATCTATACCGGAAGTCGCTTGGGATCCGGAACCACGGCGGATGTTTTTCTTGAACTGGTTGGGAAGGATGGCTACAGCGACATCCATCGTATGAAGCACCCCAAATTCCCAACCCAGTATCGTGCAGCTGTTGATACTTTTCTTTTAAGTACAAGGTATGACATAGGGGATATTTATTGCCTTCACATCTGGCACAATAACGTTGGTTCTTCCCCAAACTGGTACTTAAGCAGAGTCAAGGTATTTAACGTGGACACTCAAAAATCGTGGCTGTTCATATGTAGGCAGTGGCTAGGCCTCGGCAAGGCGGATGGCAAAATAGAGAGATACATTTTTTCTTCAAATCTGAAATCAAGGTTAGAGAAAATGGATTTCTTTTTGATAAGCCTGGCTAGAGACTTAGAAGATAATCATCTCTGGCTTTCCATATTTTCTCAAGTGGTCACTGGTAGTTTCAACAGGGTGCAAAGAGTGTCTTGTTGCCTGGCTATCATGCTTTCAACTTTGCTCCTGAACATCATGTTCTTCAGTGGTCAGGAAGAAGAAGGAGTCATCTCACTAAAATTCCGGATTATAAGGTCCATGTATATCGGGTTCTTCAGTGCTCTGTGTTGTGTTCCTTTACAGGTGACCATGACTGTCTTGTTTAGATACTCCCAGGACAAGCCTTCCGACGACAAGGATGATATGGTGCCTGACTACAGTCCCTCATCCTCAGAAACAAGTGAGGAAGGCGATGAGAGCTCCTCCTCGTCTACTACTGATGAAGAGGATGAGACCAAAGTAGGGGGAAGCTCAGCTAATGTCCCAGAAAAGGAGCCCCTTAAAATTAGTACCAAAAAAAGGTTGATTACGCTGATCAAGGTGTTCACTCGAAAGCCACAGTTTGCTTGGTGGTGGAGATACGTCGCCTGGGTCATTGTTTTTTTCATGTCTTTCGTCTCCGCCGTGTTCATCATCTTGTATGGCCTCACCTACGGCTACAGCGCCTCCACAGAATGGTTCATAGCGTCCATGACGTCATTTTTTGAGAGCGTCTTTCTGCTGCAAACCCTAAAGATGGTCCTCATCTCCGGGGTGAGCACCATTAGCCTGAAGTACTGCAAGAACATCTCCTGGATATCGTCAGAGCAATACCAGAAGATGAAGCTGCTCAGAGTGAACATCGATCCCAGGGACGTCCGAAAGATCCACCACGAACTGACGAGGATTAGGCAGAGCAGGGAATATGAGCCTTTGGAGGAGGACGAAGTCGTCATCTTAAGGAAAAAAGTACGAGCACAACACCTAGCATTTGTTTTCATAAAGGACATCATTTGTCATCTCATCTTTGCCTCTTGTGTTTTAACTGTGGCTTACTCTACTGTGCCCACCGTTTCATTTTATCACAATAAAGTGATCCATGATAAATTTTCCCTTGGTCTGTCCAAAGTAACAAAGCTCGAGGACATTTACGTTTGGATGAGTGACACTTTTGTACCATTGATACACAATGTCTATCAGCCCACCTACCTTTCAGACTCCTGGTCCAAAATCCTTGGTTTGCCCAGAATGAGGCAGGTGAGAGGACTGCATCTTGAAATGCCATGTTTTCCTCCAGGCCACTTTGCAAACAATTACCTGATTGGCCAAAAACCCTGTCACTATGATTTTGCTGATGACCCAGAAGATCAAAAGCACTACCTTGGGTCATGGGCCAACCCAATCAAGAAGTCCGTCTCCAGTCACATTGCCAATTTTCAAGGGTTCACGTATCAGTCAGATATTGACCAATGGGAGTATAAATCTTATGGCATGGTTAATTCATATGGCCCAGGAGGATATTCATTTTATTTTTTTCCAGGAGAACAACGACCGAATACAACAATAAGATTGGAAGATCTGCAAAGCAACACGTGGCTTGATAAACGGACCCGGGCTCTAATTTTTGAGCTGACAACCTTTACTCCAGATGTGGAGCTGTACTGCAGTGTCACCGTCATTTTTGAGTCTACCAACGTGGGCATTATTAGTTCAACTTTGTCAGTTCATTCGTATAAGCTCTCTAAATTCCAGTATGAAACCACATCTCGGATGGTGGTTTATGGAATCATGATCTACATTCTTGTGTTCTACTTAGCGGATGAATTTCATATGTTACGTCAGGAAAGGATAGGTTATCTCCAAACAGCGACAAATTTAAATAATTTTGCCATAAAGACTATCTGTATGTTTTTTATATTACTCATTGCCCTGAAATTCAAGATGGCATTTACCTTGCTGGAGTTTTATCTGCTTAATCCAGAAGAATTTGTCCCCTTCCAGGTTGTATCTCAAATTGACCAACTCTACAGGATGGTGGCAGGCATTTTAGGTTTCCTCCTGGTGCTGAAACCCTACCGATATTTCAGGTTCTTGTACAAAGTGCGTCTTGCAGAACAAACCATGTCAGCAGTTTTCCCCGTGTTCCTTCATTTGACAGGCCTCGCCATTCTGCTCTTTTTCACCTTCGTGTCCTTTGGCTATCTCATATTTGGTCAGTATGAGTGGACGTTCTGTACTTGGCTTTACTCTCTGCAGACCGTCGTTTCCTACTGCTTTTCAGGATTCAGGCAGATGGATGTTGCATCGAGATGGTGGCTTACAATATTTTTCCGAGCTTCATTTCTATTTGCAATGATGTTCATCTTCGTCAATTTATGGAGAAGTCTGTTAATATCAACTTACTCATCCATGAAACAGACCGTCTACGAGCAACATTCGGATGAGGCGGAAGCCATAAACTTTTTGTATTTGAAGTTGAGAAGCGTATGGCGTAATTTAACCCGCCAGCCGGACACTGGAGAGGATCAAGCCAATGTTACCATCTTCGGGAAATCGGTAGTTAAGGGTGCTCAACAGCCGGGGCTGAAATACAGTAAAATAGAAGGCAAGAAAATGGTTTTTCTTACCGTTTGAGAAAGGCTTCAGTAAAAAGCAGGTACATTTTTTAACTGCTTCTGTCCCAAAAAGTTTTCAGTTTCAAAAGGTTACCTTGCAACTATCTCCGTCTTTGATGCAATCCTCAGATTATTATTTTTCCTGTAACAACAAGCAGCCCATTCCTTCTTACACATTGCCATGTTTTTTTTAAAACTGTTCTGTTCTATATTCCAGTTATTATTCTAATAAACAATCTATTTAAACCATGGGCTTTTTCAAGTGTTTTTTGGGGGGGAGGGGATTAGTAAGACTAGACAATTCTGCCATTGCAGCAAATTCTATTTGTATTGCATTTGCAATCAGATTGAAAAAATAAAATCAAATAACGAACTAATAAGTCAGCGCAAGACAAGAGAACTGATAGTGTGCTACCACTTTTCTAGTTTTTAGCCTGCTATTTCTAAAATCATTGCCAGTATTTTGTGTGATTGTAAAAGTTCTGATATAGTTGTAGTTAAAAAAAAGTTAGCTCTTGAAGTTGTGTAATCAAAAATGTAGGACCCAGAGCAAATAAGGCTCACGGCAATATTTATTCACCGAACAGTGTGCACTATAGAACTTCCTGACAGAGAAGGAATTGGGGAGGGGGATTCCTATAGACCAGGGGTAGGCAACCTTGGCTCTTTTATGACTGGTGGACTTCAACTCCCAGAATTCCTGAGCCAGCATGGCTCAGCATGGAAACCTCTCCCTTTCCCCTCATCATGGCTGGCTCAGGAATTCTGGGAGTTGAAGTCCATGAATCATAAAAGAACCAAGGTTGCCTACCCCTGCTATAGACAAAACCAGACACTTGAAGGTTGCCTTTTTTAATGTGCCAATTAGTACGCATTCTTTCTGTGTTTCTCTTTTGCTAACATGCTCCTACTCCTTGAAGAATTTGTTTTGCTCACCAAATTTACACCCACAATCTTCCACAAAATACCCATCAAATGCTACCAATAGATATGGCCATTATAACATGAGGACATAGCATAGTATTTCCAGTATTTGGACTTTGTAATTGTAGAAGTCCGAATCAAATGGGTTAAATTAACGCAAGCAGTTGAAATATACTTCACTATTTTTATTTTATAATTACTGCTCTCAATTTTTCCCAAATTACTTGGTTTGCTTTGTTTGAAGTTGGCCATTAAAACATGGACCGGAATTTTGGTGGCCATATTGAAAGTGGAAATGGGCCACCCAGGGCAACCGAAGAAAGATTCTAGAATCCATTTGCTCACTTCCTCCTGTTGGGATCTCTAAGGTTGCTAAGCAACAGCAACTGCCATGCCTGGCCCTACCGAAGCCGTTTTCTTCCTTGCGAGAATCCTGCCGTTCCTTTGGCCTCTGCTCTCCCTCTCCTGCTGGTCCGGTGGCTGCTCCAGCACCTTGGCAGCACAGCTTCATCTAATGCCACCACCGCTGTCGGTCACCTGCGCCAAGCCTGAGAACCGTGTCTATCAACAACAGGACCACCCTTTCCAGGTCTCGTGTCTTTGGGACAGATATGTGGTGTTGCACTACTCAAAGGCCCCCAGACAAAACCCCCAGGGGGGAGGGGCAGAGTCTCCAGTGCCCCCTCTCTGCCACTGGTATCGGGATGCCATCCTGGCCAACCAGACTACTTCCTGGACAGGCGAATTGATGCTCGGTCCAGGCCTGCCACGGGAAGGTCCCCATCCACCTTGGGCTAGTACTCAGATCTCTGTGCAGTGCACCTCCGTTTCATGCTTGGCTCCCTTGTGTTTGTATCACAACCTGAGCATTGAGGTTGTGGGGCAAGATATTCATCTCTTCCTGCTGCAGCCTCACCTACTTCCCATTCTGGAGAGGCAGCCGGTGCGCTTGGGCTGGTGTGCACGCCTCAAGAGTTCGGCCTGGCGCTACCACTTCAAGAGCCATGGGGGTCATCCTGAGGACCTCCTCATTCCCACCAACCAGCACAATGAGACCCTCCTACTTAGTGACTACCCCAGTGCAGAATTGTACCAGCTCTGCATGTCTTACTATAGCTACCACTTGACTGTGCAGTACCCACTCCGTGGATCGTACGTCGCTTCGATCAGCTATCAGCCGGGACCCCAGAGTAGCCTCAGCCTGGATTTCTTTGTGGAGCCTGCTCTGCTGTTTGTTTTCGGGGTAACCTCCCAGTTGCAGAGACGGTCACAGGGGGCCCTGAGCCTTTCCTGGAACCTGCAGCAGCTCAGCCCAGAAATAGTAGCCTACCAACTCCTGGACACACAGGGATACCCAGAGTGGTCCCATTCCTATGATTACAACCCGTTTGGTCTGCACAGCCATTTCTGTACTGTGCCCACCTCACACCAGACCAAGGAAACAGTTGTGGCCAGTGTGTACTTCCGTACCAGCCAGAGGGTAGCAGAGAGAGTAAGAGGAAGACTTGATTTCTCAAACAGGACCTTAATTTTCAGAACAAGCAGGACCAGCTCAATTTCCATAAGACTCAACCTACAGGAAAACACAATTAGCACTTACATTTTTAGCCGTGCCCAAGGCCTCTACTACTCCACCCAAAAGGGCAACTTGACCAACGGCCTTGCTGAGAATGCCAGCCTCTGCTATGTACTTTACCAGCAAGCGGGCCTGTCTTACCTGATTACGGTTAAATTTGTGCAGCTGCAGTTATTTAGATTCAGCCTGGATATTTATCTGAATCGGAAAGAGGCTCTGTTCCAAAGTCTAGGGGAAAAGGAGATGGACATTTATGTCTTCAACAGCACTTCTCCTGACAATAGTTTGGCCTATGTCGTGTGGTTCATCCCTGCGCAGCATCCACTTCTGCAGTGTGAGTGGGGTTTCAGTCTGCAAGTGTTCGATCCCACGGGCAGGCGTCTGGTGAAAAACAACAGTTTTGCCTACGTTGATCAGACCCCAAATGCAGTCCATTTCCTTCCTGACTCTGCCTCCGCTTTCAATCCTGCCTCGTATGCAGGATTTGTTGCCAGCGTGAAATGCATAGAGAGTGCAAAAATTCCTATAGTATTCACGGCAAGGTTTAATATTTACGCGTTGAAAGTCATAGAATCCCAACTTGCTTGCCAGCAAAAAACGTGCACCATTCCCAAAGTTAGGATCCACCGGGCTGTTAATACCAAACACACCCTGTATTACACACAGGGGAGTGAATTTACTCTTGCGGCAGACATGCGAGTCAGTTGTCCAGGCCCCAAAGCAACTAAAGTTAGCTGGAACATCTATAAAGTGTCTAATCTGTCAGATACACCAGACTGGTCAAAGCCTTTTAATCCACCTGGCATTGAAGGAAGACATTTCATCACAATAAAAGTCCCTTGCTCCAGCTTGGATACTGGCCTGTATCTTTTTAATTTTACTGTGCAATTAATTTCATCCACTTTCCTCCAGAAGATGGAGCGCTCGGATGCAGTCTTGGTTGAAGTTGGGACGGATCGATGGGGTGTTGTCATCGATGGAGGCCACTTTCGGTCTGTTGGATTTTCTGACCGGTGGATTCTAAAAGGATCTGTCTTGTCTAATGGTGAGCTGGTCAGTCTGTCTCAGGGACTGTCCTATACTTGGTATTGCACGAAACAGGAAACCGACTATACATCGATGACCCTCAGCAGAGATGGGAAATGTTATCCAGATCAGGTTGATTTGAAGTGGACCACATCCTCTGATTCAGTTCAGATGGTACTTCCTGAAACTCTTCAAGCCAATAATACATACCTTTTTCTCCTGGTAGTTCAAAACGGTAGCAGGATAGCCCATGCTCAGCAAACCATACATGTGGAGGCTCGCGGTGCCCTCATTCTGAACATTGCATGCACTGAAAATTGTGGAACTTCAGTAATTTCAACACAAAGATTTTCTCTGTCTGGTAAATGTGGGAACTGCAGGGAAATCAAATCCTGGTACTACTGGTCACTGCGCTCGGCCCAGTCCAATGAAATCAAATTTGACTGGTCTTCCAAAACAACTACTGGAAGATCCAGCTCATATCTACATTTCAAAGCCTTTGCTTTGGTCTCCATTGCAGAAGAGTCCTATATTTTGAGCCTAAAAGTCATCACCAAAGAGGGACAGTCCTCTATCTGTGAATATTCTTTTTATGTCAATGCTCCACCACAGATAGGAAAATGTGTCCTTAATCCAAGGGTAGGGACAGCTTTTCTAACAAAATTCATTATCCAGTGCAATGGATTTGAAGACAGAAATTGGCCTCTTGCCTATAAAGTAATAGCAGCGTCAGATGAAATTAAAATTAGTTCTATATCCTCAATTCAAAATAATACTTTGGGGATAATCATCTATGCTGGACATGAATCCAAAACTCCCTGGTCTTTCCTCCCTCCTGGCAGACCATCACAGAGCTCCGCTTTGACTATATACGTTCAGGTTTTCGATGCCCTTGGAGCATCTTCTCAAGTCACTTTGCAAGCAACGGTGCTTGATCCAAGACAACCAAAGGCCAATGCTCCCCTCCATCAGCAGCTGCATGATTTGATCAATGGATCAAGTGCCCCTGTGGCCAAGTTGCTCGTCACCAAGGATTACTTGAATGTAGGCTATATTGTATACATGGTGGCCTCAGCCGTAAACCATATTGAAGCTTCACCCTCCAATCAGGTTCCTAAAGCAGATTTGCGTCAACGCCTCCTCAATATAACCACAAGGATTCCTAGTAATAGTATCCGGGAAATCAATCAGGTGATTCTAAGCATTAGTCAAGCAACGCGTGAAATTGCTGAAGTCACTAAAGCATCCCAGCTGCTTGCAGTAAGAAAATTAAAAACAGTCAGCGAAGCTCTGAGAAGACACAGGGATCAAGGTTTAGGCTCAAGGGAAGCTGAGATTTTTAGCAATGGGATTCTCACAGGATTGTCCAATATCTTGGGGGCTTCCCTCTTGAATCACAGAAATCCTAATGTGGGTGCCATTAAAGAAGTTATTTCTGTGACAGAAATATTAGCAGATCTCATTCTACAAGGCAAAGTCCCTGGTGGGCATGAAACTAAAATGGCAGCCCAGAACTGGACCATCCGCCTTTGGAAAGACAAAACATGGGACGTTTCTGAAACTTTCTCAAAGAGGAAGCAATGTAGGAACTGCTTTTATCCAACACTGAAGCAGAGATCTCATGTGGAGCTGGAAGAAGAGAATGTCATTTCCACTGTTCTTTATGAATTTGAACAGAATCCTTTCCCTTGGCTGACTTTTGCTGACAATATTGGCACAACGGTGACAGGGTTCAAAATGGTGGGGATCGATTCTAAGGGGGACCCAACCAGCATCGCCCCTGATGTGTTTGAAATGATCTTGACTAGAAAAGACAAGGCCATCTTTGACCTGACTATAGGGCCAGATAAAAAACTTCCTAAAACAACGGGTGGCTTCAACTTGGACATTAAAAGAAACTCCAGTGACATTTTTATCCAACTCGTGCCCAAAATGAAAGTTACTTTCCAGGTATTTATCTACCTAGGTGTCAATTTGAGCCATCCCCCCTTAGTTTTATATAATGCTTCTCACTTAGGTCCTCCAACAGTCATCCAGAAGGATACAACTATCACTGGGTGTGCTATCAAAGTCCCATACATCCTTTGCCTTCCAAAGTCATTACTTTGGTCTCCAGCCTATAATGGGGGAGCAGACACGCTCAAACTTTCCATTGTCCTGCAGTTGCATCCAATTGTGAGAGGCAAAACCGCAACGTTTGTCCGCATCGCTGTCTTTGCAGCAGGCTGTTTGGCTCTTGAAGGCGTGCAGGATCGGTGGAAAGACGAAAGCTGCAGCCTTGGGCCTCAGACCAGCTGGTCGAAAATCCACTGTGTCTGCAAAGCCCAAAAACACAGCCCAAAGTCAACTAGATTCAGTCCAAGAGGGGCCTCAGGAGCCAGAATCCGATTTTTCGCTGGCAAGGTACTTTTATTTCCCAATCAAGTTGACATGAAAATGTTCCTTTTACAACCAACAGGAGAGAATCCTGTCCCGGGGCTGATTGTGTTTGCTGTTTTTCTAATCTACATTTTCTTGGCTGTCTGGGTGAGAATAAAAGACAGAACTGATATTGAAGAGCAGATCATAGATTTGCCAGATAACGACCCCTTTCACACCAGGAGATACCTCGTGACCATCTATACTGGGAGCCGCCCAAGGGCAGGGACCAACGCCGATGTGTTCATCGACCTGGTTGGCCAGAACGGGTCAAGTGATGTGCACCTCTTAAAGCATCCGGCATTTCCAAAGATCCTTCAGAACAGCTGCGTCGATACTTTCATGCTAACTACCGAGAAAGATTTGGGAGACCTTGTCTCTATCCACATCTGGCACAATTATTGTGGCTTCGGTCCGAACTGGTACTTGAGCCGAATCAAAGTCCTGAACGTAGACACAAACAAGTCATGGCTGTTTATGTGTAGAAGGTGGTTGGCCCTTGGCAGGAATAAGTACCAAATAGAATGGACTTTTGAGGTCACTGATCCACAAGTGCCCATCAGCAGAATTGATTATCTATTGATAATGTTTAGCTATTGCTTGTTCCATGATCACCTCTGGTTCTCCATCTTTGTTCGCAGCCTTGACCACTCTTGGACCAGATTTCAGAGGCTCTCCTGCTGCTTGGCGATATTTTTAACCTCCCTGCTGATCAACACGATAATCTTCAACACTAAGAAAGAAGAACAAGTCTACCTCCTAGAACTGCAGTATTTGAGATCCGTGAGAGCTGGCGTTCTCAGTGCCCTCATCTCCATTCCAGTGGGATGGATTGCAGTGAGCTCATTTAAGTACTCCACGAAGGGGTCTTCTCAGTGTAACATCGCTCAGGGTCAGGGAAAGGAAAGTTTCACTTGCTTGCCTGAAAGACTTCCTAAGGCAGGGACCCAAATTTCAGAGATAACGTCAGAGCAGTTTTCAGCCACAGATAACAATTTTAGTAATAATTACGCAACAGAAAAGAAAGCAACTTTGGGTAAAACTCAGAAATTGCAATGGCACAGATGTTTGTCTTGCAGCGCGTGGTTCTTTGTCTTCCTCATATCTGGGGTAGCATCAATTTTCATCACATTCATTGGCCTATCTTTTGATAACAAAACATCCTCTGAATGGTTAATAGCTGCTCTGATCTCGTTCTGTCTCCACGTGAGCTTCTTTGAGACCTTACAAATTGTTATTTCCTCAAGCTGGAATATCTGTTTGGAAAAATACTGCGCAAACATCCCATGGCAAAGCTATCGAGATATGAAGTACGAACCAAGAACGATGGAAGCTGATGAGATGGTGAAGTTGCACGATGACCTTGTTCAAGTCAGAGCTTCCAAGAAATACCAACCGATCAAAGAGGAAGACGTTACAGCCCTGCAAAAGAAGCAGATGATTCAATATCTAGCTTACAAATACGTAAAGGACATGATCTGCCACTTTATCTTCTTGACTTTAATTTTTACAATCTCGCATCCAATAGACGTTACTACAGCCTTCTTTTACAACAGAGCCATGTCTAGAAAATTTTCTCCTAATTTACCTGATCAGAATGGAGTACAGGATGTTTACAGGTGGGTAAACAACAAATTTCTGCCACTGATACACAATCCCTATCACCCAAGCTATCTTCTGAACACCTGGTCCACAGTGCTGGGGTTGCCCAGAATGAGGCAAATAAGAAGGAAATCTGATGACAGATGTTTACTTTCTCATGAATTGAAAAACATATTTTTGCTGCATAATGTTAATTGCAAGAATAAATATGGATTTAGCCAAGAAGATCAAACTAACTACATGGGCTCCTGGTCATCTCCTACCAATGCCTCAGTTCCCAAGAACCATGCTGAGTTTCTAGGCTTCAGTTATGAGCCAAGTAATACCCAATGGGAGTACAACTCCTACGGACAATTAAATGAATATCCTTCCGGGGGATATACTTTTTATTTTTTCCCCGAAGAACCGCAAGTGAATTCAACAAAAAGGTTGGAAGCTTTGGAAACGAAAAGCTGGATTGACAACAAGACGTGGGCAGTGATTTTTGAATTAACAGCTTTTAACGTTGATGCCAATATGTTCTGCAGCGTTTCTGTCATCTTTGAACTTTCTTTACTCGGCCCTGTAAATGCCAGCGTCTCCGTGCATTCTTACAAACTCCCGTTTTTCACACATCAAAGCATGAGCCAGATCTTCTTCTTTTGTCTGACGATATACATACTCATTTTTTATATTGCTGACGAATGTCGCATGGTATACCGAGAACGACTGAGCTATTTTACCGTCGCTACCAACCTGATCAACTTTGGGATAAAGACCATCTGCATCGTCTTTCTGGTGGTGCTTGTGTGCAAATTCAAGCTTTCTTCTGACTTGGTGAAGTTTTACTTACTTCATTCCCAAGAGTTTATTCCATTCCATACAGCTTCCGAATTTGACAAGACAGTCAGAGGCGTTCTGGGGGTCTTGGTTTTTTTCCTGGTTCTGAAAACATATCGCTATGTCAGATTTCTGTATGATTTACGCTTAGCCCAAAAATCCCTCAGAACAGCCCTCCCCGGGATCATCAATATAGCTGTAATGGGTGGCATATTCTTCAATGCATATACGGCCCTTGGATACTTGGGGTTTGGCCAGCATGAATGGAACTTCCGTAGCATGGTGTATTCCTTCACAACTGTATTGTCTTATTGTGCCTTAGCATTTAGGAACACTGATTTTTTGTCTTCCAAACTTCTAGGGGGTTTTTTTTTAGGATCCTTTCTTCTGGTGATGATCTGCATTTTTGTCAATTTAAGTCAAGTCATCATCATGTCAGCTCACATGGACATGAAGGAAATTGTTTACAACGAGGCTTCCAATGAAGCAGAGGTAATGTATTTTATACTCCAGAAGATCTACAGAATGTGGTATTTTGCCAGCACCGGTACCTATACAAATGCAGAGACTGATTTTTTTAACACTGTACTGTATGGGAAATTTAAGAAACGTAGGAAACAGCTCTTGAGAAAACGGTTGGGAAGGAAGGAAATGCTCTATGTTGTTATTTGAGGAAAACAGTCAGAAGCAGGTGTTAATTATTTCCCTGGATTATTCTTTTGGATCATACTGAATTCCCAACCCATCGTCTATTCCCATTCCAGTTAGTCTTCCACTGCTTTGATTTAAAATGGCCATTCTGTTTTATTCTGGAAGCCCTACAGCAGATGAGTTCCTAGCTCTGGGCTAGTGACCACCTGATTTTAATCAGCAACAGGGTCGAATAACAGGAGATAGGAGTGAGGTCCTTGCTGGGAAGACATTCAGCTTGCTCAAAATCTGTTCAGAATGAGGACCTCCTAAACATCAGGCAGTAACTGTGGTCTGACCAACTCAGAAGAAGCAGAAGAAACCACAAGAAGGTTTACAAGAAAAAAAATGAGAAAACCCAGGTACATTTTTGGTCATTAGATCCTTCACTGGGGCCAATCCACTCTGTACCCCTTTTGGAAGGTCAACACAGTAGTGGAAAGTTCTCCATATCAAGATCAGCTGCTACAGAGAACCAAGGCACCACCACACAATGCCCTGTAGAATGTGCAGACATACATTGGATACCCAGAGAGTGAAATATTTACAGAAATATTTGCAGGGGAGATGGAGATGTAGCGATCAAGAAATTCAAGATGGTGGCTGAGACTATCTGATTGAAACCTGACCCCTTTTAACTCGCTTCCTGCCTGTGAGGCACATCAAAGAAAGGTGAAGCCTCTCACTTATGCTTTTGATCCCCTTTCTTACCAATACCCCCAGATGTATATCTCTTTTGGGGGATTAGGTTTCCAGAAATGCTATGCAGTTGGGGTACTTCCTTATTGACATCTTGAACTTTTTTCTCCTGACTGCCTTGCCTGGTTCCTATATTTCCTTTCTTTATCCTCATTTTCTTATCTTAGGAGACTTTCCCAGGACTGCCACTTTTTTGCACTTCTTATGTGATGTATGAAATCGAGTGAAGTGAAAGTTCTTTTTTAATCAGTCAGTTATAAGCATCTTTCTGTGTTAAAATGTCCGTTTATCTGAATAAATAACATAGTTTTGTTCAGTTCATTGATATTAACATTGCCTTTTCTTGTTATACCTTTCTGGAATATTTCCATTTTGATTTGATTTCGACCTCCCTATACAGTTTGGAATAGCAACAGTAATAGCACTTAGACTTATACACCGCTTCACAGTGCTTCACAGCCATCTCCAAGCGGTTTACAGAGTCAGCATCTTGCCCCCAACAATCTGGGTCCTCATGTTACTGACCTCGGAAAGACGGAAGGCTGGGTCAACCTTGAAGTGGTAAGAATCAAACTGCTGACAGTCGGCATAATTAGCCTGCAATACTGCATTCTCACCACTGCGCCACCATTGCTCTTGGTATAGAGCAGAGTTTCTCAACCTCAGTAATTTTAAGAGGTGGGGACTTCAACTCCTGGAATTCTGCAACCAGCACGCTGGCTGGAGAATTCTGGGAATTGAGCACCACGCATTTTAAATGTTTCTGAGGTTGAGAGACACCGGAATATAGAATACTAGAGTTGGAAAGGACCTTTGAGGTCTTCTAGTCCAACCCTCTGCTCAAACAAGAGACCCTATATTAGCCTGGACAAAGGGCTGTCCGATCTCTTCTTAAAAATCTCCAGTGGTGGAGCACCCACAGCTTCAGGAAGCAAGCCCTTCTGGAGCCTCCAGCCACTTAAACATCTTCGTTGCTCTTCTCTGCACTCTTTCTAGAGTCTCAACATCTTTTTTTGACCAAAACTAGATACAATATTCCAAGCATGATTTTTTTTTTTAACTTTACAACTTTTGAATCATATTTGTTTCCCCAAGTGTTGACAAGTTGGAAGTGTCAAGCTTCCAGAGCACCTTTTTTTCATAAGGGATGGATGAATCTTCAGAGAAACGGCTCCTGTTGGCTACTCTGAATGGGGCTTCAGAAACCCTATGGCATAATTGCAGCCCATCATATTTTTAATATATTCATACAAAGTTCTCAATGGCAGAGAAGTTGTTGGTCATAAATTTATAAAGAGCAGCTGAAATGGAGCTAGACTCTAAAAAAAATATTATTGTACTAACTTCATGTGGACGGTTAAGGGAACCTTTGAAGACTCCAGTTTCATCATTTCTCTGACCTCTGCATGCATGGATCTTTCTGAACCAATAATCTCAGGTTATCTGATCAGGTCATAAGTGGTCCTAGATTGATTTCATGGGAATAAATATTGGCATTACCGGATTTATTTATTTATTTATTTATTTATTTATTTATTTTTCCCATTTATACCCCGCCCTTCTCCCGAGGGACTCAGGGCGGCTTACAGGTAAATAAAAACAGTATAATACAATAAATATCTCTAAAAGCCAAATTAAAATATATATTAAATGACCTGTATTAAATTTAATATTATAAAATCCCTTTAAAATCCCTATAAAATCCCCCCCTAGTATGGTTTAAAGGGATGTTATGTTTAAAAAATACCATTTGAAAAAAAAAATCTTAAAATATCAATATCTAGCATACTGATGTAAAGCACATAATTCTGATGTTGATGATAATAATAATTTCTTCAACAATAAACATTCTTGTGACTGTTTCTCAGCACGTTGGGAAAAACTCTGCCATGGGTCCTGAGGAATTCCTGCCACTTAGAGCAGTGTTTCTCAACCTTGCCCACTTTAAGATGGGTGGACTTCAACTCCCAGAATTCTTCAGCCAGCACTTTTAGTCCACACATCTTAAAAGGTCGGGAAACGCTGACACGGAGCTACATAATCAAAGGGTGGTCAGAATCACAACCTAACGGGACTCCAACAGAGGTTGCCCAGGTGCCACGTTCTAGAATCCACCCAGTCATTCCATCTGCAGCAGTTAAGGCCGTTGATCCAAGCCTTTCCAGATGTGTTTCTTCTCCACGTTTAGGGTTTATTTCCCATGGGCAGTAATCGTGCCCCTTTCTTTATGCCTGCCCCCATCACTGGTGACATCTAACCACACCTATTGGCCGGAAGAAGACAAACCCCAGACCTCGTCTGCATGGGACACTAACGGTGAGGATGGCTCATTCAGAGTTGTAGAGCTTCTTTCAAGAACCTGGAAGCAACTGAGAGATGGGTTTTCTCTACAGCATCGTTGGGTTTGGAGATCCATTTTGAGGCATAATATGCTTCCGTGCTCGGGACATGTGGCGTTGGAACTAGTCTTTGAAGGATGTGACATCCGTTTTTCTTCAACCTCCACCCACATCACAATCCAGGGTGTCTCCTGTTCCTACGGTGTGCCTTGTCATCTTCACCAACGTCTGAGAATTAAATTGTTTTGCCAAGATGTTCCTCTGTTCCTGCTCTGGCCATCCACAATCCCCAAACATGACTGGAAACAAATGTGGCTAGGCTGCTGTGCATGCCTTGGTAAAACAAGATGGTGCCATCATTACAGTTATAGACGGGGTGGCCCTCCAGCCCTTTTCCTTCTCATCGGCCATCATCCAAATTCTTCACCATGTAACCACTACTGTGATGGTTGGCTGCCCCACAGGTGCTCCTCCTATTTCAGGTATTGTCAGATTGCACACTGCACCCACCAAGGACTGTCCCTTCCTTCCTTCCATATCAGGCAAGGCCCTTTGGTCAGGCCTAATTTGGACATGCAGGTAGAACCCATCGTATTGCATCTTTACAGTGCCCATTCCAAATTACTCCGCATCCCTCATAGGACTATCAATTTATTCTGGAATGTCTCCTCAGCCAACTCCCAACGAAAGACCTACAGCCTGGTGGATGCTCACAGCGGACGGTTCTGGTCTACCATATTCAATCCATATGCTTTACGGAATAATTACTCCATTGCTCCTAGTCCGCCATCTTTCGGGAACAAAGTTGTGGCTCGTTTCTCTTTGGTTCTTGAAGAGGCAGCCTCTGGAGATTTGAGTGGGGCATTAGATTTCTCAGGTGCCATTTTAGGTCTAAGGATCAGGAATCAGCCTCTGGCTTATCTTACTCTCAGAGACTCACGGAAAATCAAGGCAGACACCTATTTTTTTACCCCCAGACAGGGGTTCTCCTATCTTATCAAAGGCTCTTCTAATGACTTGCACATTCCTTCCCGCATTTACTATCTTTTTTACCAACAGCACGGTCTCTCTTACTTAATCACCATTGAATTTGTCCACTGGTGCTGCTACAGATTCAGCATCCATCTGTATCTTAACCAAAAAGGAGTCCCTTTGAAGTCTTATTCAGAGAAAGATGTAGAAATTCACATTTTCAACAGTGGCCCTGCGTTTGTGCCAGGTTCGGTCTATGTCGCTTGGTTCATTCCCCTGCAGAACCCATTATTACAGCATAAGTGGACCTTCAACCTACAATGTTTGGATGTAGAGAAGGAAGCTCTTCTTTGGAATGCTACTTACAGTTACAGAGATCGTGTCAAAAATGCTGCCTGTTTTATATCTGACCTTCCTCTTAACCCTGCTTTATATGCAGGCTTCGTAGCACAAGTCAACTGCAGACGAATCGGCCCAATACATATCCTTTTAGAAACCAGAGTCAGTACTTATACCTCAAAGGCCCTGAAGTCTACAGTGGATTGCCTTCCAAGATTCTGTTTCCTTAAAAGAGTAAAAATCCAGGAATCTCATGATACTAATCTTGTTTTAAATTACAGTAAAAATGACCCATTCACTCTCTCAGCTGATATTGAGGTGAATTGTTCAGAACCGAGGCAAACACATACAGCCTGGAGAATCTATAAAGTTCCAGATATGAAGACCGGTCCAGACTGGTCAAAACCTTTGAATCCTTCTGGAATTGGGAAAAATGATCTTTCAACCTTAAACATTCCTGCTGGTAGCCTAGATGAAGGCTTGTATTTATTCAATTTGACCATAACATTAATCACGGGGGACACTTTAGAGAAAGTAGAGGATTCCGATTCAGTATTTGTGAAGATTAGACCCAACAGACTTTGGGCGGTTATTGCTGGAGGTGATTTGCAGACAGTCGGATTTTCTGACCAGTGGATTCTGGATGGGTCTGCCTCTTCTGATCCGGATGCCCCCCAACCCTTTCAAGGCCTCACCTTCACTTGGTACTGCTCCAAACAAAAAGCAGACTATGTTTCTATGACTTTGAGCGAGACTGGGAAGTGCCGCCCAGATCAGGCAGATCTGAAGTGGACTGCTTCTTCAGAGGCCGTGCAAACAGTTCTGCCTCGAACACTTCAAGAGAAGGCCACCTACTACTTTCTCCTGGTGGTTCATAAAGGAAGGAGACAGGCTCAGGCTGAGCAAAGGGTCCATGTGCAGCCTGATGCTTGGCTAGCACTGAACATCACCTGCCTTGAGAACTGTGGAAGATCTGTGAATCCCATGGAAAGATTTTGCCTGTTTGGCAAATGCCTAAATTGCAGGAGGTTTAATAAGCCTCGATTTCACTGGTCGCTTTTTTCGGGAAATTCCTCCGAGCTCCAGTTTGACTGGGCCTCCAGAACTTCAACAGGAAGAACCAATCCGTACCTCTGTATGAAACCGTTGAGCTTGATGCATATGGCAGAATCCTCCTTTAGACTTGTATTTAAAGTAAGCCTGGAGGGATATAAACCATTGCTCTATGTCTACTCATTTGTGGTAAATATACCTCCAGCACTTGGAAAGTGCAGCCTTAACCCTCCCACAGGAATAGCCTTTCTAACAAAATTCTCTGTTCACTGTAGTGGATTTAGAGATCAGCATTTGCCTCTTACTTATAAGGTCAAAGTGGCATTAGATGCAATGCAAGTGCCTATTAGAGAAAACAGTACTTTGGGCACCATTGTCTATTTTGGTGACCAATGCAAAAGTCCGCCCTCTTTTTTACCCATTGGTGTATCTTCTAAGCAATATCTCTTGACCTTATATGTCCAAATATATGATGATCTTGGTGCTTATTCCCAAATTACATTAACCACCACGGTGCACAGTCCACTGAAAGCCAAGGAACCAGAGGCTGCGTTAAAGGAATTGCATAGCTTAACCAGTGGAACATCCGCTCCCATCACATACTTTCTCAACAGCGGAAATTATTTTAGCGCGGGATATTTTGTCCACATGGTGGCTTCTACTTTAAATGATCTAGAAGTGCTTCCGAGACTTCATTCCTCTAAGACCAAACTGCGTGAAATCCTTTTAAATCATTTGGCTGGGATTCCAACAACAAATATAATGGAGGCAAATCACATGATCTCAAGTATTTTGCAGATAACCCAAGAAATTGGGGAAATGAACAGGAAGTCACAGCTTCTTGTGGTCCAAAAGCTCAAGGAGGTGACTGATAGGTTGAAAAGACATAACAGAGAAAAGGGGGGTTCTAAGGAGATCCATGATCTTGGAACTGCTATTCTTGCTGGGTTATCTAAAGTCTTGAAAGCTTCTCTGTTAAAAAACCCACAAAGCCACAGAGTTGTGGCTGGGGAAACCGTCTCTGCCACTGAAATTTTAGCAGACCTCCTTTTACAAGGCAAAGTCCCAGGAGAAAGTGAAACCACCATAGGAGCGGATGACTGGACCATCACATTAAGGAAAGAGGAAAAGCGTGATATTTCCAAAACTTTTGCTACGAAGAGAGACTGCCGAAACAATTGTTTCTATGCCAAAATGAAGCAAGTGGAATATGACCGGCTGCCCGATGACGCAGTAATTTCTACGGTACTTTATGACTTTGACAAGAGTCCATTTTTCGGGTTGCCATCTTCGGACGACATAAGCACAAGAGTGGGGGGGTTCAAAATGGCAGGAACTAAATCTAATGGCGAAGTGATTGAAATCGTGCCTGATGTGGTGGAAATGATCCTGACCAGAAATGAGGACACGACAGCTGTGTTTGAGATGATGGTGGAACGCAGCCAAAACTTCCCTGAAGCATCTGGAGGACTCAGTTTGGAAGTCCCTAGAAACTCCAAAGACATCTTAATCCAGATAGTGACAAAACTAAAGCTCACTTTCCAGGTTTTGATATACGTGGGTCTCAAACTTAGTCATCCTCCAATAGCTACTTTTAATGTTTCCCACAATAAGCCGGTGGTCTCAAAGACTAAGAATCCCACAGGTCATGATTGTGTATTTCAGAGGCCGTACGTTTTTTGCCTTTCACAAAAGTTACTCAAATCCGTATTCCAAGGCAGCAGAGCTGAAAAACGAAATGTTTCCATCATTTTCCGGTCTGGCCACTTTCTGCAGGGCCACAACAACTCAGGGAGACTTGACCTCGCGCTGTTTACAGCGGACTGCTTGTATCTGGATGATGTCCAAACACACTGGAGGCAAGACACATGTCATCTCGGACCTCAGACTACATGGCAAAAGCTACACTGTGTCTGCGCAGGCAAAAGACGCACTGCGAGGACCGTTGACCCACCAACAGGAAGAACCTCCATAGGAAACATCACATTTTTAGCAGGGAAGGTGACCGTCTATCCTGATCCAGCAGAGACGAGAAAGATCCAGCTGGCTCAAATCCAGAAAAACCCAGTGACAATCTTGACCGTAGTTTTCATTTTTCTTACCTATATCATGTTGGCTATTTGGGCAATGAGGAAAGATAAGGCTGATGTAGAAAGCAAAGCCCACACCATTGTCTTGCCTGACAACGACCCCTTTGATAAGGTTTGCTACTTGGTCACCATCTACACAGGCAGCCGCGTTGGGGCAGGAACCACAGCCACCATTTTCATCCAGTTGATAGGGGACCAAGCAGTCAGCGACGTCCACTGCTTGAGCCACCCTGAACACGTGCCTTTCCTCCGTGGGTCCATCAATACCTTCCTCCTGACTACTAAGAATGACCTGGGAGAAATTTATTGCCTTCAAGCTTGGCACGATAATGCCGGTTCTTCTCCTAACTGGTTCCTGAGTAGAGTCAAGGTGGAAAACATGTACACCAAGCAGTCTTGGATGTTCATGTGCCGAAAATGGTTTGCTCTGGAGAAGGACAATGGTCTAATCGAGAGGGTGTTTGTTGCGGTCCAGCCATCGGCCCCTTTAAAAAAAATGGATTTTTTTCTCATCAGCTTGGCCAAGGACCTTGCAGACAATCACTTATGGTTCTCCCTTTTTGCCCGCGTGTGCACGGGTTCTTTCAACAGACTTCAACGGCTGTCTTGCTGCTTAGCCACGGTCCTCTGCATCCTGCTAATCAACATGATGTTCTTCAAGGCTGACGAAGATCAGCAGATGCATCCAGGACAACTGCAGTATCTGAGACTTCTGATCATCGGTGTTCAGAGTGCCTTCATTTCGGTCCCTTTGCAGATGATTATAACAGCTCTGTTCAAATATTCGCAGAAGGAGCCTTCTGATCAGAAGGCCACTGAAACTCAGCAGAAAGTGTGTTCTAATGTAACGGCTGGAAATCTGAGGAACTGGAAAGAACTCTTGCAGAAATGTTACCTTCTAGAAACGGCTTCAAAATTCCCAGGGCCAGGTTTTCCAGACAACAGCTTTTCCGGTGCCTCCAATCCCCCAAACCTGGCAGAACAGAAAAATGTTAGGTGGCGGCAGAGAACAAAAATCCGTTACAACTGCACAATCCCAGAGGGGGATGCCAATATAATTTCAACAGAGGAGGAGGAGGAGGCTTCGCAAGCTGGCCATACCAACATCAATTTTAACAATAATTGTGCGGAGAAGGAGGCAGGCCACCAAACGAGGCCTCCCCATACTCCCAGCATGCTTTTCTTCAAAAGGCCCCAGGTCATATCTTGGTGGAACAGATACGCTTCGTGGATGCTGGTCTTGGTTATTTCTGCCGCGTCCTCTTTTTCTATCATATTATATGGCACGTCTCAGGACTATGAAACCTCTTTAGAATGGCTCGCAGCCTCCGCCATCTCGCTACTGGTCAGCATGTTCTTCCTTCAAACGCTGAACGTCCTTTTTTTTTCAGCCCTAAAATCGCTTCATCCCAATTCCAGTGAAAGCATCCCGTGGTCCATCAAGGAAACTTTCCTAGAGATTAAGCTGAACGGACCAAGTATGAATGCTGACGACATGCGAGAACTGCATTACGACCTCGTAAGACTGAGGGGCACCAAGCAGTACCAGCCTTTGGAAGAAGACGAGGTCACCATTTTTAAGAAAAGAGAGAAGATCCGACATCAAGCCTTTGTTTTCCTGAAGGACGTCATATGCCACTTCGTCTTTTTAATCCTTATTTTGAACATTGCCTACTCCATGGAAAACACCACGAGTTTTTACTACAATCAGGACATGAACTCAAAATTGTCTGAGGGGCTTTTCGAAGTCGGTAAAATAAAGGAGATTTATCTCTGGTTGAAGGAGGTCTTTTTGCAACTGATTCACAACGACCTGAAGCCAACCTTCCTGCCAGAGACCTGGTCCAAAATCCTGGGTTTACCCAAAATGCGGCAGATAAGAGCAAAGCATACTAAAAAAGAATGCTTCTATCCGCACAGTTTTGTAAATAAATTTGTGATTAGTAAAAGCCACTGTCTTCACAAATATGGCGCTGATGAAGAGGATCAGAGCGACTACCTCGGCTCATGGAAAAACCCAGCTAATAAATCTGCGGTGAATCATTTTAGCAATTTCACAGGATTCACCTACCACACAGTCAGAGATCCCTGGAGATACAATTCCTACGGAGAGCGAAATGTGTACGAAGCAGGAGGATATGCTTTCCATTTTTATCCAGAGGAGACTCTCTCTGAATCAGTGAAAGGACTGGAGTCTTTGGAAGAAAGCGACTGGCTTGATGAAAATTCTTGGGTGCTAATAGTCGAGATGACGACTTTTAATCCTGACGTGGACTTATTTTGCAGCATATCTGTGATCTTCGAACTTTCTCATTTAGGCCCCATTAACACAACTTTGTGGATCCACTCCTATAGACTCCCCATTTTCAAGCAGCTGGAACAAAGGGAGAAGTTTGTTTTCATCTTGGTGGGCTACATGCTGGTCTTTTACATCATTGATGAGTTTTGCGTGGTGGAGCAACAGAGACTCAACTACCTAAAAAACGTGTCCAATTTAATTAACTTTGGCATAAAAGCCGTGTGCTGTTTTTTCCTTCTGCAACTCGCCTTCAAGTTTAAGCTGGCTTCGAGCCTTATCGATCTCTATCTCCGTCAGCCGAACGAATTCATCCCCTTCCATAAAGTTTCTTTTGTCGATAAAACCTCGCGGGTCACTCTAGGGTTTTTGGCCTTCCTGATTGTCCTGAAAACTCTCAGGTACTCCCGTTTCTTTTACGACGTGCGCCTGGCCCAGAGGTCCATTCTGGCCGCCCTGCCAGGGATCTGCTCCATGGCTTTAGTAGTGGCAGTCTACTTCTTTGTCTATATGGCCTTCGGCTACCTTGTCTTTGGCCAGTATGAGTGGAACTACAACAAGATGACCCACTCGGCCCAGACCGTCTTCTCCTACTGTGTCTCGGCCTTCAAGGACACGGCTTTCAGATCCAACCGTGCCCTGGGTGGACTCTTCCTGGCCTCCTTCATGATGGTGATGATCTGCGTCTTGATCAACTTATTCCAAGCAGTGATCATGTCGGCCTACGAGGACATGAAGCAGCCGGTTTACGAAGAGCCTTCTGACGAAGCCGAAGTGGTCAATTTTCTCTTCCATAAAATCCGTCGAATATGGGCTTTCGTCACCTTTAGGCCTGTATCGACCACAGACACGGAGCTTTTTAATCGAGTTCTTTTTGGGCTTCCTGAGCGCAAAACCACGCATCACCTTGGACTCAAAGCCCGGAAAATAAATGGGCGGAAAATGGTGTATCTTGTCATCTGAGTCCTGGTTATAAAAAGGACAAAAAAGGGAAAAGGAATGAGGAAGAATGAGTTGCTCAAATCATGACTTGAATTTCTAAAATCCTGTTTCCAGGCTAGATTATCTTTGTTTATTCACAGCACAGTTTTCTGGAATAATTTTTCTTTATTACTGGCAAGCATACATGCAGCCAATCGGGATGAAAAAGGAATATACCTCAGTCTGATTTCTTCCATTTGCATGCCTGCCTGCCTTTGTCACCCTGGATATGGAGAAACAAAAATGATCAGGACCAAGACTTTTATGCAACTAAAAGTTTCAGAGGGATTTTCATAAACATTAGAGCACCTTACTGAAAAAAAACGATCACTTTCAAGATTAAACAACATTTTAAGTCTTTTTATTGTTCTGTTTTTATTCGTAACATTTTCAAAGCTGCTATTCCACGTTCTGCCTTAACCATAGAAATTGCACAATACATCGGTTGGCATCCATTGGCGGTGTCCACAAGGTGGGTAACAAATAAATAATAATAAATAAAGTGTGCGTGTGCACAAGTGTGTACAGGGAGCCCTCAACTTACGACCTTTCCTTTAGTGACCATTTGAAGTTACCACGGCACTGAAAAAACGGACAGGGCTGTTTTTCACACTAACGACCGTCGCAGCACCCCTTGGTGACAGAAATGATGGGCTCAGTTGTGGGTGCAAGTGGAGGACCACACGGCACGGGAAGAAGACCAGGACGTTTTCGGAAGGCCGCCTTTTCATAAAATGTCTGAGTCAGGAAAGGCACCATGGGGGCACTGCTGACTTCTGCCACCCTGGGCGATCCGGCTTCCACTCCGAGAGAGAGAGAGAGAGAGAGAGAGAGAGAGACAGAGGGTGCCTTGGCAGGCGGGCTTGTCCTCTTCTCACACTCTGACACACCTCTGCAAATCTTCCTGCCAGCACAGGGGGCGTTGCTTGCCCCAGTCCACCTCGTCGAGTCTTGGGATTACCTGGTGGTCTCCCATCCGAGGAAACCGCCGCAGGGTCAGCCCTGCTCCGCTGCTCCCTCGGGGGTCTCGGCGGGCGGACAAGCGGCCCTGGGCTGGAGTGGGGAGGCAGCTACGGGAGTCTTGCCTCGTCCCCTGAATGGATGGAGAAACCGACATTGATTTGCACGGGATTTCCTTGCGGCAAGTCCGTTTAATTGGACATCTGTGTGTGTGTGTGTGTGTGTGTGTGAGAGAGAGAGAGAGAGAGAGAGAGAGAGTGAGTGTGTACATCTCTGTGTGTGTGTGTGTGTGAGAGAGAGAGAGTGAGTGTGTACATCTCTGTGTGTGTGTGTGTGAGAGAGAGAGAGAGNGTACATCTCTGTGTGTGTGTGTGTGTGAGAGAGAGAGAGAGAGAGTGTACATCTCTCTGTGTGTGTGTGTGTGTGTGAGAGAGAGAGAGAGTGAGTGTGTACATCTCTGTGTGTGTGTGTGTGTGTGAGAGAGAGAGAGAGAGAGAGTGAGTGTGTGTATCTCTGTGTGTGTGTGTGTGTGAGCGAGAGAGGGAGGGAGTGGGTGTGTGTGTGTGTGTGTGTGTGTGAGAGAGAGAGAGAGAGAGAGTGAGTGTGTACATCTCTGTGTGTGTGTGTGTGTGAGAGAGAGAGAGAGTGAGTGTGTACATCTCTGTGTGTGTGTGTGTGAGAGAGAGAGAGAGAGTGAGTGTGTACATCTCTGTGTGTGTGTGTGTGTGTGAGAGAGAGAGAGAGAGAGAGAGAGTGAGTGTGAGTGTGTGTGTCTGCATGTGTGTGGGGTGTGTGTGTGTGTGTGTGTGTTTGGGAAGGAGGGGCCTATCGCACAACTGAAACACACCCCGCCCCCTCGAGGTCGCAGGGCTCCCAAAGCATCCTACGGCCCCTTTAAGGAGGGGCGGGGCAACGCAGGCGAACGTGCGACGTCGCCGCCGTGGGCGTGGCCAGGAAACAGGAAGAAGCTGCTGCTCGAGAGCCTTTCCCCCCCCCCTTCCCGGAGCCCGTTTCACGTGTGAACTTAAGCGGCCAGGTACGTTCCCGTGAAGGCGGCGCGGCGGCCCCCCTTTAAGGGAAAGCCGGCGCCCTGCAAGGCCGAGAAGCGGCTGCCTTATCCTGGGGGGGGTTTACTCCCGAGGAGGAAAAGTGCAGCCTCGAAAGGAGGGGAGCGGCGTTGACCTCTTTGGGGGGGGGTCTGGGGGCGGGGGGGGGTCTGCAATTGCACAGTGCACGAAGAAGCGCGGCGGTTTGGCGAAGGGCTGCTGCGTTGAAGCCGGCTCCTTCCCGGGGGCCCCAAGCCCAAGCCCCTCCCGCCTCCCCCGAAGGACCCCCCCCAAGCCGGGGGGGGGCTGTCCTCGGGCTCTTCTTCCTCTCTCTTCGGATTGTCTTAGGCAGGGGTCTTCCAACTTGGCCCTTTGATGACTTGTGGACTTCAACTCCCAGAATTCCTCAGCCAGCTTTGCTGGCTGAGGAATTCTGGGAGTTGAAGTCCACAAGTCATCAAAGGGCCAAGTTGGAAGACCCCAGGTCTTAAGGGGTGAGAAACCACCCCCACCCCCCGGCCGCCCTTCCCACCCAAGACCAGAGGAGACAGACCCACAGGATGGCAGAGTCGGAAGGGACCTTGGAGGTCCCCTGCATCAGCCTTTTAGCTTCATTTAACTTACTGATTTGACAATTACTCACAGGTTGTTTCACCGCTATGCTGAAAGCAAGAACAGAATTGAGACAATAAGTCCCCACTGCAACACCCAGAACAAAGTAGGAGGGGGAAAAAACCAGAGGAGGTATAGGTAGAGGATGTTTTGGGAAAAGCTCCCTTTTTAATAGCTTTGTCAAAGCCTCCAGAGAGGGGGCCAGCCTGATCTCAAGGGAGTAGTCTAGCTAAACTATTTGCACGGCCTCTAAGAAACCTTCAACTTTTGCTAGGGTTGCCAGGTCTGCTTCCAAAAAATAGCAGACAAGCGGAGGGGGGTTGGGTTTAAGTAGTAAAAAAAGTAGACTGTACAGCTTTAGATTACGTACCATTTCATCATAAAGCTTTTGAATAAAAAAAAATGTCCACTATTTTGTGGAAAAAAAATAGTGAACATAATGTGAAAAAAGTGGACTGTCCGCTCAAATAGTGGACACCTGGCAACCCTAACTTTTGCACTGGAGGTCCAGCATTTCTAGCCCGGTTCTTCCTTTGCGGATGTTCTCTTCTTGCCTGAGACACACCCTCAAACATTTCTGAGTTTGTCCTCTAGATGGCAGCAGCACCCCAGGTGAGCAAGACTATTTCTCCACCATTGATACCTTCAGTAACTGCAGGTGAGGCTGGCAACTGGGTTGTTAAGCGAAGAGGTTGCTAAGTGAAACGGCCACTGTGCTTGTAATTTCATTTCAGCTTTCCTTTGATTTTTGTTGTTGTTGTTAGTTGCGAAGTCGTGTCCGACCCCTCGCGACCCCATGGACCACGTTCCTCCGGGCCTTCCTGTCCTCTACCATCTTCTGGAGTCCATTGAAGCTCCCGCCTGCTGCTTCAGGGACTCCATCCAGCCACCTCCTTCTCTGTCGTCCCCTTCTTCTCTTGCCCTCCATCTTTCCCAGCATCAGGCTCTTCTACTCTATTCTACTCTACTTCATATTCTATTCTATTCTATTCTATTCTATTCTACTCTACTCTTGTTAGTTGCGAAGTCGTGTCCGACCCATCGCGACCCCATGGACAACGTTCCTCCAGGCCTTCCTGTCCTCTATCATCTTCTGGAGTTCATTTAAGTTCACGCCTACTGCTTCAGTGACTCCATCCAGACCACCTCATTCTCTGTCGTCCCCTTCTTCTCTTGCCCTCCATCTTTCCCAGCATCAGGCTCTTCTCCAGGGAGTCCTTCCTTCTCATTAGGTGGCCAAAGTATTTGAGTTTCAACTTCAGGATCTGGCCTTCCAAAGAGCAGTCGGGGTTGATCTCCTCTAGGACTGACTGGTTTGAACGCCTTGCAGTCCTCGCAGGAGTCTTCTCCAGCACCAGTTCAAAGGCCTCCATTCTTTGTTTCCTTTGATTTACAGACCTGCAAAGGTTGTAAATGTGATGACTGGTTGCAAAGTTACTTTTTCATTATTGTAACTAAACGAGGATTACCTGTAGTGAGACGGGAGTGTTTGACAACCTCTGGCTAGCTCCAGGGTATGGCCAGGGAGAGCTGACTTGTTGCCAACGCTCCCGCGCAAATGGGTGGCCTCTTCTCATTCCATTTTCTAGGATGCAGGGTGCCTGCCGTGCACGGTCCAGAAAGAGGGCACAGTGGTGGGATGGGAGTTTAATCTGGTTTTTATGTGCATTGCAAGTCCAGGGTGTTTAGAGATAGCAGTTCACTTGCTGGCTTCTGTAATCCCCCTTCCCCCCCCCTTTTGAGTACCTCCTCTTCACCCACCCTCTACTCTTTGATAAGATAAGGTAACCTTTATTGTCATTTTTTTTTACTGTGGGCACAACGGCACACATCAAAAATGAAATTTAGTTGCCCGCTCTCAAAGTGAAACATATACATGACACACACCTAAACATACTATGAACAACATATGTATAGACCCACATCCCTACATATACGTAGCAAATAAATATTAAACACTGTCCATCTTGAATATATAACGGAAGGAGGAAGCTTGAGAGTTCGCAAGGTTAATGCTGTATGGAATGAAACTATGGCTGAATCTGGATGTTCTGCTTCGGATACCACGGAGCCCCCTCCTCCCAGAATGGAACAAGGAAAATAGGTCATGGAGAGGGTGTGTAGCATCCCAGATAGTCTTACGGACCCTGCTCAAGCAACACTTCTGTGCTATGTCCTGGGTGGGAGGGAGGGAACTGCCAATGATCTTTTTGGCCATCCATCCATTTGTATTCCAAATGATTGTGCTGCTTCTTCGTTCTTGATTTATATTTTTTTGATGTCTTGCACATGTCTATGGAGTCTTAGTGGCTGCATGAATATTGTCCTGAGAAATATGTATGTCCACTCCAAAGTGACTTTACCTTTAATTTGTGGCCAAATTCTGCCAGGAACTTCTCTGGAACTTGGGCCTAATTTAGGCACAATAACATCCCATTGCTTCTGTTGAAGTCTAAATTCACGGTTTGATCCTGCACGAGTGCAAAGGATAAACCACAACTGTCTGTTTATCTTCCCAGATCATTGACTTTTGCGTGGTGACGTTATCTCTGGACAATGCACGACTGATCCATAAACATAGAAAGAACGTAGAAACAGAAAACTGATGGCAGAAAAAAAGTTAGTGGTGCATCAAATCTACCCTTTGAGTTTATCCCAAGCCTGCTTAAACTCAGTTATTGATGACTGACCCTCTGCCTCTGCTGGAAATGGGTTCCTCTTACCTGCCCATTTCCTGCTTTGATAAACCACATAACTCAGATTTGTGGAATGTCTGAACTGAGCTTTTGTGGAGGGGAGGTTTGCCCCTGGCACAAGCAGATTGCACCCTTCTGATCCAGAAAATACTGGTATTAATATTTCCATTAGTTGCCCTTAATAACTGTGAAAGAATACCCTGCGGAGGAAAATCCTATACGTGCTGGTAGGAGTATAATTTAGGAAGATTAAATAAAAGGTTTGGCAAGTGGAAATCCTCTCTGACAGAGACTGTATTGTCTGTTGAGGCTTGCCTGCCCTTAATCATAGCTCAATTTCTTAAGCTCTTGAAGAACCACAGAAATAATTCACTCAGGAGAGAAACTGTGCTGTTGGAAAAGGCCCCCTCCCTGATTAATTTTATTTCTGTGGTTCTTTAAACCAGGGTCCCCAACCCCGGTCCGTGGACCAGTACCGGGCCGCAGCATGCCAGCAACCAGTCCGCACAAACAAGCAAAGCCCCATCTGCGAGATGCAGGCAGCACACAAAACCACACACCCTACAGTCCACGGAAAAATCTCTCTCCGTGGAACCGGTCCCTGGTGCCCAAAAGGTTGGGGTCCTCTGCTTTAAACCAACGTATGGACTTCAACTCCCAGAATTCCCCAGCCAGCATTCACAGGCTTTAACTCCCAGAATTCCCTAGCCAACGTTTGTGGGAGTTGAAGTCCACACAGCTTAAAGTTACCAAGCTTGAGAAACACTGCTTCAAGCTGAACATGGCTTGTTTGGATCTCAAGAACCTCTCAGACATAGGACTATTCAAAGGCATTTAATTTTCCACGAGTTTGGCATTGTTATTATTTCTTTACTTTGTGCCTAATCCTCTCTCCTCCTGTTGCTCCCACCTCAGCAGCCTGAGAGATGGGTTGGGTGACCCGAAGTCATTCAACTGGCTTTCGTGATTGAGGGAGGACTGGAACTCAGGGTCTCCTGGTTTCCAGTCCAGTAGCTTAATTACTAGACCAAACCAGCTTTGTCCTCTAGATGTATATTGGTTTCCCCCCCACACACATCTGACGGGTGAAGAATGCTTGTAAACCTGATGTGTGAAACGACAGCATTCCGTGCCCAGAAAAACATGGACGTACGTTTCTCCAACACAGACCAGAAGGGACCCTCAAACTGGTTGTCAGGGCGCCTGGCTTGGCTAGATGAATTCAGCAGTGACCTCATTAGCCTCCATACCAAACGTGGTTAGCTGCTTGTGGAAAGCCTGCTGAGATACCCCAGGGGATTGCAGAGTTTAGCCATTGTGCACACATCTTGTTCTGACACCGTAGTTGGGAGGGCTTTCCACGGCATTGGAATACAGAACCTGCAAACAAGATACTTGTACCAGCTTTATCGGTGAGAGAAATGTAACACTGCAGAGGAGTTCTTAAAAAAAATCCATAATTCAAACCTCATAATGTATGCTATCCATTTACCTGAAGCCAAAGTCAAGTCATTACACGTCTGCCGTAATAAAAGCTTAGCTCATCTACCTTTCAGGTTTAAGAATTAATAAAAGGATATAACAAATGCCTCAAGGCTCTGCTCTGCCAGAGTTAGGATTAGATGAGTATAATTAAACAAATAAGGTATGTTGTGCCTCTTAATCTCTAGATCGGTATTTCTCAACCATGGCTGCTTGAAAGATGTGTGGACTTCAAGTCCCAGAATCCCCCAGCCAGCTATGAAGTCCACACATCTTCAAGTTGCTGCCCTAGTCATTTTCTCCCCCTTTCTCCTGTAATCACCATTTGTGTTTGCTTTTGAACCACAAACCTGGCTTGTTCTGTCTTTGTTCAGGCTCTTCTACAAAGATACGGTGTCGGGTGTTTTTTTAGACAGCCCACAGAAGTGGCTTGTCTGTCTTCTTCCAGAATATTCATAGTCCTAAAATGTCTTCATATCTTCCATCCAAGATGCCATAGAGAGGAACAGGCAGAGCTGGGGGCGGCGTTAAGCACATCATCAGCTTAACATCATTACATTGCCACAAAAGGTCCCAGTCTCCCTGCTCTTGAATTCCGTTGACCATTATCTGGCTCCAGTTTAGTACTGAACTTTAATCAACTGGATTCTTTGAGCAATAGACCCTTTTTGAGCTGCAATCTAACATAGGGTCCTGATCCTTTGCACCTGACATCAGTCAATTAAAGTTCAATACTAAATTGGCACCAGATAAGGGTCAGTGGAATTCCAAGAGGGACTGGACTACACCTGTTTGTGGGAATGTAATGACTCTCAACAAAAATGAGGACAAGCTTAACGGCGATCCCCAGCTCTACCTGTTCTCCTACAGATGCTGAGCCCAGAACGTTTTGAGATCAGCCCAAGTCAGAGGTCTTCAAACTTGGCCCTTTTATGACTTGTGGACTTCAACTCCCAGAATTCCTCAGCCAGGCACGTGTGCCTGGCTGAGGAATTCTGGGAGTTGAAGTCCACAAGTCATAAAAGGGCCAAGTTTGAAGACCCCTGCAGTAGGTGGTTCTAGCTGAGACTGGTGAGTCTGAGATGAACCTTGTGCCATCTTCAGCTCAACCCCTAATTCTGTTCTGTACCAGCCCATGTTTCTATCAGGGCACCCATTCAGACGTGCTTGGCAGTCGCTGCATTCTGCCGTACAAAGGAAGTGTGGTACGCATCCCCGGGATGAACCATGGATGGAATATTTGGATATTCTGGCCTGAATCTCTGGAGCTCTTCTGCCCCTTCTACCATCTGTGGTGCTTCGGCAACTTTAGGACCGGGTGGGGAACGCTGGAAATGGAAGTCCAGCCATCTTCAAGTTGGCAAGGTGGAGAAATGCTGCTTTACAGAAGCGCTGCTAATGTGGGGTGGGTGGATTTCAGAGGGGGAAAAACAAAAGTTTAGTTTCACTACTAGCCTCTAATTGAAAATGTAACTTTCCCTTTGATCCTGGACAGTCAGCAAAGTAAAAAGTCTACACATCTCCCTATTATTATTCCCTTAAAAAGAGTATTGTCTTATTATTGATTTGGTGCGTACACAAAGAAGCACTTACGTTACTATATTACATTCTTTCTATGTTTTGTTAACTGTACTTGAGCATAATCTGAAACACGATCAAGTAGTTTATTTAAATGGGTTTTTCTGAGAACGTTTTGAGAGGCTTACTTAGCACAAAAAAAGATTAAAAGGCCTTGCTTTAGACATAAACATTTCTGTTTTCCCACTCCCCATAATAGTGCCCGGATGGAACCAAAAAAGGACACCTTTGAATGTCAGCTGTGTGGATTAACAGCCCCCTACAGCTACTATGGGCATAAGCCTCCCAACGCCTACTCAGTCACGTAAGTAGATAGCTCTGCCCAACTTTTCTCACTACTCCGGGCCCGTTTTGTGGAGCTGATTGCCAGGCACCCTTTCCACAGGAAGGGTCAAATACGTTAGTCAACATTGTGCTGTTGCGGTGCAAGCCCCTCTCCCTTTTTGTATGTTCATTGCTGCATTGCACACTTGTCCGAAAAGGATGGAGCTGGTGGGGTGGCAATGAAGCAAAGGGGGTGTGTGTGTCAAAAAAAAAAGGGCACAATGGCCCTGGGGCTTCAATCGCACAATCAGGGCTGCCATCTTGACTTTTTTGACCCCCTTTCCTACAGAGGTCTTGCTGCCACTGATACAAAGGTTCACTTGCGCCGATTCTTAGACCTTCTTCTCTTGTTTACAAATTTGGGGGCCAGCTTGAAGTGGGGTGACGTGGCCTTACGGCGTGGCAGGGAGGGGTTGTGGTCACCCCAGGTTCAAAGCATGACTTGGGAATGTCTTTGAAAGTTTCTGCAAAGAACGCCTCTTTATAGACCAGTTTGAAGAGGTGTGGACTTCAACTCCCAGAATTCCTGGCTGGGGAATTCTGGGAGTTGGAATCCACACCTCTACAAGTTGCCAAGGTTGACAAACACTGCTGTGTACACCAGAAAACCAAGGACTTTTTGTGTTCAGAGAACAAAGGCATTGCCAGAGAAGGAGGAGATGGTCTTCTTATTAAGATAGGAAGCTGCTGATCTCAGAGCTGAGAGAGGCAGCTGGCCGAAGCCTCTGTGTGGTTCAGTTGCAATTGTTGTTGTTGTTCTTTTGCAGCCTGCTGGAAGACTGCTATGTGATGAATGACCTGTTCACCCCAGACAAGGACACATTCCTTATCCTTGGAGCGCGGTGTAGTCTGTGTCACAAACGGGTGTGTGCTGGCCCAGTAAGTATCATGTGATCCGGCTGCACTTCTGTCGCCTTCCTCGGTGACCTACCAGCGGCGGGACCGAGACGGACAGCCGGCTTCTCTGAATTCCCGAAGCGTCACTCCGTAGTAGCAACTCAGGGCCTCGGTTATTTTTAAACGAGCAGACAATTGTCATCAGGGTCAAAATAACTTTTGGCTGCCCTGGTTCCTTGCTGGGAGTCCTTGATTTACAGCCATTCACTCAGTGGCTGTTTGAAGTTACCCTGGGACTGGAAAAAGGGACCTAGGACTAGTCCTCACCCTTATGGCAGTTGCACACGGTCACAGGATCTACGTTTGGGCCCTGGGCCACCATCAACTGGAGATCTTTAAGAAAAGACTAGACATTCACCTGTCTGAGACTGTGTAGGTTCTCCTGCTTGAGTAGGGGCTGGACTAGAAGATCTTCAAGATCCATTCCAGATTCGATTCTACTCTACTCTGTTCTATTCTATTCTATTCTATTCTATTCTATTCTATTCTATTCATAATAATAAAATTGGAAGGGACCTTGGAGGTCATCTAGTCCAATTCCCTGCTCAGGCAGGAGACCCTATACCATTTCAGACAAAGTCAGTGGGCAAAGCTGATTTGCTTAACGGCCACATGGTTCGCTTAACAATTGCAATGATTCACTTAGCGACTGTGGCAAAACGGTCATAAAATTGTGTGATGTGGGGATACCACCGTGCTTAGCGACGGAAATTCAGTTGTTATAAGTTGAGGACTGCCTATAATTGTTCTTGGGCTATTGGAAAAGGCTGCAAAGCTGTATATTAACTAGGCGGTCCTCTACTTACAAAACTCACTTAACAAATGTCTCACGTAACAACATAAATGTTGGGCTCCCTTGTGGTCGTTGAGAACTCACGGATTGCCTGTATAGAAAAGCTGGAAAAAGAGATCCAGAAAAAATTGCTCTGCTACCCCCTAGTGGCCGTGTGGGTTGTTGCAGCTTATTTCGGACCAGTGGAATTGGTGCTGCCCCCTAGAATTATTTGATGTCCCCAGATTGGCCAACCCCCCCCTCTCCCCCCCCGATTTTTGGCAGTGTAGACATTGAGGCTTTTTTTAATAGTGGTCCCTGGTTGCAAGTTTAGGGCGAATAGGCCGTGTGGGCCACCGTGTGAGTAATAATAATAATAATAATAATAATAATAATAATAATAATAATAATCATAGTAAAGTTGGAAGGGACCTTGGAGGTCATCTAGTCCAACCCCCTGCTCAGGCAGGAAACCCTACACGATTTCAGACAAAGGGCTGTCCAGTCTCTTAAAAACTTCCAGTGTTGGAGCATTCACCGCTTCTGGAGGCAGGCTGTTCCACTGGTTAATTGTCCTCACTCTTAGGAAATTCCTCCTTAGTTCTAGGTTGCTTCTCTCCTTGATGAGTTTCCACCCGTTGCTTCCACCACTTCCCAGGGAAAAGCCTGTATTCATTCCATACCTTCAATTGCAGAGACCTCTGTACTTAAACCGGTCTTTTTCAAACGTGGCAATTGTAAGAAATTCGTGGAGTTGACATCCATACATCTTAAAGTTACCCAATTAGAAAAACCTTGGTTGAAATGAATAAACTCCTGATGAAGTGCTAGTGAAGAATTGAGGAACAGCCAAGCTTATTATAGAAGTGAATATTAACACTGTGAATATACAGAATGAAATGTCTGGCTCTGGAGCGTAACGAAATGATTACACCCATCCACACACACACACACACAACACACCCTCCGTCCCAGCCACTCACGGTGCAAGGTTTGCCTCGACTCTTTCGGCTGGCCGGGTGCAGGAGACGAGTTCCTGTGCCCCTCAGTCCCCCCCTCCCCAAATCCAATTTTGGCCCGGTATCCAGTTTTGTGGATACCAGGGCCACTTTCTTCATAAGACACTAAAACAGGGGTAGTCAACCTTGGCTCTTTTATGACTCGTGGACTTCAACTCCCAGAATTCCTGAGCCAGCTGTGCTGGCTCAGGAATTCTGGGAGTTGAAGTCCACGAGTCATAAAAGAGCCAAGGTTGACTACCCCTGCACTAAAAGGAAGACTCTGGGAGAGAGGAAAAAAAAACCCAGAGTAGGTGGAATTAAATACTTTATCGCTTCATTTTGTTCCATTCTGATGGAACAGGGTGGACTCTCCATGCTGCAGGTGTGCAGGCCTTGGAGAACATGGGTGGGCAGATGGATGTGTGGGTAGGTAGGTAGGTAGGTAGGTAGATAGGTGGATAGATATGGAGTTTAAAGTACTTTTTGCTCGTCCTGAGTTCCGGAAAGCGGCAGATTGCGAAGGCATGAGGAATTCTTTGATCTTCTACTCTGTTAAGAACGAAGGACGAGGGAGAATTTTTATTCCCACCAGGGCCCAGCAGAGCAGGAACCGAGCAGGCCTCTTCTTGCTGGGCACGGGGGACAGCTTCACTGGTGTCCCAAAACAGACTTCTGATCATAGTTTCTGTGCCAACCACTCAAGGAAAGGTCCGGATCCTCCGAGGATGGGCCTCTTCATGCCGAGTCCTGCTTTTGTGTCTCTTGCCGAGAAGACCTGCCAGGAGTTGCTCGAGTAGGGCGAACAGATTGCATCAGATGTGATCGGAAACAGGCAGAAACTCTGGCCTGCTGCGAGGCCTGTAAGAAAGGAATGATTTTCCCAAGTTGTGCAAACATTTTCCATCCCGGCTTCCATTCACCCACATATTCTGGGCCAGGATGTGGTCAGAAGCATGATTGATGAGCCATTTCTTTCCTCATCTCCCTTTCTGAAAATGAGGAAACTGAATTTATTCAGGGAAATGTCATGACAACTAGCCGTGGCTTGCATCTGGGACAGAAGCTATGTTCTCTGGGCCTCTAGGGCAACAGAATAATAATAACAATAAGGCTAGTTAGAGAGATTTGTCCAGGCAGTCCTTGACTTACGCCCACAATGGAGCCTGCCCAGTATGGTCGTTAAGTCACGGTGGTTGTAAAGCGGGTCATCATACGACCAACCCGATTTTACAACCTTTTTTGCAGCAGTCGCTAAGTGAATCACTGCAGTTGTTAAGTTAGAAAGGTGGTTAAGTGAATCTGGCTTTGCTGGGTTAGAAGGCCGCAAAAGGTGATGACGTGACCCCAGTGGGAAAAACGGTCATAAGTCACTTTTTTCAGTGCTGCTCTAACTTCGAACGGCCCCTGAATGACTGGCTGTAAGTTGAGGATAAGCTATATAGGGTCTCCTGCTTGAGTATGGGGTTGGACTAGAAGACCTCCAAGGACCCTTCCAGCTCTGTATATTGTAATTATTCCTGATAGAGCAGGGATAGCTTTGCAGCTCCCTCTTGGAGCATCCGTCCGGATTTTTGCAAGCCAGACCCTGGGCTAAAAGGGAGGATGGGTGATGGACGGAGGGCCCTTCGTGGGCAGTTTTCTGTTGATCTCCCAAAGAGAGACGGGGACCAATTCCTGGCTGCTCTGAAGGATTCAGATTAAGCCACCTGAAGATGATTCCAGAAAAGCTTGAAGTCGCTCTGGAGGACTGGAGTCTTCTCCACACTTTAGGCCAGCTGTTTTCCAAATTTGACAGCCTTAAGGTGGGAGGGCGTCAACTCCCAGAATTCCCCATCCAGCTGTTAGGCCATTTCCGCCATTCCCAACTGGGTTGGATCCCAATTGCATTGGATGAAGAGGAAGACCGCAGTTGAATGGTTCAGCCGAGTCTGGTTCCTCCAGAAGGAGAGAGCGGTTGTTAGAAAATGTGGGCCCAACCGACAATTCTAGATGTGGTTATAACTTGCCCAAAGTTGTACCACTCACAGTCCTCCACGAAGCCTCCTCAAAGCAAGGAGGGCCAAGGCCACAGAAGCCTCCATTGGAAGGAAGGCTGGCTACCCGATTCGTGGGTTGACTTCCCTCTTTCTGTTTCTTTTCAGGACTGCAGCCTTTTCTATTCCAAAAGGTTTTGCCTCCCCTGCGTGAGCGCACACATAACTGAATTTCCTTTGGAAATAGAAGAAGATTTGAAAAAAAAAGCCCACTCGAAATTTTCCAAAAAAGGAGATTCCAAGAATCCCGGGAAAAGCTAGGCTGATTTTACTGCAGAATGTACTTTTGGTAATTAGAATGAGAATGGTGTCTCTAGCAGGAGATGGTATTATTTTGAATTTGTTGCAAAATTTAAGCCGCTGTCTTGTAAGCCATCTGGCAGACAACCATTGCTACCCTGGAGAGCTGGCTTTGAACACAAACAGGTCTGAAATAAACAAGCCGAACCTGATATCCCTCTTTAGAAGGACTGAGACGTGGAGATAAAGAGTTCCACTTTTGATTTATATTTCTCTTTTAAGTATACACCAGGGTCCACAGCTCTACTACCTTCTGTGGGGGTCAGTTTCCAACTTCCATTCTGCATTTGCGTCTGGATTTGATCCATATCGGCAGGATATGGCCAAAGAAAAAATAAAGATGGTGGCCACAGCAGTGCAATTAAAGCTCAGTACCGATAGATAGATAGATCATCTTCTGATGCTTCCTTGTTACCTTATTATCAAGCTCACTCTGGGGCGTCTGAAATAAGAAAAGTAAACTCATTCTTCAGTTGCCCTTGATGCCTGCAGCCACGAGTCACATCCCTGCGGTTTTCTTTGGGGATGTTTTTTTTCAGCTTCCTCGTCTCGCTTTCAGCCAGGGAATCTTCTGCTGTAGTGAGTAGACAGATCCAGGCCCTAACCAAACCTGCCTGTGCTGAGTTTTGTAGGGGGGCCCTTTCACCGGTCTTTGTGGCTCTACTGCCTCCAGCCTGGCTCCCAGGATTTAGGGCAGGATGTTTGAAAATTTCATTACGTTGGTTGGTAACACGATCTCTGATTAACCGTCTTCTTTGGAGGCAACGCAGTGGGAGACCCACAAGCACCACCCAAGGTTGGGAACTGAAGGGGGGCACTGCAAACCAAAGAAACTAACCCCAGACCACCCACCCTTAGCATCAAAGACGAGAGTTACACTGCAGAGAAGTTGAGAACTGTTCTTCTTCAGCTGACCTGAGGCTTCTGGACAACGCAGGGTTCCTGCAGCATCTTTCTGATCTGCACAGCGTGGCCAGGCGGTCCATCGGCTTAAAATAGGAAGGCAATAAATGGAATTTGCTTCCAAATCGCCGCTAGCAGATGTTTAATGCGCAGGGAGATGCAAAGGGCAAATACTTCTCCCTGGTGTTACTTGTTCAGTTGGGCTGGTGGTGAAAACTTGGGCCTGGCCACGTGGAAATGATAGATCTACAGTGGAATTAATGGGGTGTCCACTCAGTCTTCCCAAATTTTTGCAAGCTTTGGCCAGGACTATTTCCCAATGACCCTTCACTGAAATCAGCACTGAGGGCTTCCCTTTTCGTCTGGCTACATAGCAGCATGTTAGTTGGTCTTGGCTGATCTTTTTAAAACTAAGCAGGAACTGACAATGTCCCAAGATAATCACGAAACAATTTCCATATTCAGGGCCAAGAACAGACACGTCTTTTGCCTTTCTGAGTTTTGAGCATGTGGTCACAGCTGCCACCTTGAGGACAACCAACCAGTGGAAGAGCCGGCCTTCAGAGGTTGTGGGTGCTTCACCAGTGGAGGTTTTTAGGAAGAGACTGAAATGGTCTAGGGCAGGGGGAGTCAACCTTGGCTCTTTTATGACTCGTGGACTTCAACTCCCAGAATTCCTGAGCCAGCCATGAATTCTGGGAGTTGAAGTCCACGAGTCATAAAAGAGCCATGGTTGCCTACCCCTGGTCTAGGGCAGGGGTGTCAAACTGCCGGTCTGCAGGCTGGTTTCATCATACTGAAGCCGCGCCCGCCCCATTGCCGGTAATGCAAAGAGTTACGATACATCGCGACACGTCACATGACGAGTTTTACACCCGTGGTCTAGGGTCTCCTGCTTGAGCAGGGGGTTGGACTAGAAGACCTCCAAGGTCCCTTTCGGCTCTATTCTGATTGACACCCCCTAAGCCACAAACATCCTTGCTCCCACCTTCTTTTAGCAATTAATAAATTAATTCACCCTGCCACACAGGTGAAAGTACAACTAGAATGCAGAGAAGTTTTTGTTTGTTTGTTTGTTTAACCATGAACACCTTGCTGTAAGTCATATTTTAGTGCCAGACTGTGGTCCATGGGCAGACAATGACATGTTTTACCAACTCTTGTCTCCAGTTAAGGATTTCCCCTGGGTCATGAGACAGGGTCATGAGTCCCGTAAGGGAGATAGGGCGGTATATAAATTCAATAAATAATAAATAATAATAATATCCTCTTCATTAAAACTCAGGCCATTTTTTTTAAAGAAATACTTTATTTGAGACCATTAAGGCAAGGGGGAGAAAAAAATCACACAGTGAAATTGCTCTTTACATACATTCATCAGTCTTACAGAAAAATTTAAAGTACTGTACACACAGATGTTGACCAAGATTCCCAGCAGACTCATTAAATACCTATTTTATTAGACAAGCTTCTATTCTTTGAATAGGGAAATTAGAAGGTCCAATTCAAGGTTTGAGAAACACTAAATGGTTTTATATTCTAAAATGCATGAGGAAGTCCAATGTTGCTTTTCTATAAATCCCAGTTTTTGCTAGAATAATTCACCATATTCTCCTGAATATGAGACATGGGTACCGTTAGTTGATCTGAGTTTCTGCCCGGTTAAGCAGACGACAAAGCCCAGCTCCTCTTTGCATATATATCCCCTCCCAGCACCGCTTCCGACCCGCCCGTCTCCAAGGTGCGTCTCCCCCCAACATTAAGTGAGGATCCAGAGGTCTGGATCAGAATGATTTAAAACTCTAAGCCAGTGTTTCTCAACCTTGACAATTTTAAGGCATGTGGACTTCAACTCCCAGAATTCCACAGCCAGCAAAGCTGGCTGTGGAATTCTGGGAGTTGAAGTCCACATGCCTTAAAATTGTCAAGGTTGAGAAACACTGCTCTAAGCACTCTAAAATTTTGCAGTGACAGGCTTCTCATTATGGATAGAACACCTAATGCATTTTAAAATCAAATCTGACATCTAAAAAAAAGCATGTGAAATGTTTTTTTATCCGTATCAAGAGTCTTCCTTATTAAGGACAATATTAATAAACGTGTGCTACGCACAAATTTTGAACCTGCAAATCACCCTCACAGGAAAGCTAGGAAAAGTTTTTCAAAATCAAGCTTTTTTTCCCTTTCTTGGCTTATTGCTCAGCTTTTACGGTGCACTGTTTACTGCAGCTGAAAATAATTCCTTACAGTTCTCCCGAGTCTCTCTCCCTAGAGCAGGGGTGTCAAACTGTCGGCCCGCTGGCCGGATGCATCATAGCGAAACCACGGCCACCCCATTGCCGGCAATGGCAAAAAAAAGTCGCAATACGTCCACGACACGTCACGTGACGTTGCGAGTTTGACACCCCTGGCCTAGAGCCTTAAAACACTTCTCTTTGGATTGGAGGGACTTCAACTCCCAGTAGGCACAGCCAAGAAGCCTTTGCACACAAGCTCCAGGCCAAAGCCGTCACAACACTGCATAATATATTATCTCACAAATGTTGCATCACCGCAACTGATGTAAATTTGCAGCATTTGTGCAATGGCGTCATGAACTCCTTGACCTCGCCTGACTGGCCCTGGAGACCCATGTGCCTGGGCAAGCTGAAGTCCAACCCAACGGGATAACCTCAATCCTCATTTTAAATTCCCACAAACTCCACGGAATAGAAAAAGGTTAACTGATGTTCTGTAGCTGCTAATAAGGTCGGTTAAAGCTGGTTCAATGATTGTTAGTTATTTAAGTGCTCTTGAGGCCAAACGTCCACTTTCATAAAACCTCCTTTTCCTCCTCATAATTATTGAGGGAGATCTCCTTCCTACGTTTAGCCCTGTGTAGTTGGGAAGAGATGACAAATGACGATTCATTCTTTTCAATAAGCCATCTTTCGAAGTGTTCTTCAAACTTCTTGAAACAAAGGAGGCACCTGGAAGCAGCACCTGACCTGGCTTTTGGTGCCGTACACAACTTTTTCTTTCTTGCCAACGAAATGGGAAGCGAAATCCACTTCCACAAATGCTTCCGGTTCCTTCTTGGGATTTTGATTTGGCTCATCTGGACGGCAATCAGCTTAGAGCAGGGGTAGGCAACCTTGGCCCTTTTATGACTCGTGGACTTCAACTCCCAGAATTCCTGAGCCAGCATGGCTGGCTCAGGAATTCTGGAAGTCTACGAGTCATAAAAGAGCCAAGGTTGCCTACCCCTGGCTTAGAGGGAGCCACTATCTAAAGGGAGCTGCCTCCCCTAGATAGTTCTCCATCATACCTGTGGAACTGAAGTCCACGGGTCTTAAAGTGGCCAGGTTGGACCCACCCCCCACCCCCCTTCTTTATACTATTCAGGACTGTGGCTGCTCCGATTCCCTTGAATATATCGCCAATAGCTGGGCCTATTCTACAAGCAACGTTGAGGGACACACGAAGCTTTAGTGGCGTTTACAAGAACTTTTAAGTGGACTTGGCAACTGTCCTCAACACGTTTTCCAGGATGATGGGCAAGAGGTGACTTTGTGCATATTAAGAGACCGTGAACTTGCATTGTTTCTCTTTCCCCCCTTGCTGAACAATAACAATAGGGGAATTTACAAGAAAGTGCTCAAAAAGTGCCATGGCACAAAACTACTGAGGTGGGTACCAGCCCTTTATAAGGAGAGGGAGAAAAGAGACACCAAACGAAGTACCCACCAAAACCCCTTTCCCAGTCTATCCCATTAAATACACCACAATGGAAGCTTTGCGACGTTTGTTAACAATGATATTTGGGACGTGGCTCGGTAATTTCCTATCACATTTTCAGCTTCACTTCAAACCCCCCCCCCCAATCCCTCAAGAATTGACCTGGAAATTGAATTCAAAGGCCAATGTTTGTCAAATACAGTCAACAAGCATTTTCATAACATCGTGGACAATCCAATTCACCGTAAGAATACTTTACAATTTAATAATAGAAGCTGAAGATTAAAAATATATTGTTAAACCCTTGGGATAAATTTACAATTCGTCCCTAAAAACTGAGTTACAATCTTACAAGTAGAGCTTTCATACAATTTAAATATGGAGAAGAAATCTAATTTTTGATCTCCTTTCAGTGTTTTGCTCTACAACTCAGGAACTCCAAACCATTCAGAAACAAGGCACTGGAAAGCAGATAATTACAGTACAATACAGCTGACTAATTGCTCATCTGTTTTGTTTTATTGCTACCTGAAACCAGGAAAAAAGTGCAGAAAAATTAAGTTAAAGGGGTAGTCAGTATTAGAGTTCAAGTCTGCTTAAAATGGGCATGAAAAACATGCACGCCTGCATTGCAAAATACCCATCTTTAAAGATGGAGGTGCTTAATTTATTACTTATCAATGTATTTCACTAGAATGCTTCCGAATAAAACCTGAACTACAAATATTTAAACCACCTTTGCTAACAGCTGCTTGTATGAGGAAGGGGCGTCTGCAGGCTTGGTCCAAAAAATCAGGATGTTGGCTGTGACCGTGCAATCAAAAGCTGGATCTGTTTCTTGTGTGTGTATGGCGCATCTGGTAAAAAACAGATGGAGCTTTGATTCCACCATCTTGGGCAGACTCTGCAGACGCTCCAGACACGAGGTCTGTCTTTATAATTTGCAAATTAGAGGAACCCACCATAAACGTTACTGCTTTGTGTCTTGCTATGGATATCAGAGGGAGCACAACGGGGAGGGCAGGCAGACAAGGCAAAGTGCCCCTGTTAATTGGCGTAATTCATCAAGAAGGGTGCTATAAATCTCTCCCACTAATTTCAATATACTGAAAACTCATATATTCCCCCTGCCTCATTGGATTTGAAGAGCAGTACAGAGAATTTTACATTGCTGCCTAGGGATTTCTAAAAGCTTTAATTACAAATACAGTGCAAATTCAGTGCATGTTGTCCCTACGTTGAAATTGGTTGCTTGTGAAAGTCATCTGAAAGTCAACGGATTCCTATGAGGCCCCAAGATTAAATCCTCAATGTAAGGAGGGGAGGGGGAATCAAATGCATAGTAACTGTAAACATTTACCTTATACTATTCTTAGCAGAGGGAGGACACTGAGTATTACGCTATTATGCTTTCCACCAGCTCACAATGAGTTTCCCACTCATCCACTAACGCTCGACTCCTCAGAGTTTGCATTGCACGATTAACCTCCTACTGTATTTAAAAATCTGTGACATTAACATTTGGTAAGGTTGTTCGTGGCACTTTTTGCACAAGATGGAGGAAAGCCTCTAGTGTGTTTAATCAAGCAGTCACACGACAGCCCAACCACCCCCACCAGAGGCAGAAAATTGGGAGGGTTGTGTGGTTCCAAATGTGTGTAAAATTTCTTCCCTAAGGTCCGTAAAAACATTAAAGCCGTGAAAACAAGAGTTGGGTTAATTTTAGGCCCCGGCTGCAGATCCCCTTTAACAAAAGAAGTTCATTAAGACAAGCCTTTTCAATAAATGTTTTGGCCATGCAGCAAATTGACCTGATTCCAATGGAATTTACTTAAAATGCTCTGTGTGTGTGTGTGTGTGTGTGTCTGTGTCTGGGGGGGGGGGCTAAGGGGCATAAAGAAATAAATTGGTACTGTGCTGTGTAAGAGCTTTGATGCAAAACATCTTGCTGCGGTGGGAGGCTGGTTAAACTTTATCTGCAAACACCTATAAATTATTTCAATTCCCCCCCCTCTCTCTCTCCCCCCTACTGCCAATGTGGAGGGGGGGGAGGAGGAGGCCCCCAGCCGAAAGGACACCAACCCGGATGCCTTGTTGATGTGGCTGCCCTTTGCACAACTCCCGCTACGGGCAAGGAAGGATGAGCAAATAAAGGTTATGCCACACAGAGAACACCAATACAGCAGGCGGTCAAGCAAGCAGCAACTATATAATGCCAATGCAAGTTTCCACTTTTCTGGGGGGAAAAAAATTATACAGTCTAGGTTTAAAAAGCAAAATAGCAAGACATTAACTTTTTCTCCAAACACCATTCGCTGGGTGAAAGTATGAAAATGGTTTCTGGTTGACAGGCGTGGGCCTTCCTGAGCCGGTCAGTATGATGCATTAGTATTTCTTGAACAATTTGATTTATAACTCTTTTTTTTTTTAATTTTATTAGTTGAGGTAGTTTATTTTTATTTTTGGGAAGCAAGCCTTCCCAGCGTTAATTTCTATTTTATTGCCCCAATCCTGAGTAATCTGAGTAATAGTGCAAACAGTTTTTTATACCATATTTTTAGATCATATTTCTATTAAAATATATTGGCATAAGCTGCTGTTCTTCTGAATTCTTTCTCCCACTTTAATTCTTATGAGTCAGTTTCAGGTGGGGAAATGGGAATAGAATGGGCTCAGAATCAGCACTTTATGACACTTTAAAATATTATAGATTATAAACAAAGCTGCTGCAGAGAAGGACCTGGTCAGTCGGAAGCCAGGGTCAGTAAATGCCACTTTTAAGTAAAGTGAGGAATAAACTGATTAAAATAAAATCACTTCCTGCAAGAAAACTGCCTTCTAAATAACTCAAATCAGCATTTTTTTGCCTATGATTTCCACAGTTTGTCCAAGACATTTTGATTATAAAATAATTTCTAGTGAAATGTGTTTGGAGCTTTTCAAAAAGTAGGCCTATTTTCCATAGTATGGAACCCTCACCTATAAAACGATTAAGAATATACAGGTAATTATAATTCCAATTTGATATCAGAATACATCGGGTAGTTATCATTTTTTCAGTACCGTGTAGAAAAACTGATGAAAATATTATTGGAAGACCTTACAAGATGGAGCTTCCAGGGACATAAATGAACTGAGGCAAATTTGGGATTTTTCAAAATCAAGGCCTTTGGGGGATAATCTGAACAAACTGAAGCTGTCGTTGTATATACACAGCACTGAAAGACTGTGAGCCCCTCCTCAGAATCTGTGTTCAGATGGCCAAAGAAAGGTGGATGAAACAACCCTCAGAAATATAAAGAATTTCAAATATGATGATTTTAGAAGATGCCTGGTTACTAAATGCAATGCACTAGAATCAGGGGTAGGCAACCTTGGCTCTTTTATGACTTGTGGACTTCAACTCCCAGAATTCCTGAGCCAGCCATGCTGAGGGGAAAGGGAGAGGTTTCCAAGCTGAGCCAGGCTGGCTCAGGAATTCTGGGAATTGAAGTCCACGAGTCATAAAAGAGCCAAGGTTGCCTACCCTTGCACTAGATTATCTGAAGGATTTAAATGTCTAACACCTTCTCCTCTCTTAAAAATACACAGACATCATCAGTGGAAGATTGGGCTTAGACAAACCTGTAGACCAGGGGTGTCTAACCTTGGCAACTTTAAGACCTATGGACTTCAACTCCCAGAATTCCCCAACCAGCGTGGCCGGCTGAAGGATTCTGTGACTTGGAAGCCCACAAGTCTTAAAAGCTGCCAAGCTTGGACATTCCTGCTGTAGACTATTCAAGTTCCCACTTATGGGTTGAGCTAAGTTCCATCCCTTTTCAAAAAGACTTCTAGCCTCTTAGAAGCATTTTGGCTGCCACCAAACTAGGAAATATCCATAGTGTTAAGTAACTCCCAATTTCTGTTCCACAATTTCAGTGCAAATTAGATGCCGAGGGTATTCAACAGGGCTTCCATGAAATGTTGGGTAGTCTTCATCCTTAAATGCAGGATTACAATCCATTTCAATTCCAGGCTGATCTTCTTATTTCAGACATTCAAGACTGAAGCCAAGCTCTGAGCCCACCTTAGTTTGCATAACTAAGGGAATGTTAGTCCGGATTATCAGTCACGCGGCTTGATTCGTATCATAGTAAAAGAAGCACAAGAAGCTCATAGTCCACTGAGATTCCCAAAGTCCTTGAGATCCGGCATAACGATGGAATCCAACTTCTCTTCAAATTTGGCTGCTCTCCTTAGTCTCTGCCCTCTCTCCAACCCTCAGAGGTACATTTTGAGGGGCTGGCCGGCTGTAGGAGTGGGAGATCCTCACTCTCCTATCCCGTCATTCCTCCGATGTTTCACCTGGAGTCCTCAATACTACACAGCTAAACTTATAGAGGTTCCACATAATTCTAGGGAACTCAGATTGTAATCTTAGCCAGAAAAAGTAGTGTTGTTTTTTTCTAAGAAAAACACTCGGCTATAACAATAGCACTTAGACTTATATACCACTTCACAGTGCTTTACAGCCCTCTCTAAGCAGTTTACAGAGTCAGCCTCTTGCCCCCAACAAAGTGGGTCCTCATTTTGCCAACCTCGGAAGGATGGAAGGCTGAGTCAACCTTGAGCCGGTCAGGATCGAACTGCTGACTGTGAGCAGGAGTTTGCCTGCAATGCTGCATTCTCACCACTGCGCCACCACGGCTTTTCTACGGTCACCGATCTGGGTACCAAATGCAACCCATCCCAGGAACAAAGTCAGACGCCTCTAAAAGATGCATATATATCCCCTTCCCCTCTTGAATGGCTAGCCCTCTCACCTTCTCTGTTTTCGAAACATCCCTGAGTTTCAAGTATAATTCCTCCTGCAACCTGTGAGAGAGACGCAACCGTCCACCGCCTGCCCCAAGGCTCTTTGGATCCGGCCCCAAACAACTGACTTTCACATATTAAGGAAGTGGGAGGGGGGGAACAAACGCTTAAAAGTGCACGAACGTCAGAAGGCATTGTATTTGTGAGTTAAGTTGTGGCCCGACGCAATTCCCACCATGGCCCAAATTTCAAATCAATCACCACTTACTATCATCATCATCATCATCTCTCTCTCTCTCTGTTATGCAATTTCTTTCAATTACTGAACCCCTGCAAGAGAAATGGATATTCCAGTTACCCAAATTTTAGGACTGCCAAATGTTCCAGCTGAGGCACAACAGAGACCCCCCGCGTCCGAAGTATCTGGTCGAGTTGCTACTGCTTTGCCTACGGTACAAAACCGAAACCACCTCAGTACATATCCTTGTATATTTCTTGTAGCAAAGGATGTAAGTGTGCATCAGATTCGGTCTTTTTGATTATCTGAACTAGCTGAGCGTGTTCCGTGACAAGCTGCCGGAGATCTGCCATTTTCTGGAGCAGTTTGGGGAAGAGAAAAATGTCATCCGGATGGTTGTTCTCTAAGTGAAGTTTCAGTACGTGCACGATGCTTTCCTGCATCTTCTCAATGTGTCCTATGTTGACCAAGCCTGGCCGATCTGTTCTCAAAAAGAAGAACGTTATGTAATTGCGTTATCCCATCACGGCTAACAGGGGTTCAAAGCCTTTATCTGCACTTATTTTCTAGTAGAAAATGCTTTATTACTTAGGAGCTATATCAACAATGCCCAGACATTACATAGGCAGCCCTCATTTAGCCAATGCCTCGTTTAGTAACCACTCTTGCGGCAGTGATGAAAAATAACTTTACCCCCAGTCTTGCATTTACGACCGTCACAGGTCTGTAAAGCAAAGGAAAACTGAAATGAGACAATCAAGCACGGTCATCCTGATGAAGAGTATTTTTTTTGCTCAGGGTTGAACTCTAAGAGTTTTTGGTGCTCTCTGAGCTTGGACTACCTCTACCGGCGTGTCAGAATACAGCATCATTTTGCATCCTTTTGAAAGGAATGCAGAACTTTTTTGGCTGCGTTATCAGAGTTAATGTTGATCCTTGACTGACTACAAGGATAAAGTTACTATATTATGAACACTTTCATACGGAAATATCTGTTTATAAACATGAAACGGTCCTGCTGCTGCCAGAAAAATATTGGAATAATTCTGGCAAAGTATAGACAATAAATATTGAACTCGAAATACCTGTTGAGTCTGAAATGGGTTCCTTTTTCAGCAGAAAGCAGAAACCTTACGGGAAGCACGCTCCGTAAAATATATTGCTATCATTAAACAGCAGCTCAAGGCTTACCTCCACAACATATTATAGCAGCCACGAAAAGGGAGATGTCGCTGTCGTCTAATTCCAAGGCGTTGAATTTCATAGCAAAGTCAAACTTTGGCTCCATGATATCACAAAAAGGCTTCCTTAAACTTTTGAGGAACTCCCGCGTGATGAAGCCGTTCCCGTAAGCGACGAGCATCCCGTCTTTGTTCATCACGGAGGCCAACATGGCAAAGATGGCTTCGTACACCCCGTATTTTAAGAGGGTCACCTGGTCGTTCAAGTCGAGGCTGCAGAAGCCAGGAATTGATTTGGCAAATTCCGTGAGTTCCGTCACCGCCTCCACGGAGGTGCACTGGCAACAGTGGAAGATCCTCACCTCTGCCTCCTTGTTTTGGATCCCGTTCGCTACAAGTTTTGCCACCAGCGTCTTCTCGGCCATGCACAACGTGTCCATGTCGTGTATGACAAACGGCTGCGGTGAAAGGAAAGAGAGCGGGCGCCTGGGTTAAGTAACTGCCAGGAACAATAAGGTGCAACCTTTTTCTCTTTGGGAAACCAGAATTAAATTAAATTAAATGATTAAATTCAATAATAACAACAACAACCCAAAGGACTCCTCTTCTCTGTGACCGTCTGAGCTACTTCTGATAACACACCTGAAAAGCAGTCGTGGGAATCAACGGTTCTCTCTCTTTCCAGAGCACGGGACAGGGAACCATGGATTAAGTGACAGGAAGGCGGATTCTACGCAAATGGCAGGAAATGCTGACCGACCCCAAGGGCAGGTGGACAACGGATCCCTTCACTGGAGGTGCCGAAGTGGAGAGGAGGGAGCTATTTATGAGGGATGGTTTAATTGGGAACTTTACACTGACCAAGGCTTCAACAAAGGGCCCTTTCAAACTTAAGGATACCCTGTCCCTAAGGTTTCATTTACAGGTTGTCCTTGACTTACAAGAGTTTGTTTAGTGACTATTCAGAGTTACAATGGCACTGAAAAAAAGTGACTTATGGCCATTTTTCAACTTACGACCGTTGCAGCATCCCCATACTCATGGGATCAAGAGTCAGATGCTTGGCAACTGGTTCATATTTATGACGGTTGCCGTGTCCCAGGGTCACGTGATCCCCTTTTGCGACCTTCTGGCAAGCAAAGTCAATGGGGAAGCCGAGTTCACTTAACAACCGTGTTACCGACTTAACAACTGTAGTGATTCACCTAATCCTGTAAAATGGGGCAAAACTCACTTAACAAATGTCTCACTTAGCAACATAATTTTGGGGCTCAATTGTGGACGTAAGACAAGGACTACCTGTATTCATAAAATGGTTAATCCCAAAATCTGCAATAGATGTTTCCTTTTAGGTGAAGTCAACTCACAGAAGCATTTTTACCAAACTTTGCAGCAGCACTGTTTTTAAATGCTTGTTACATGTTCCCTGTTCTTCTTTTCAGCACATTCAATTTAAACGATGTATTAGGTAAATTAGTTCTTCCATAGGAAATAATTGGAGAAACGGATGGTTTGGAACTTAAGATCCACAGCCATGTGGCTGTCCCTAGTTAAACATTTCCTAAATATGTGTCTTACGTATTGATGATTCAGCAAGTGAGGCTTCAGCATGTTGAATTCCCTCCAAATTATACCCACAAGAGCCAAAATGTCACAATCTGCCACTTATTTTAAACACTTTTTGAATTTTATTCCCATATACTATCTGGGTTGCAAAAAGGGCTTTTGTGTGTGTGGGGTGTGGGTTATGATGTTCATTTGCTCAGTAAGCTGTTGTGATTGCTTACTGAAAATTGAGACATACATTATTAAAATATCTGGAAAATAACGCTGTCACTCAGCTACAGAAACTTTGATCTTTGTAACAAATTAAGCGATTTAGTATATTGACATATGGGTAAGTTATCAGGGCTCATCAAAACTTTTTTAACGCTAGCAGAAATGGCTAAGATTTCAGCCTATGTGAAGGATTACTCACAAGAAAGATATATTTTGGTTTGGAGAAGATGGATAGATTATATTGAGAATAAATATGGAACTAAAAAGTTTCATTTGGTTTTTGAGTAAATTTTAGATTGTTAATGTAGTTTATTTTTTTAATTAGTAATAATAATGTTTAATATGTTTGTTCAGAAGAGAGCTAAAGGATGTTATAGAATTGTTAACTTAAGGGTGATATAATCTAAGACAGAGTATAATTATTGTATTGTTAACCCTGTGTGTGGCTCTGGGAAGTCGGGGGGGAGGGAGGGGGGTGGGGGAGGGTGGGTTTTGGGGAGGAGGGGAGTTATAGTGTAAAACTTTTAAAAATTTTCAATTAAAAAAAAACAAAAACTTTTTTAACACAAGGACCCGTGTGCATCACAAAAGAAGCTACTGTCAGAGAGGAGAAAATTTCCATCACTGCTTTATAAATCTATTCTCTTATATGGGCATTCAGTGTGCCATTCGTGTAGTTTGCTTTTATGCAGTTCTGTGATGCAATTCTGATACTTACAGGATTGTTATTGGCTTTCCCCACAAGTATGAGCCTTGCTTTCAGCTTGGTCATATTAAAGTTTTTCAAATAGGCGTCATAAATTCTCTTGGCCAGTGACTTAAGATCTGCGACTTCGGAATTTTCTATACAAAGTTCACCTGTTCGGATTTCAGCTTTCAGCTTTGCCTTTTCTGATCTGGGCATCCGTCCAAATCGAATGGCTGAGGGGAAAGAAAACAAGCGTCGAAAAGGGAGCGTAAGAATACGAAAAAACACCCTCTCACCCACAGATATTCTCCCATTCTGGACTCAGTCGTACGTTGGGTTGTGTAAGGGCTGCGTAGACCAGTGTTTTACAAACTTGGCAACTTTAAAAGGGGTGGACTTCAATACCCCAAATTCCCCAGAAAACACCGCAAAGTTGCCAAGTTTGAAAAACACTGGCGTAGACACATTCAATTTCAATAGTGCTAAGAGAGAACAGACCAGGGTTATCTACAATTTACCAATGACTGAGAGATCCTTTTTATCCACATGCAGCCAATCCCTTCTAAATAAAACATGAACATAGCATGGCTGGCTCAGGAATTCTGGGAGTTGAAGTCCACCAGTCATAAAAGAGCCAAGGTTGCCTTATACCCCTGGCCTAGCATATGTGTTGCATCTTTCTCTGGTCCTAAAAACAGGAATTGGCTCTCCGTGAATGCAGACGCCAACTCTGTTGGAACAGGCCAACCTGTTGTAGCCTAGGAACTACATGCCACCGATACTACACACATCCTCAAGGTCTGTTGCCTAGCCTGAGGCCTGCCGGATGCAGTTGTGAGATCCAAGATGCAACAACACGGAAGGAGAGCTCTGCGTTTTTGCAGTTCTATGGCTCCAAAGTTCGAGTGAAGTGAAGCTTGAGAATTTCACCCAAGTAGTCTGAGATTCTTTCCCACGTGGGAAAGTATTCAGGACCCAGACATGGAAAAGAGATTCCCTTTCACAGCCGTTTTATATTTAGACTACTTAAATGCCCTGTCTCCCATTTCTAAACTTGTTACCTGCTTCTTTCTCTCTCTCTCCCTCCCTCTCCCTCTCTTCTCTTTTCTCTCTCCCTCCCTCTCTCTCCCTCCCTCTTCTCTCTTTTCTCTTTCTCTCCCTCCCTCTTCTCTCTCCCTCTCTCTTTCTCTCTCTCCCTCCCTCCCTCTTCTCTTTTCTCTTTCTCTCTCTCTCCCTCCCTCCCTTCTCTCCCTCTCTTCTCCCTCCCTCTCCCTCCCTCTTCTTTTCTCTCTCTCCTCTCCCTCCCTCTCTCCCTCTCTTCTCTCTCCCTCCCTCCCTCTTCTCTTCTTTTTTTCTCTCTCTCCCTCCCTCCCTCCTCTCTCTCTCCCTCCCTCCCTCTTCTCTTTTCTCTCTCTCTCTCTTCTCTCTCTCCCTCCCTCTTCTCTTCTTTTTTTCTCTCTCTCTCCCTCCCTCTCTTCTCTCTCTCCCCCTCTCTCTCTCTCTTCCCTCTCCCTCCCTCCCTCTTCTCTTTTCTCTCTCTCTCTTCTCTCCCTCCCTCCCTTCTCTCTCCCTCTCTTCTCCCTCCCTCTCCCTCCCTCTTCTTTTCTCTCTCTCCTCTCCCTCCCTCTCTCCCTCCCTCTTCTCTCTCCCTCCCTCTTCTCTTCTCTTTTTTTTCTCTCTCTCTCCCTCCCTCCCTCCTCTCTCTCTCTCTCTCCCTCCCTCTTCTCTTTTCTCTCTCTCTCTCTTCTCTCTCCCTCCCTCTTCTCTTCTCTCTCTTTTTTCTCTCTCTCTCCCTCCCTCTCTTCTCTCTCTCTCTCTCCCCCTCTCTCTCTCTTCTCTCTCCCTCCCTCCCTCTTCTCTTTTCTCTCTCTCT